AAGAGACTACCTATGTAGCTAAATCTGTATTACCAAATATGAAGACACTTACACATATCTGGAGATGGACTTTCCTCCTCCAAACCAGAACACCTTATCAAATCAAACCACTGAAGAAAGCAAAGATAAATTACTAATTCCAAAAGTTACTGGCAAATCTCAGAAACATGTCTAGGTGCCTAGCTCCAACAGAAGGAAAATAGAAGACGTCTAAGCAAGACCTAGTTATCCAAATGACTTTGGCCTTAAAAGCTATTGATAATTTGTCTGGTACTCAGCAAATAACCTTGTAGATTACTGGCACTTTGACCTTCTGTAGAAATAAGTGATTTGTATTTTTCTTTATGGACAGTTGTGAGGATGGAGGCACGGACCCAGAGGTAGAGTGCAAGCTGGATCGTTTATTGAAAAGATTACATGATATTTATATGCTTCCAAGCAATTAGCCAAGCACATCTGTGTTTGCTTTGCGGTTACATCAGGTGAAAGGTCTACCTGATTTTCTTATCGACATCCTCTTTCCAGTTCCGACGTCCTTGTTCCTTGCCAGTTCCAACATCTTCCAAGTACCAGTCAGGGACAGGTCACTCTTACTTGCCTGCTGGAATTCCTCCTTCTCATGGTCACTCTTAATTGCCAGCTGTAGTTTCTCCTTCCCATGGTCTCTGACAGCTTTGATACATTCCAACCCCCACAGCCAGTCACATGAGAAGTAAGACTGAAAAGATTAGAAGCACCCTCCCTTGCTGCTTACTATGCCTAAGGAACCTGTACCTCTGCATTTACTTCTCGTTGCAGCTTTAGACTGTTGGTTTTCCTTTATTCTGTGAAACACAACAGCTTTATTAAAAATACAGCCAATACTGTAGAAGGAAGAGGCCACTGCATCTAAATGTATCCCAGTGAACTGCAGAGGATAATGCATTCTGCATTTCTTTATTCTTTCATATCTTCAACTAGAAATTAGAATTTATCTTGTGATATTAAGGTATCAGCAAGGTGTAGTACTGTGCAATTTTAAGTTACATAGTTCCCAATGTGTGTTTTTCAAAAAAAAAAGGAAAAAAAAAATTCTCCCTTATGAAAAAACAATGTTCCATTTCACTTGAATCACATTTTCCAGATTTTCATTTTGCTCTAGAAATAATAAACAGCAATGTTTCTTTGCAGTGTAAAGTAACTAAATAAAATAACTGACCACAGGTTAACTTTTAAAGGCTTCAGTTCATCCAGGCACTTAAGCAGTTGCCTAAATATAAACCCTTAAATAAGTGAGTTGATCCAGCAACATATGTGAGTTGATTGAGCAACACACTTAAGCACTTGTTAACTATCCTGAAAGAATCAGAGCCACAAGCAACCCAGCCTAATGGAAATAATATGGGGTAATGGTCAGCCAGACAGGCTTCCTGAAGGTGATGCAGCCTTAGTTGTAGGAATTGAAATCCATTAAATATTTATGATTAAAAACAGTATACATCATTATCCAACACAAACAAGAATGCCAAAAAAAAAAAAAAAAAAGATCAGTAATTTGTGTGGCTTATGGTGAATAAGCCGAAGTTAATGGGAGCCCTCAGAATACTGCAGAGGTAAAAGAATTTAGCAGAAAGAGGCCTTACTTTTTATCTTCTCTCCCCAGGCCCAAATCAAAACAACCAGGAGAATGTCATTCTGACACTTTGACAAGTAGTATTAACTACCCAAACACAGGCAAAAAAAAAGAGTCAACAGAATACATACGACTAAAACCTCTTCTGCAGATAAAACTTCTCTTTTGGAGGTTTGAGGATGATGATTATCACCCAGAACAAAACCAAAGTCATTCATCAAGCTTTTTAAAAAACTTGACACTGTGATGCATTCAGCTTCACGGCTGTGCCTGTATCAAATGCCATACTACAGGGGACATCTTTGTATTCCTCTTCCAATTTACTAGAGTCTTTGGGCTCCAAAAATGAACCTGCAACATTCCAAAAAACTCCATCTCAAGTTACAAAAGGCTACAGGATCTGCAGGTCCAGATTTCCAATTCTGTTGTCTCAAATCTCCAGCCCATTTTATGTTTGTGATGGAACTATGAAGAAAGTCTCCTAAAAAGAGGCATTAGACTGTTGCTTTGAACACTGTGCTGTGGACTGGCAATTTGCTGCCTTTTAGTAAAATATGGAAAAAAAGGCAATAAAACTTTACAATAATTTGCGCAACTGCTGTCCTGCTCATTTTTCACCTGCTGCTTGTGCACAGCAGAGGTCCCAGCCAGCTAATGTCAAGCTGGAGCAAACCTCAACCAGTGTAAATTTAAACCAGTGTGGTCACTATCAAAGAAGTGATATATGTGGGGGAAGTACTGTCTTCCTGATTTAGTAGTAAGGTATTCAGCTGCTTTTTTCCACTGCCTGCAAACCTAGCTAGGGATACCGCCTAGACACACAGATAAAATTTTCTGATTTAAAAAGAGAGACAATACATTTCAGACTTCAGCAGAACAGAAAGCAAAGCAAGTCTCCTCATGCTGGCCTTGTGCAGCCTGTTCTGCTTTTCTCTACATCCACGTCCATCTCCAGCATGGGACTCACAACCGGTCTTTTGCGAGCTCAGTATGGAGGAGAAAGGAAGCTACAGCCAAACAAACACCGGCACTGACCTGAAACCAGCGAGCAGCCTGAATGCATCAGAAGCCACACTGCTGTTCCACTTAGTGAAAATAAACTGATAAGCCAGAAGGACATACACATATAGATGTAACTACTTGTATATGTATATGTATATGTATATGTATATGTATATGTATATGTATATGTATATGTATATGTATATGTATATGTGTATATATATGTATTTTATTTCAATTTGACAAGTAATCCGATCCTCACCCACTTTAATGCATAAAATTAAACTGGCCATGCATGCTACACACAGATTAGCAAGGAAAAAAAAATTTTAAAACCTTCTAACACATAAATATGCAGCTGTTCATACAATACAGCCTAATAAATACACAGCATACGGATGCCTGAAATGGATGCAACATGTAATGCTCATGGGATCCTCGATTATCTTCCTGACCCTTGGGTCACTGTCACCTGTTTTAACAGCCCTCTCTGGCTCCATGAATCAGCTCTAGCCATGATTTCTAACCTACAGGCTTGCTGGAGTACACTGCAGGAACAACTGGGACCTCATGCTGTGGTTGAGCTGTAACTACATCAGCAAATTAATTTTAAAATTAAATACCGATTCTTTCTGATTTAATTTCATATTTTATTAACAGCGACTCTTAAACGGCGTTCATAACTTAGTTTCACCTGCAGTAAATGCACTCTTAACTATTCTTAAATCCGCTTGCTCTTACCGACCGTGGCGTAGTCCTACCAGCAAGATCAATACATGCTTTGTGTATACTCCCCTCTAGTGGATGCAAAACCCCGGAAAAACTGCGAGAGGAAAACTACCAAAACAAGGCAAGGCCATTTCTCTAGGAAGACATAAATACGAAGGACAGTTAATAACGAAGGAATGGTACCCAGCTGTCCTAACATCAGCTCAATATTACCAGGAAAGGTAATGGACATCTAGTGAAATGCTAAAAATACAAGAAGCAGAAGACGGACTTTAGAAAAAAAGGTCTTACTGGATTTATAAACATTTATTTCACTGCTAAGCAAGGTACTCTAACAATATAGTCCTGGGGATTTATTTTGTGAACCTTAAGGGATTGGTCTGGGGAGAGCAAAATGTGTCATAAATCATGTTTCCAAAAGCTATGTCCTTGAGAAATTTTTTGGGTGAAGGTTTGAATCAGCTTCACTGCTATGAAATGGAGGTAGGGACCACAGTGGTGCCCCAGCATTCCTCTTGGTGGAAGATAAATCCCATCTAAACAGACTTTACTGAACAATATGATCATTTGAAGAGGTGTAACTGCACCAGCACAGCTCCTCATCTGCAGTGTCTGGTCTAAGTGGCAGAACTGTTAAGTATGGTAGTGTTACAACTGTGAGAGTGCAGCTGCATCCAGGAGGGACAGCGCAGCTAAAGACTGTCCCACACAAGCTCTCCAAGATGCTGAGCAGGTCCACCACTGGCACCACCACAGCATTCTTCCTTTCCCAGTACCTTAGCCCTACCCTGCACTGCGACTGATGCCCATCATCATGCTCCCCTACATACCAGGAAACCTGAACCCAGCCAGCACCAGCTGTGGTGCCCATCATCCCATTCCACTCCAGTGGAAAGACACCTGCACTAGAGACAACACCTTGTGCCACACCTCACCATCCTCCTGGACAGGGACCAGTAGCTGCAAAGGGCCATGCCCCACAGTCCTTTTACCACTGTAAATAGAGAAGTTAAACTTGCCCGGAAGAGAGCCACTTTCCAGGCACCTTCACACATAGCAGATGCACATCTGTGTCAATGAGACCATGACCACACTGAAAACGACCGTGCGCGTATTACTCTGGCAACTAGCAGATGGAAACACGATGGGAACACCGCTGCTAGGAGGGACATCGTGACCTGGCACCAAAATAAACCAGAATGGCAGGTTAGAAACCAACATAACATGCTTGGGGGATCCACCCGCATGGAGGACCCACACCGAAAAGAGACAGTTCACAGCCCACGTATCTTCATTACATACACATCATAATTCTGTGAAATGCCCACCCAATTCCTGCTACTCATTGCATATGGTAACTTGGGCCGATAAGGCTGTGGGGCAGGGGCTGTGAGCTTGAGGAGTTTTCTCTGGGGGCTGAAGTGCTTGTTTGGGGAGAAATACCCCCACTCGGTTTACCCTTCTATGGAAATCCATTAGTTAAGGACACTGGAATGTGTTTAGTGTTTCCAATTAACTACATGTTCTTGTTTGGGCTAATTTATGACACTGAGAGGCTCCTTGAGCTGTTTTCTGTCACAGCCGTTTACCTATTTGTCAGGCCCTGTCGACAGGAGGAATGCCCACATCCATTTGAAGGAAGACAATTGTTGCATACCTTCCTCATCTTGTGAATCACTGTCGCCTTGCCCATGACCATGTTTCTGTACACGCAGAAATGCGTGTTTAATTCGGTATCAGCCCCACAATCAGCTGCAGCCCCTGGGCTGCTGCCCTCACTCCTTACGCCGCCGAGTCGCAAGACGGCGGCAGAGCGCGAAGCCAGAGCGGCATCTGACGGAAGTGACTCCACGCCGGGCCCCGGCAGGCCCAATTCCAGCGCGGGGCGGAGTTTGCCGCTGAGAGACCGGCTGCGCTGCCGCGTCGGGCCCGGGTGAGCTGCAGCTCTTCTGGAGGGGCCCAGCTCGGTCTTGTCCTGTTGGCTGCGCGGCGTTTCTCGGGGTGGGCTGCGGGCGAGAGGGAGCGCAGGTGCCACAGGCAGGGGAAGCGGCTTTGTGGGGAGTGTCCCTTGGAGAGCCGTCTCGTTGAGGGAGCGGGGCTGCGCTGTTTTCCCCGCGGGACAAGGGGTGCGGGCCTCTGTTCCGTGGCGTCCGTGTGTTGAGGAGCTGCCCCCCCATGACGAGATGGGCTCGCCGAAGCGGCGCTCCCAGCGAAAAGGCACTGGATGCGACCCCCTGGGAGGATATGGAGGGGCAGGGCCGCCCAGGCCCTCTTCTCCTGAAGAAGGAGCAAGAGAAGAGGAAGAAGAAGAAAAAGTACTACCAGAACGAAGATGTTAACGGGTTTGCGGCGTTCCTGAAGCAGAGCTCGGGGAGTGACGAGGTGGCCGGAGCAGACAGCGCTGAGCTGGAGAAGGAGGTAGCGATAGCCTTGAAGAAGGACAAGCGACGGGAGGGGAGGAGGCTGAAGAGGCAAAAAATGAAGAAAAATGCCATGGTGAGTTCTGTCTGCAGCCGTAGGTGTTTGTCTCTCCGTGGGAGCTTGTTAAGAACTTGGGGAAAGATCTATGTGGAAAATGCCCGTTCCAAAATCTTTGTTGCCGCTGCCAGGGCTGGTTCCGTGAGGAGGTTGAGTGCTTTACCTGCTACAAGCACAGCGTGTGCTGAGTGACTTTTCACGTTAATGAGGATGAATTCCAGCTTAACCCCTAGCCCCTTCATACTGTTCATGCTGCACTGTGATGAATTCTCAGCCCTTCCTTTCTCCTGAGAGAAGCTAATTCCGTGTGAAATTCTTCGGTACAATCTTTCTGCTGTTTGGGGGCCTCTTTCTGCAGTGACTTCTGCTTGAGAATTGAAGTGGGATCTCCAGTAGACTAATAAGACTGTCTGAAAGCAGTTACTTCACAACAGACTTAGGCATTCAGCATGAACTTGTGCTGAATGTAATATGAGAACATATGAAGAGAGTTACTACTCATCTGAGAAATCTTAAGTTTTTCCTGAGTAAATAGCAGCACGGGTGCAACATAGCTTATGTTTCCTTAAGCCCTTGCTGCAACAGTACTTAAAGAGCTTGGAGAGCTGTAGTCAAAATCAAGTGTCATCATTTGTTCAGAGCACTCGGTTGTCAATGAGTGAATACCCTGTATGGTGTGGTGTTGGTAAAAGAAGAGCACCCGTAATAGTGTATTCTAATGACACAGGCCACTGACATTTACTCTGTGACAGGGTACAGTATCTCTTAGTCTAACTGGTTTTGCCTAAGGAGAAAATATCTTCGTATGTTTGCCTTCTGAAAAGTTAGAACACCTTGTTAGACTGGGATTTTCAGGTGTTTGGGTGCCATGCATAGAATCCTGTCTTTTTATGATGATCTCAAATCTCGACACTAGAGATAAGTATGTGGTACTACCCTCAAAGTTTCAGCTAAGAGAAATAGTGGTCTAGTACAAATCTACTAGGTGATAATCAGATAATCAGTGAGTTCTTTAGCAGTGTCACCTCTAAGTGCTGTGTTTTGCTGTGTGAACTGTCTATGGAAATGCATACAACTTAATTTTTGTTTTCAAAGGTATGTTTCCACTGTAGAGGACCTGGCCATGGTGTTGCTGATTGTCCTGCAGTACTTGAAAGTCAAGATATTGGTACAGGAATTTGTTACCGATGTGGATCCACAGAGCATGACATCAGCAAATGCAAAGCAAAAACAGATCCAGCGATTGGTATGTCTCAGAAATTTGTGGGGTTTTGAGATGCTTTGGCCTTGTGGTTTTTTTTAACAACTGAAATACAGTCTTTGTGCTTTAGTAATTTAACTGTTCTCAGGAGACACGTTAGTGTAAAAATGAACCTGTCAGTGTATGAGTATAGTGCTTATAGTATAGTAAAACATTGTTGTTGTAGTGTCTGGACTTTACAAAGTTTTTAATGTGGATCATAAACTGTATGGGATTTTGCAGGGCCATTTCCATATGCAAAATGTTTCATCTGTGGTGAGATGGGGCATTTGTCAAGGTCATGTCCAGATAATCCCAAGGGATTGTATGCTGAAGGTGAGTGCACTGGTTTACTAAAACCAAAACACATTTTTTCATATTTAGCTGATACGGAACGAGATAACATTGCAAATGAATGAGGATCTGACTAAAAGGAATACCTGCCTATCTTTACTCTTGGTGAAAGCAGATTAGTTCAGGGGAATTCAATGTTAATATTGATTATCTAGGGATTTCATTTTAATTGTAAGCTTAAATTCTCATACTCTCTTAAGTATGAGAACTTGCTTATGCTTGCAGTATCAAAAAGCACACAAACAAAATCAGAATACGCTGAATACAGAATAGTCAGTATTTAAATGTACATATATCAAAGTGTGGTAAAAACATACTGTCATAATATAGTTTAAGACTCTGGGAGGTGTTTGCTAAACACAATGGCTCTAACTAGAAAGAGGACATCTTCAGTTTAAGTGACTTTAATGAGAAATGTGATCTAAGTTTGGATTTCACTTAGATTCTGCTTTGCCTGGTTTCTTTATTGGCACTAAAATGTAGCATTCTGTCTCCCAGCACAGTCTTGAGGCCTGGCAAACTCAAAAGGGTGATTTTATGATTTTACAGTACAATCGCTTTACTTTCAATGTTTGGTTTATATTTATGAAACATAAAATCTATGTTTATAGATTTTATAAATTTTTTATTTTGTATCTCAGAAGTTGGATTGCCTGCCACTCAGGAGCTCCTGTTAATTTCAGAAGTCCCTTTTGAGTATGAACTTTAGCAGAATTCATACTCAAAGTGAAAACTTCCAACAGATTAGAAATAGTATTGTGGTGACTGGAATTTATAGTATGTGGTGCTTTATAGTGCAGTTTGATTGCAGACAGCTTTGTCTGTCAGAGGCACAGACAGAGGAAGCCGTGTTTGCAGGCTTCCAAAGCTGGCTGTGTATCTGCTCCATGATGTTATGTTGCCAAGGAGTGTAGACCTGTCCATAAGGACACTGCCGTATCTTTTTTAAAGATTGTGACTACAGATAAGTAGATGTTTTCAATACACGTACAAGAGCAAAACAGTGTAGGAGGGATGTTTTGAGTGTTTTTGTTATCTGTTACTAGTTTTTTATTCCCAGGTAACAGCTTTCTTTCTTAACAGGTGGTGGCTGCAAACTTTGTGGCTCTGTGGAGCACTTCCGAAAAGACTGTCCAGTAAAACAGAACACAGGTGAGATGCAGGGGAGTGTACAAAACAGTCTGAGTGCACAGCTGAGTAATATATATCTACTGCTTTGCCTGCCTTCAGTCAGGAAAAATTGGGTTTGAGAAGAGAACTTGCAAAGAGCAAAGGCAGCCTTCCTTTGGGATGAGTGCTTCTATTGAGGGGTGTGTGGAGGAAGCATTAAGTTGCAATGCATAACTCAAACTTTCTGTAATAAAAATAGCCAGTTTGTAGGTTTCTGAAGTTAATGTGGGCTAATGTGTACTTGTTAGCCAGTATTTTTGCTGCTGTTCAAAACTTAGCAGCTGTAGAACAAAACTGGCTGCTGCTTCTGATGATTTCTATGTGAAGTGGTGCAGTTGAATGTAGTGTCAGTTGCAGGGTCACGGGACTGGCAGCCTGTAGAAGCTGTGTGTGCAGGCAGGTGTTCAAGTCATTCAAGACGTGAAAGAAGGAGGTAGATCTGTCCAGCTGGATTCATCAGATTGGACAAAGCCTTTTGTGATATGGTACAGTGGGGGGCATCTCTGCCCATGGCAGGGCAGTTGGAACTAGATGATCTTAAGGTCCTTTCCAACCCAAACCATTCTATGATTCCATGATTCTACCTGTGGTGGAAGAATTGCATTATATAAAAAAAAAAACTACCTGTGTAATGGAAGGCAAGTGCATCAAACAAGTGCTTGAAGAATGATCCTGTTACTGGAGTGGTGATTCATTTGTGCATTTTTATGATGTGTTTGCATGGCTTGTAGAACCTTGGGTTAATAATAAGCCACTTTTGTGGAATTTATGTTAGCTATTTATGTAGACAATAGGGGCCTGTGCTTCAGCCATTCTTTTGTATCTGATCCGCATTTTTTTCCTACTTTTTCTTTTTTTTTGAGAAGCTTTATGTCCGTCATGAAGACTGACAATGTTTAATTTGCCAAGGGACATGGTAGTCTTTATCCTGATGTTTTAAAACTAGTTAAAAATAGTTGAATTAGTTGAAACTGTGACACCACTGGTAATATTCTTTGAAATCAGTTTGCATCATGCAAAGTACTTTTAGACTAGAGGAAGATAGCTGATACCTGTCAGGTTTAGGCACTGCAGCTTGTGGTTTCTTTGGGTGGACCTATCCATGGACCTGAACAGGCTTGAGAGGTAGGCCAGTGTGAATCTCAAGAATTTCATCTAAGCCACGTGCAAGGTCCTGCATGGGTCAGGGCAATCCCAAGCACAAACATACACTGGGGCAGACTTGATACAGAAGCCCTGGGGAGAAGGACTGGAGATTTTTGATGACAAGAAGCTCCCCATGACCCAGCTTCAGTGTGTGCTTCAGCCCAGAACTCCCTGTGTGCTTGGGATGCTGGGCTGCATCCCCAGAGTGTGAGCAGCAGGTCAGCGCAGGGGATTCTGCCCCTTTACCATGCTCTGGGGAAGACCACCCTCCTGCAGTCCTGTGTCCAGCTCTGGGGCTACAACACAAGAGGAACATAGAGCTGTTGGAGTGAGTCCAGAGGAGGCCATGGACTTGCTGCAAGGGCTGGAGCAGCTGTGCTCTGTAGACAGGCTGAGAGAGCTGGGCTTGTTCAGCATGGAGAACAGAAGGCTTCTTAAGAGGAGACCTTAGAGCAGCTGTCAGTGCCTAAAGGGGCTACAAGAAAGCTGGAGAGGGGGTCTGGACAAAGGTCCATAGGGACAGGACAAAGGGGAATGGCTTTAACCTGCCAGAGGGGAGCCTGAGATGAGCTCTTTGGCAGAAGCTCTTCCCTATGAGGGTGATGAGGCATACATTGCCCAGAGACGTTCTGGCTGCCCCATCCCTGGCAGTGTTCAAGGCCAGGCTGGACATGGCTTGGAGAAGCCTGGTCTAGTGGAAGGTGTCCCTGCCTGTGGTAGGGGTTTGGGACTGGATGAGCTTTGAGGTCCCTTCCAACCCAAACCAGTCTGTGGTTTGGTATTCTTGGTATGATACGATCTGTTCCAATCCAATAAAAATTAAATTACCATTCAGAATTGGTTAACTGTTTTCTCCAGCAAAGGAGTATGAATTAGTCTAAATAGCATTTAAACAGCAGGATAATGTTAATTATATGCAGGGATGTGAGCTGAGAAATATAAATTTCGCTCTGTTGTGCCTTCTCAGTCTTATTATTTTCATCTGTAAATCATGGAATCATGGGATTGTTAGATTTGGGAAAGACCTTAAAGTTTATCCAGTTCTGTTCCTCTGCCATGGACAGGGGAACTTTCCACTAGACCAAGTTGTTTCAAGCCCTGTCCAACCTGGCCTTGAGCACTTAATAGTGGAGATCTTTCTTTTATGTTCAGACACACTTAACATATTCTGAAATCATCGTCTTAAGAGTTGTTTGGACTTAGGTGAGACCTAATATACCATCTTACGTTTTTTTAATGCTTCTTGGGACAGTCAATAGGAAAACCATGTAGTAATGATTTTGTGAACCTTGACAATTTGTGTGGGGGAAGAAAAGGAGTGTACAAAACTCAGCTTGAAAAAAAAACTTAAGTTGTATAAGGAGAGTTGGCTTCAGAGCTGGAACTGAATGACAGTTCTTCAATGAACTAATGACAGGTTCTTGCAGGCTAAATCTTCAAATGTGTAAGTTTGACATAATGGCAGTGGTGAGCCTTTCCATATCACCTGTCTCTCTCTGCAGACCAGGTTACGGTTGCGCGATGGGCCACTGGGATGAGCGCAGATTACGAAGAAATCACAGAAGCACCAAAGCTGCAAAAACCAAAAGTGAAAGTACCCAAAGTTGTGACTTTCTGAAAGCTTTTTGGCTCTAAATCACTTTGCCTGCACTGCTTCACTTCAGAGTAGGGACTACACAGACTGGGTTGCTGATTCCAGAAAATCAAACTTGACTGCTGCTGCAAAATTATGTTGCCTTTTTTTTTTTTTTTTTTGTCCCCCCCTCATTTTTCGATTTGCCTGCCAGACTTACCCAGCATACTGCAAAGCTGCAAACCACAGAAATACAGTAAGTGGGTATTTTACTTTCGTATATCTCTGCCAAAATACAGCATACCCTCTGACTGCCAGATTTCTGAAGAGGGAAATTGGCTGCTTCTTGGGACAGGGATCTGGCTGCAGTAACCAACAGGGCATGTGTGTTCTGTCACAGGGGCTTATGACTGGTGGATTTCTGTGGTCAGCTTTGTTACCTTAAGAGGGCTAGTTTACTTTACCAGAGATGAACACAATTATGCTGATCTTACCAAGAGTATTTATTTCTCTGAGAAGGGTTGTGCATATTCACTGAAGAGCCTTCTTCTTTTAGAGAAAATTGATCCTTTTTCTGTGTATGCCAGCCTGAACAGTCCTGTGTTGAAGGTACCAGGTAAACCCGACACCCTGTTTAACTTCTGTGTAAAATTCCCACTACTCCATGCATTAACCTGATTGCTCACACGTGCTGGATTGTTTGAGTGTTTGTTCAATTAGTAGAAACAGAATCATGCCCTTCCTGTGATATCTGTGGTGGATACCTGGAAGGAGTTGGAGAACAAGCGAGGAGCTTGTTTCTTTACCTGTTTTCCAAGGAAAGTGGTCATACGTTTTCAGTGTTTCTGTCTTGGTGACCTGGGAGTAAACTGCTTTGTATTACAAGTGCCTGCTTAATGGCAGATTCAGCTTACAAGTGTCTGCTTAATGGCAGACTGCAGTCTGAAAGCCTTAAAAAACTGGTTTTGGGGGTTGTTTTGTTTGTTTTTCTAAGTTTATTCCTGCAACAGCTCTCAAATACTGTAGTAGCAGTACAGCAATACTGCCCATGCAGCCAGTGGTGGTAGGCTTTCACCTGTGCCTGACTGGAGTTACTGGGAACCAGATAGAAAACTGGAGATCAGGACTGGATTTTGACATGCTCGGGAGCAGCCACTGAAACTATAGATTTGCAATGTGCTCTTCTTACAGCAGAGAAAACTTCACATATGGGAAGTTAATGGTGTAGGTATGTTTTATATTTGTACATGTTAATTATTTTTAATAAAATACTGCTAAAGAATATAGTGGTTGGAGCTCTTATTGTAGGTTTCCTTGTTTTGCTCTGGATGCAAAGGCACATTGACTACAGTAGGGGCAAGTATGTTCAGTTTGTATTAATCACAGCACATGTTTAAATGAGGAAGAAGAGTGGATGTGGATGAAATCAAGGATTAATTACAAAGTTTTAAAGAACTTACTGAATTAAAGCTTAAAGCAGTATCACTTTAATATGGACAGTTTTGCAACAGATGCTTATTCCAGCCTAAAAAGTGTTTCCCTTATTTTGTATTGTTAAAAAAAGCATCTTTTTAGATCATTTCCTGTCCTTAAAAACTTGTTGGTACTGTAACATGTTCTTTTATTCATAGGAACTTTGAGCCAAGCACCCTGATTTTCACAGCAGTACCAATAGTTCCCAGACAAGGGTCTGGTGCAGACTGGTGTGCAAGCTGGTGGCTTGGAGGCATCGCCTCTGCCAAAGCACATCTGTGGCTTCCAGTAGGACGTGGTCACCTGGTTGTTCTGAGGCAGTGTGAGCAGAAGTGTCCCCTTTACAGACTGCTGAGTTCTGTGATGTACAACATGTCAGTTGGAGGGAGAGAAAATTTACTGTTCCCTTCCCACAGCTGATGACTGTCACAACCCGGAGTTCGATACTTGTTGCTTTGATCTGTTGTGCACTATACAACCACTTGTCAGGGTTCTACACCTGACTAGTGCTCTCAGAGAAGAAATAATGGACTTCTTCAGACTTCACAGGGTAAAATCACAGGGTACAGCTGCTGTGAGAATTTCAGTCTAAAGGCAGCAGCCATTTTCAGCTTGCACAGGGCTGGAAGCAAGTACACCTCCCTCTTGTCCTCTGCATTAGTGACTGCTGTGGAAAACAAGGCACTGAAATGATTTTGTCACAAAAACAGCTGCATGTCAATCTTCAGTCACTGTTGGACAAAACCACTTGTTATATGCACCCACTAATCACTTTTGAGATTATTTTACAAGGGTATGTGTAGTTGAAGAAAGCTATTTGAAAAGCAGCTGTGAAAGGTGCTGCATGTAAAGCCACATCATACCCACAAAAAAAATTTAAAAGCTAGGCAAATGATGAGTACTTAAGTGAAGTCTGTGTGCCAGAAACCTGAATCTCTTTGTCTTAGAAGTTGCACAGACTCTGGGAAAATACAATCCTTGGTCTTTCCTACAACCCCAATTACATGTGATGACTGTCCAGAATGTAGCCCAGCTTTACAGTGCTTCAGGTTCCAGGGGCCCAAGTCTTGGTGTGGGGGCAGAGGGAGGAACCTGTCATGTAGAACACTAATATTGGTAGAACACTAATATTTAAAAAAGTAGAATCCCAGACTGGTCTGGGTTGGAAGGAACCTTAAAGCTCATCCAGTTCCAACCCCCTGCCATGGGCAGGGACACCTTCCACTAGACCAAGTTGCTCCAAGCCCTGTCCAACCTGACCTTGGAACACTGCCAGGGATGGGGCAGTGGCCTCCTCTGCACTTGCTCCAACAGCTCCACATCCCTCTTGTGTTGTTGCCCCAGAGCTGGATGCATGGGGGGTCTTCCCCAGAGCACAGTAAAGGGGAGAATCCCCTCCCTCAACCTGCTGCTCAGCCTCTTAGGGATGCAGCCTAGCACAAGGAGGGGTTCTGGGCTGAAGCACGCACTGAAGCCTGGTGATGGTGAGCAAATAACCTTCTCCAACTAGCCCCTGCATTAGCCCCACAGCTGAGTTCAGCGTGCAAGTGTTGCTAAAGTCACACTACAGACTGTGCCCTCTGGAGAGCCACTTGGACAGATGATAGGAAAAGCCTGGTGGAGTTACCAGCATTTGGGCTCTTTCTCCCCTCCCGTACATGCATTCAGAGCTGAACATTAGGTGTCTCTGTTCACTAAAAATTGGTCCCACAGAGACTTCTCTACCAATTCAAGAGCTTGTCTGCCATCATCCACACACAGTAAGTGTGGACAGGGCTGGGAGGGCTAAGCTCCTGGTTAACAGAGTCTAATGTCCTCACCCTTCCTTTACCTGCTGAGCCAGGAGGAGGCAAGCAAGGCCTGGAAGGGGCTGCCCTGAGGCTGCTCCCTAGACTGAGGCACCTGACTCATGATAAAAGTGATCCAAAACCAGGCTTTGTATCTACAGTCTCTGCTACAGAGGCAACAACCAGGACCTTCTCTACTTCATTACTAAAGCAAAGGTTATGTTGTGCAGCATACAGTAGCCAGCCTTTGCTAGATGTAGAATATGGCACTGATTTCACTAGTGCTTTTGTTCAAGGTTGTGCCCAAGCTAAACTAGTCTGATTGAGAGGCCAGGTGGCTCCTGGTGCTGGTACCCAGAGGGCTTCCAGGCCTCCCCCTCCTGTCTCTGCTGCTGCTCTTGGTAGACCTGCTGTACACAGAATGTAACCTATAAATCACTGCTGAAAGCTTTGATTTGGTTGTAGGTTAAAAAGAAGATGCATTTAAGTGGGAACTGGACCAGACCCCTAGAGCTCTCACTCTAGCAATTACGAGACTACAGTAAGATGAAATGGCACTGCCACAGCTCACAGGCTTTGATTCCCTTAACACCCCTGTATTCGTGTTATGATCCAACTGCTGATGACCATTACTTGTTTTTCTGAACACGGCTCTTCAGAGCAAAAGTCACAGCCAAAACCAAAGTAGACGTACCACAACAAAAATTTCTGAAACCACTCTTCTTCTTCATCTCTGAGGGCGTGGATCCAAGAGTCTCACTGTTCTGCATTTATTCAGCGCTCTCATAAGAGTCTTGCTCAGAGCTTGCCAGCTGGAGGTCAACAGTCCCCAACATAACAGAAAAGCTGCCTTTCTGGAACAATGTCTGAAGCTGTTCAGAGGCACCATAGTAAGATTTGGATTTGTAACCTCAGAAACAGTATTTTATTGGAAGTCAACAGATAAAATAGAAGTATTAACAGTTGAAGTTAGCAAACACTAACTTAACATGGGGTGTAATCAATTTATAGGTAATGGGTGTGTAAGAACCTTGATAACCAAAGCACTGGGTAACCTATTTAGCAGCACCACTTCTCTGCAAATTTACTGATTTAAAACTTCAGTGGATGCAATTCTGTTCAATATAACATTAAAACAGTGAAATAATCTCATGAGCTACAGTTCTACTGAGCCACGTTCTGCCTCAATTTACATAAAATTCATTAACACAATCAAGACAGAAATCTGTTTAATCTTTTTAAAGTTAAAAACTGGATTTAGAGCCTAGTCTAACCATAGTTTGATAGAAAATGCTTGTACTAGATATCCTCATCTAGCCCAGTATAGGCTACATGATCTAAAGTAACCTGTAGAAAAATGATTGACACAACATGCAGGAATTTAAACCAGCACTGTTTGATCATATTCAGAGGTTTCTTCAGAAATCTGTTTTTAATTTCAACTTGCTGTTGTTCATCTCCAAGAACTTCATACATTCCAAAGCAGTGTCTTCGATGGATTTAGATAAGCCAGTAAGATTTGCTGCAAAGTAAGTCATAACACCTGATGTCACTTGATTGAAGTAACATACCTGTTTAAACAAAAATACATGAAACTAAAAAGCATACGGATTGTAATAGTTGGACAATGTTTCAGAGGCTAAATGAGTATAGAAGTTTTTATGGATGTGAATAGAAACACAGAGTGCTTCTGAAACTGAAGGCAATAATTATCAAAAAGAATATGTCTTTTTTACAGTACTTTAGTGATCTCAGTGTCCTCACTACTGACAGGTCCTCAAGCATTTGTAGGTAAATGCACCCAGCAGTGCAGCAAGAAACATTCTGTGTAACCTGTTAAATAGATGTGCTTTATGAACAAAGCTGTACCCTGAGAAAAGAATCCTGGCTACTGAGAGTTTCTGAATGTTTTCAGAAACTTACTTCCATCAATGGAAGTTACCACTTTCCCACAGAAAATAACATTGGTATAGAGATGGGACTCAGGTCACATAATTACTTTCATGTCAAAGTTAAAGTTAAGCATTTAATCTCAACTGGTTCACTGATCTTCTGCAGCCAAAAAAGAAATGGCCAGCACCAGAGACTAGTTTAATGCACACCTTCTAGAAGTGTATTTTAGGGTGGGACGACTGCCCAACTGGAGGTACCCGGACATCTCTAGTTTAGGTTTCATTCCTAACATTCAGATCGGCCAAAGTTGTGCAAGACAGATTTCACTTTGTGGAATAAAAAATGTGTTAATAGCCAGACTGAACTCTGGCTATTAACTCTTTTTTGTTGTTGTTGTTTTATTGCTGATTCTGTTCCAGACTGCTAGCAAAAATATGACTATATGCACATGTAATATTGCAGGAAAGGAGACACAGCTGAGGTCTGCAGAACCACTCACTGTACAGGAGCTATCGCTGTCACTGTAGATCTGGAATCCAGCGCAGAGGATTTCACTTCTCTGGTAATCTGAAGAAGGTGGCATAGACGTGAGGGTAACTGACTTCACAGCTACTATGTAAGGTTCACTGCAGGGCAAGGGGAAGAATCAAACACTTCTTCAAGAAGATGTTTAAAAAGATACATGGAAATGAGTACAGAGTATGCATGGTTATACCAAAGATGTCATTTTCATATGAAGGCAAACAAGCTTCAGTATTTTTAAAGATATACCTGAAAAAATTCAGTTTTGAGTCTTGTGAAGGCTTTACCATAGCCTCCCACAAGGGAAACTTCTGTGGAAAGCCACAGAACAATCATCCACATATAACACCTCTATTTTTTAATTTATCCTGCTCTCCACAGCCCACATTTACAGAATCAGGGCCATGGAGCAACCCTTACTGAGATGCTTTACAGTGTGGCCCCAGCAAAGGTAGACAGGATTCAGTTTCCAGATGTATGGGGCAAAAAAAGCAAACACAGTTCACAATACTGAATTTTAGAAGCAATATTCTGTTAAAATGAAGAATTACTAATATAAGAAATTGAGACAATAGGAAGTTACACCAGATGGTCCCATTTATCATTTTTCATTATAAAGGAACAAAAGGAAATCTAATGGGGAAAAAAAATCTATGTATCTTAAACTGATCAAGGGGCTTTTTCAACCAAATTCAGCAGCAAAATTTACAGATACAATAAATGTGTCACACCATGGTTTCAAGAAGGGCCAATCACTTCCTTGAGTAAGAAAATCTTCAGAATTACCTTAAATGGGATTACAAAGGAGCCACTTAAACAGACAAACTCCCAGTTATGTGCTTCAGGACACTGACAGGCCCTCTGGGGCAGGCCTTTTTCCAAACTGCTTGTTTGGAATTCTGGCCTATTTTCCCTCATGATAGAAGAGTCATTATCAAAAAAAGCAATTCTGGACTACACTACAAATTTCTGATGTTCTGAATTTACTTCATTGCACCTTCATGTTGCAAAACAAATCTGGTTTCTTAGAAAAAATAAAATCTTTGCTTCCCAACAGCAGGCCCAGGTAAAGGTCAACAGTAATCAAAACTGAGACTCCAAAGTGCTCACAGTTAAACCTGAAACTGCATACTCACCTTGGCTTAAAGGGCTGCCTCTGAGACACAAGAACCACAAAGTCTCTGGGTTTATGGCCAGTCATAGGTGGAGAAGTAACATAATATATTTTGTCATCTTCATTCACAGCCTGCAGGACCTTGCAAGTTCTGCAAATACATTTAACACACACATGCAGACCCTGATGTATGCAACATCATCTTCTGCAGAAAACACCATACATACATATATTCCATCCTAACAATAAGCCTATAATTTTCATGTTCAGGCAGCAAAGAAGAGGAGGGAACACAGAGTGGAAAACTGAGGTTTTTCACACCACCTCATTCATTTGACACCACTTCTCTATCCCACAAAATCGTTAAAAAGTGCTGCAAGGTACTGGAGTAATGTCTTAACAGCGTACCTTTTGCACGCTGTTTGGAATGACATCAGCTTCCAAGCTGTAATGCACCTGCTGAGTAACCAAGTATCACCCATCTGACACACCACAGGAAAGACAGTTGTAAAATTTTATTCAGAGTTGTGTTCTACTTGGTTCAGACAGGACCACTCTTTCACTGTCTTTGGAAGTACTGACCACTATCTCTTGAGTTTTCACTTCAACGAAAAATCGGAGTTTTCCTATATATATTTCATCTCTGCAATAACCACTGGCTAAGCCAGTACTCCATTTTCACCAGTCAATCAGGCTTCATGGTAGTCATATGAAAGCTGAAAATTTTGGCTGTAGATATGGATAGTCAGCTTAGTATTTCATCGTATTTCATTTGTTACAAGCTATAAATGCAGCAGAGTGTAAATTTTCAAATATCCCCATGCTTTCACTATCACCCTCTGATAAAAATCTTTCAGGGCAAAATGACTAATAGAAAAAACATTTTCATTTAAGACAATATTCACTAAATATGATTAGTATTATCAGTTCATTTCTAGTCATTATTCTATACCATATAAAGCAAATAAAAAATCTCAAACACCCTTTACAGCAATTCTGAAACCCATTTCAATTCAGATAATCTTTACATGATATTACTTTTCTTGAAATATGCATTTTGAAGAACTCAGTTTCTTGATTTCTCACTTTGACTGTATGAAGCTGAGCATCAGTGTCCCAGACATTAACGTGAAGTAGTCCATAGCTTTGCCTTACTTCTTAGAGAGCATGCACAATATATCCACCTCAAATTACAGGCAATTTACTACAGTTAAACCATTTAACATACACATATCTAGGCACAGAACTGTGTTCATTTTCAAAAAGGGTGACCTCTGCTGCAGCTCTTTCTTTCATCAGTCCAGGGCAACTGTGTTTTAAATTCGATTAAGAAGAAATCAGATTTTATTTTTAAGGTTAAGCTCCCCCAATCCATACTCTGACTAATTAATCTTTAATGTCAACTTCTTACAGCAATTTCTTCTTAATTATGTAGCAAAGTCTCAACATCTCAAAAATATTTGTCTCAGAAAAGGTTAGCTGTCAGTGGATTAGAATAGTCTTAAATTCAAAAGGTAAGTTCTTACAAGAAATGTTTGTCCCATTGTAAGCGTAATGTGAAGTCAGACAAAAGAGAGAAAGCTAGATGTGATGGTATCTTCACTTGCATTTCAACTTTGAGTGACAACATTGCACCCTCCTCGTGAGTCCATATTTTTATCTGGAAAAGTGTGCAATATATTAGAACCAAAGAATGATTACTATAAATGCTTTAACACTTATAAATGTTACACATTTATGACTTACGCAGATTTTCTCAGTAGTACCTATGAAACTATATGTGGCAGATGAAATGCAGAAATGCAGTTTTACATTAAGATACAGCACAATGTAAAATCATATACACTGATAGCATAATGACATCACAGACTTATAATTACACCTGGTTAGGGAGAGCTGAATTAGCTTGCAAGTGGAACCGAATGAACTAGAGGCCAGTATGACCTCTTTCACACTATGCATTTACAGTCGCTATACCCTTTACGCGGCAGGAAACTTTAAAAAATTAAGTTATTATCAGTGTAATTTTTTTTTCTATCAGGACACGAAGATGTCGTCACTTTCATATACAACAGCAGATCCACTTAGGAATGGAGGTAAAAGCCTCTTCTCATCTTTGCTACAGGAAGTCTCCTCATAGGGGGTTCAGTTCACTAACTCCAAAAGCTAATGGGGCAAGCTGAGGACCTCGTGCAGTTCGTTTTGTGAATCTGGCATCAGTGACTGATGACAGGAGATTGGACTTTTCATACCAGAGCAAGTCAGTATCAGTCCAGAATTCTACTGTTTTCTTAACCTGGCCCTTGAGCCAGGTTGAGTTACAGAAATACAGCATAAATACGGGCAAGCAAGGAAAGGTAATATGCAATTTATTAGGAAGGAATTCCATTCAATTTATGTAAGCTATCTAGAAGTGTTGGTCACTTAGAGCTTTCCAGAAATTTGAAACTTCAGACTAGAATCCACTGGATGTGGCACTGGTGAGCAGGAGCAATGTGGAGTGAGGCCACACTAGACGAGACGAGCACCCCTGCAGTATGTGTGAGAATTAATCAAAATAAGACAAACCAAGCAACTGTCCCACCTGCCATCTGGATTTTGGAACATGTCCAGCAATCCTGTGCATTGCAGCTTTGAGGAGCTTATCTAGAAACATCCAAGCAGGAGCATATTTTTACAAAAGCACTTTCCAAGCTTAAAAGGGGTAATTTTAGATGACAGATGGATGACCTCCTTGATCCACCTCTCCAACCTATGCAGTTCAGTAGCTTGTCTTTAATAAGTAATTTGTAGAGTTCAGCTACTTCAGCTCCCTTTTACATGCAAATTAGTCACACATTGTCCTACACCCTCTTCCCCTAAAAAGATTCAACAATTCTCTTTCCAAAAGACTTCCCTCCCCATTCCCCCCAACCCCTTCCCTATTCTTTACTGTGATGAAGAGCACCTACAGTTAAGGCTATATTGAAAAACTACTTCAAAACACAGTTTTGCCTCTCTTGTCCCACACTTGCAGTGTCTTGTCTTGATTATTTTGGGTCTATTGCTAGTCATATGCCTAAACCCTAACACAGAGAATGCAAAATTAATAACTTGTACATAACAATCACACACAATCATTGCAAAAGAAGGGCTTGGTATGTGTCATAAGCCCTATATAACGGAACAAGTTGAGCAGAAAAGACTGCTCAGAATTAGTGGACTTTATTCCAAATTAGAATTTGATGTTCTGATGATGCGATGTGCTAAATTGTTTCCCAAATCCTAGGAAGTTTAAAAGATTTTCATTTCTAAGTGATAAAAAATTAGTAAGTTTCATCATCTCTTTTTTTTTTTTTTTTTTTTTCTATATATCTTTTGGTTAATGGAGCATTTGTGTAACAAAGAATTTGTGTGTTTTCATATCTTCATGTCTTGGCATAGGGAAAAAAAACCCAGCATAACCCAGCAAGCACCTTGCTGAAGTAAAGTTTGGCACATAGCAGAAGGCCTGAGAGCTTTAGTAACCAGCTACAGGATGCATGAATCAATCCTGCTCTAAGGCATAGAAAGGAAATCATGTTTTAGGAGCCTTCTCCTAAGGAAAACAGTATGTGCAGCTGCTAAAACATCTCCCTGCAAAATGAACACTGGTAAGGCTATATTGTTACTATATGCCTACAAGTCTTGTGGCTCTATGTCAAAGTGCCACCTTCTACCTTCAAAAGTTGTCAATCAAATTGGGGTCCTTCTAGTTCCAGGGAAAAGGGAACAAATCCTCAGCATATACAGAAACACACACTACTTTGTAAAACCTACCTACTAGAATATTTCATCTCAAATATAGTTCAGTCTAATGCCCTTGACAGTCTCCTCTGCTATAGTATGACTGCCTTCAGGCAGAGCATTGACCAGCACTACTACCAGATTCCTACTATTTTTGATCTCAGCCCCTCCCCAAGAAACTATTTAATGGAACTGAAGAGGTCTGTTTGAGTGGACATACTGCTATGCATGTCTGTAAGAGAAGGATAAGTAGTTTTCTGTGTCTACACCACTGTACACACCAAAGATGAGGATCAAGACCTGCTGCATGAGTCCAGAGGACTTAAGAGTGGTAGGATGCATATGTGCTGGCCTGCAGTGTTTAAGGAAAGATTCTGAGCTAGGTGTATCCCCCTTGTGCTTGTGTTTGCAAAAGTGACAAAAGTGAGCATGAAATGGTGATAAGTGCACCAAACTAACAGAAGCCAAGTGAGTTTCATTAACCAAAGCTGTCAGAAACCCCTCCTTGGAGCTGCATCTATGCCAGCATTTAGGGATTCAAGCATGTATCTAAATTCAACTGGAGGAGCTGTGTGTGTAGATGAAGTTCAGGATTGGTTTCACTCACTTTCTGTATCAAAAAGCAAATCTAATCCACACTGTATGTTAACTTAGAGGTAAACATGAAGTTACATATGCCAAGAAATATACCCTCTGCCTACTGCTGACATCCATCCACACTTTGTCAGCAGTTTACTTTTTGCCTACAAGTAGATGTTAATAAGAAAGAAGACTTACTAATGGAATAAATTGTATGCAACAACTGAAGTGGCCTACAATCATGTAACCAAAAGTATGGTTTGCTATCACTTCTGACTGCATATAGCCTGTGTATATGCAGTCGGCATATTTCCCAGGAAAAAAAAAGAAGAAAAGCAGTGTGCTGCCCTGGATCCCTGACACTTCTTAAAGGAGTATCTCATGTCTGACAACGCCAGATTATGCAGAAAGGTGCAGAACAATAGGAACAGATGGTTAGTCTTCACCCATTGACAGCACCAGTGTGATTTCCACCTTAACCATCTAAAATGGGTTAAATCATGACACCATCCTACATCCTGCCTGAGATTTTGCTGGATTTAAGATAATTCAATTAGATGAAAGGACAGCTAGAAAAAGCTACTCGAGATTTTTCACTGAGTCCCAAGTAGCTCAGAAGCAGACTTTACTGTCAGGACTATTTTTTATGATACCCAAAAAAGGGGAGAGAGAAAGTTCCACGCTTCGGTAATACTGGAAGGTACCTGGTGGCTTGCTGAGACAAATGACATCATGCTGTTTTAAAATGTCATCCAGAATGTGCATGGGGTTTGGTTTTTTTTGTATGAAGCAATTTTTTCACAAGATTTAATGCTGTTTGTATTACAGGCTTCAAGCATTTGCTGTTAAGAAGGAAATAAACTGAGATTATGACACTGCCAGTGGATGCAGAAAGGAAGTTTCACACAGATAATAACACAGTCTTAGCAGAAGCTTGAAAGTAACACTCAATTTTTCATTCTGATTGTTCAAGCTTGCTTTTTTTTGAGGATGAGTGCTGTCTGTCATTTATTTGTCACAACAGGATTTACTGAAACAACCTACACACAGAACTGGTGGATTTGCCATCACTGGAATTCCTTATGAATTATATGTATCGTCTTATTCAAGTAGCTTACTGACTAGATGCAATAATCAGTAAGTGAAATTTCATAACCTGTGAGATGCAGGAGGACAGACTTGAAGATATAACAGTTTTTTCTTGTCCTGAAACACCTCTGAATCTACATGATCTCAATCTGCCAGTCACTAACCATACTTCAGAAACCAAACCTTAACAGGTATCCCTCAATAGTTTGGGAAACATGCACTGCAATTAAGTTAAAATAATTTTCCCAGCTAAATTATCTTGCTACTGATTTTCTTAACAGCATCTTCCTATCTTAAAACTGGCTCACGTAAGATTCTTTACTGATTTTGAGTTTACAACACTGATCAATTAATAGGGAGGTGCTTTGCTTTTAGGCTTCTGTAGTTTTTTAACTGAAAAAGGACAGAAGTATCTGGAAGGAAAAATGTGCACAGAAAAAGTCAAGTGGACAGGACAAGGGGGAATGGCTCTAACCTGACAGAGGAGAGATTGAGATGAGATCTCAGGCAGAAGTTCTTCCCTGTGAGGGTGGTGAGGCCCTGGCACAGGTTGCCCAGAAGAGCTGTGGCTGCCCCATCTCTGGGGCAGGTTGGATGGGGCTTGGAGCAACCTGGTCTAGTGGAAGGTGTCCCTACCCATGGCTGGGGCTTGCAACTGGATGAGCTTTAAGGTCCCTTCCAACCCAAACCAGTCTGGGATTTTGTGATTCTACTGAGAAGACAGGGACTGAAAAATATGGTATATAAATTCCTGCCACCTGCCCACAGGGAGTGTCCACTTGGAACTATCACCAAATAATGCCTGCTACTTAGAAGTATCTCCCATGCTGTGAAGTTGGTAAAGATAGTATATAACAGGGTGCTGCACAAAATTTATGTATCACAGTCACATGAGAAGCACCAGAGATCATCAACAGCACTGACTCATCAAAGATAGACGTCTAAGTTTGGTGCTTCAGTGGAATCAAACCATCTGGCAAAACCAAACTGCAAAACCAAGCATGTCAGTTGCGGCAAAGAAAATGCCTCACAAAAATGAGATACGAGTTTGTTTGCGCTTTTACACTCTCCTTGAGTGCTGCTCAACAACCACAACTGATCAGCTGCCTGCAAGTCTGCCTTTCTGCAATTCAAGTCCTTGTGTTCACCAGCCATTGAGACCATCTTAGAACTCCATGGTACTTCCAATTTGCACTGTGTTCTGGACAACCAGAAATTGCTTTGCAACGTTTCCAGTAACCTCTGGGAGTTTTGGTTTTCAGCCCTAGTCACAGTACTAAATAAACACTGTCAAAAAAAAAAAATGTAAAATGTTGCTTTTCTCCACCCACCTCTTATGGTGAAACATAACATGGCTATATAGCTATCCACAATTATGCACTTACATCATCCACTGTACTGGTTACTTCCCATCCTTGTTTTGCTGCTAGGTGTGTCAGTGCAGCTATATTGCTGTAACTCATATATGCCTGTAAATCATAGAATCATAGAATAGTTAGGGTTGGAAACGACCTTAAGATCATCTAGTTCCAACCCCCCTGCAGTGGGCAGGGACAAAGTAAGATACCTTTCTGAAAATAAAGGAACAAAGTTACATTTCACTGAACACTGCAGAAATAAGGTGTTCTTTTTCTATCATTACCCTTCAATGGCAAACAAATATATATTGGCCCAAAAGTGTTCCTTCCAGAAAACGCAGTCCAGTGTTTCTGAATTAAATACTTTCGATAGCTAGATTATGAGCTTGCATTGCTGTTGGCCAAATAGCCCTAATTAAACAACAAAATACTACTTTTGGCTTCTCCAATTATAAAGCAGTGCAGAGAAACTGTGATGCCCGGTGAGATAATACAGGTATTCCTCTCAGACCACTAAATTAATGGTTTCGTCCATCTTCCTCCTCAGGAATTAAAAACTACTAGAAAATTAACCTCTTCATTGTGATCTAGCTGTGGTCTATCTTGGCAATTGCTTTACACAGCATGCTCAGAGCAGAAAAAGTGCAAATATATTCATTATTTATGCTTGACTACAGTGGATAGAGTTCTCATTTAACCACTGTATAAAGAAAATACAGCCTTAGAGTCTTTAATGACAGGTTTTAATATTAAAAAAAAATCTTAAGTAAGCTTTTTTTATCATTGTGTCTGTATTTATATTTTTTTGTTTGCAGAAAAGAAATGCTGCTTCAAACAGCAGAGATGCCACTGTTAACAGCAAATCGCTTCCTGCATTATAATCCTTTTTTTGTTGTTGTTGTTGTTGTGTAATGGAAAAAGACCAGGTAAAACTGCTGGGAGCCACTGAGATCTTAAATGCAATGAAAACTTAACCACAAAAATCTGGCACTGAAAAAAGCATTTAGGGTGTCTGTAAGTCCACCTAAATTCAGGTTTCAGGTTCATCACTACTGACTGCATATTTACACAGTTTCACTATTAATCTGTCTGTTGGTTTGTCTCTGCTCCACCTTTTAGCATTTACTAAATGGTCTTTGCACAGCAATTGAGAAAGTCAGTGGCTGGATAAAGCAAAAAAAGACAAAAAAAAAGGAAAACCACAAAAAAAAAAAAAAAAAACAAGAAACTAATTCCTCCACAGGAGAATTCAGCTTTTTAAAAGCTGGAAACACTGGGACATAAATCTGTAGGAGACCTTACAGCTTGGCTGCTTAAGGGAGCACTTGCTAAGAGTCTATCTTAAAGCCATTTTTAATGATTTGTATGAAATTTACTCTTAAATCAATAGTGAAGGATTTTTTTTTTTTTCCAGAGGGAAAAAAAAAGAAAGTTGATTTTATTACAAATTGATCCATTCTTCTATGACTATCTTAACACTTAAGTACAGACAGTCCACTTTGGAAACTGGTAGGTACAAGTGTTATACATGCCTAAAAGTATACAAATATACCATTTTATGCAACCAGACAATAGAACACAATCTACAGATTACCTGGTTGCTTTTCTCCCAGAGATCAGAAGGTTTGTCTACTTTAGCAGATAGTATACATTTTCTAAAACAAAAGAAAAATTATAGCATGAATGGTTCTTTACACTTTCTTTCTACATATGCTAGAAACAATCAGTTCTACAGGCTGAAGCATCTTCTAAATCTTTTACAGGTATTTTATCAATTTTCAGTTGCAAGACAGGTTTGCAATAACTCCTTTTTCTTCCCAAGAAACACAGGGAAACAAAAAAACTAAAAAGCAAAGTATTTTTGAGACAAGTAACCTCTGATAGTTTCAATGCAACTTCGGCAAAACTGGTCAGAAAGTTAAGCACCATAATAGTTATGTTTGAGGAGACTTTCACTATTAAACAAATGATTACTTTTTTAGAGGATACATTAAAAAAACTTTTCAAAATCAAATTCTACTTGTAACTCAACTATATACCTGAATATACCTGATTAGTTGAATTCTCCTTCTGGCAATAGCTCCAAGGTATCGCCTCATACCATCCTTTACAAAAAGTAAACCAGACAGTAACACATTGATTATTTTAGGACACAGTCTAAAAAAAAAGACAACTAAAAATTATTTCTCACAGATGGACAAATGCCAGAGAGGTATTACAAATAAATAACATACTCTGTATATTGGCCTTTACCCAGATTCGCCTGAGCAAGTTGTTTTCCTCTGACTTTACAATATTCCCTTAAATTTGCACCAACAATCCAATAAAAAAGTTGTAGCACAGTAGCACGTTCCTAGCACATTTAACACAGTGGCAGCTGGGCAGTGCACCATACTTATTCTGCACTTTCTAAATGTGCCATCTGTACAAACAGATGTGATTTGCCTACTCAGGTGGCAGGTCTTCCCTTGTTATTATTCTGCACCAGTGGATGTTTTTTTGAAGCACCTAAGCGACCTAAGAACATACATCATAACAAACTGCATTAAAAGCTCATAGGACTTGTTATCTAGAAGGACATGCCACTTCAAAAAGCTTCTTTTAATCAGCTTTTAAGAGCTGACATGTAGCTTCTGGAATAAGAAGAATCTCCAGATTAGTGCATCCCAGCCTTCTTTAAACTACATGATGAATTTTGAAAACATCTCTTGCCTGTTTGGTAGAACTCTGCCATACCAGCTGTCACTTAAGACCACTGAAAGTTTAAACTACCTTGAGCACATACTAATTTTCCAAGATTTGTCTTCTTTGCTGTAAACAAATGTGTGTGCATGTTCTTACCTTCATGTTTGTGGATGCCGCTCTAGGCAGGTCTTTAGGGAAGCACTATGTTTCTGACAGAAGCTAAACTGCTATGGCTTGTTTTCTTTGTTTTTTTAAGAGGAAGTGTCAGTTCTGCCTCTTTGAACACGATGTAATGGGTGGTAATGAACCTTACTGACTCAGCTAGTGCACAGGACACCTGCATTTATTTGTCCAGTTGCCATCCCATAAACTGCAAGTTCACTGATGCTGAATAATCATTTCATTTCTGTCTGTGCTGGCTCTCTAAAAATTATGTAACTGGAGCAGTAAGGTTAATGACAGGTGACATCACAGCAAATAGTATTCAAACTGCTCTTAGTGCTTCATGAATCACTTTCAGGGAAACACATGCTGAGATCTCCATGTCAAAGGAACTGGAAAGCCTACCCACATCATGGGATTTGACTTCTACAGATTTGCATATTAATTCTATTTCTCACCTTCATTAAGGGTTTATAAAAATAACTTTTATTCACTAAACGCTTAGGAGTTTCATCTACAGTCAGTGGAGGCTGCACAAGACAGCTACTGACAGGTACAAAAACCTGCAAAATAGCAGATTCTTCTTCCCTGTCCATTAACTACAGAACTTATAATGGAGGGTAGTGCCCCTCCACTATACCTCTCAGTTTTGGATGACTGAAGTTAACAATGAAAAATCGCTCACTCAAAGACAAACATTTCATTTAGAGGATTTTTTTTTTCTGTGAGAAAATTTTAGTGCCCTGTTTAGTGTTCCATTTTCCCAGCACGGAAAATGCATGCCACACAGTGGCTGGCTGTGTGACATGCAGTGTTCTAGGTTTGACCACATAATCTCATAGAATCATAGAATCAACTAGGTTGGAAAAGACCTTTAAGATCATGAAGTCCAATCATCATGTATGCATTCGTCCTACTCCTGAGGATGAGAGCTGACCTGTGTAGTAGGTTTGATTCTGGGGAGGGTGAGCAACTCTCCACTGTCATTCACAGCGTTAAAAATGAGAAATGCGCTGTTAATGTGCCGTGGCTGGTTCTTGATCCATTCTTCACAGTTATAAGCCTCGACACGGACACCAACATCCACACTGAAATAGAAGTTTAAATTAAACTACTACAAGTGATGCAGAAGTAGCTCTGAGACATACTAAAAGGGCTGTTGGATACCTTTCTCTACGAGGGAGGCCTGACTCAAATAGCTTCTGTGGCATACAAAATAAATTAGTCTGGACAGAAACATTTCAGAAATAAAATAATAGGTGGCACTAGCTTGAATTAAATGACAAAATATGACCACCAGTAAGCATACTGTGAGAACAGACAGCAAAAGTGAACAGGATGATACTGATTTGACATTCAGCCGAAGCATGGTATGAAGGCAATTCATTCCCTGCTAGCATTCAGTGCGGCCAAATACACTTATAAAGAAAACAGGCACAGAACAGCAATGCCAGGGCAACATTTGCCCCTTGTACAGAATTTGGAGGACAAATTACTTTAGCTTCTGCCTTCTTGCGGCTTGTCTTGCTACACATTTTGCAACTTCTGAACATGTCCTCCTGCTGGGACAGGGTTTCCATAAGATGTGTCACAGCCCGGGCATAACCTAAGAGTCTGTTGGCCCAAAGCCATGCTGTAGGTGGGGAAACAGCCTAGCAGATAAGTGCTATCCTGTTGTCAAAGGTTAGAGGAGAGTAATTCTCTATAAGGCAAACACGAGAGTAGCCCTACTTTTGTAGAGAAGGTAGCACATGCATGGGAAAATTACAGTAACCATTAGCAAGAAGGCTCTCTGCACTATGGGTCAACAGCCACACCACTAAATTCCAGGACCAGGCATTCAGTGTGCTAAAATCTCTGTTTCATGGTTACAGTGACCATATACTCAAATAAAGATAAAATTTCAGCATGGGCTGCAGCCACTTATTCCAAACTGCAACTGGCAAAGCCTCAACTTTGTGTACACTCAAACCAACACTGGGAAGAAATAAACAAAATAAAGCAGGTGTTTTTCTAGCAATAAGTAGAACCTAGATCTGTAAACAGATGCCAAGACAAGAAGATCCTGGCAGCAAGCTTGAGTCTTACGAAGAAACAAAGCTGTGGGATCAACTCATCTCTTGAAAATCCCTGAATTTCAAAGTTACATTCATGGTCTGAATTTGCAGGATTGGAATTTTTTAACAAACGATCTTTAAATTGAGAGTGAATGTCAGAGAAAAATTTTCAAAACTGACACTGAGAAAAATAAAAAAAAGGCACACACAGACAGTTACAGGTATATCCCTGAAAGCCCCAGCGGAAAAATCATTTATTTAGTAATGCAAACCCTACAGATAGCTGCAACCTGAAACACACATTTAGGCTGGTGCTGGACAAGTCAAGGAAGACAACCAGATGAGGAGCTTACCTATTCTGAAATGTATTGTTCACAATTGCATTGAAAACAAGGTGGTCACCCACAACGGATGGTCCCCAGAATTTAAACATATTGACTGATTTCAAGACAGGATATGAATGACAAAGGCAGCTGAAAAAGAAAGCAAAAGAGGCAGAGAGCAAAACATACAGTTGTGTTAAAAAACTTCGATGCTAGATTTGAAGTGGTAGTGATTAGAGAAACAAGGTTTGTGCAACCCAGAAGATCACTATATTACTCTAATTTATTCCATAACTCACTGAAATACAGTTAACATGGTCAGCTCCACGTGCATAAAGTTCCAGCTTCAAACATAATAGTACCATTTATGTCATGCTGTTTCATATTCAACACACTTTACAAACACTGACTATAATTAATTCTTGCTGCTTGATGCTACCTTGTTTTGGAGCCAGATCAGGAATCCGTTACTACAGAGTAACCATTTACTTCACAGAGTTTCGTTAATTTCTATATGACAGCATGGGGAGTAGGATATTGCTCAGTATGTAAAAAAGCCAGATCATAAATCATTTAAACAATTAAAAGAAACCTGAGCAGAAAGGTTGAGCTCCAGAAAAAATGTTCAAGCAAAATACTGTCAGTCTATTTAACACTTGTACTGTTTTGCTTGTTTATCAGCCATTTTCTGCTAGCATTATATGAAATAACAATTAAAACCTACTAATGTAACTGTCAAATGCATAGCTGGTTTTGTCGGGGTTTTTTGGTGTTTTTTTTTGTTTTAAACTTTGGTCTGCTTTACTAAATTATGTGCAGTTCACTACTGGTGCTGAGCTGGGAAACACATCTTTGCCTATACAAAAGAACATAAGACGTTGAAGTGATCACTTAGTGATTCATAAACTGTTGGCTAAATTTCAAAAGCTGAGGGGACAACAGTGTATTACAAACACACAAATCTTAGTAAGCCTGTTCCCTTTATCCTTCTGATTGCATAGTGTGTCTGCTCAGCTGTCTTATTTCAGACCTAATCCTCCACTGTGCTCAATTATATGTAGTCATATTCAGCTGGGTTGTCCTACTGTATCTCTTTGTACTGCTTGTGAAATAGGCTGTAGCCACTGTGGTAAAACTTTGCATGTCTAGGACAGAAGATCGTCTGCCATGCAAGTACCCTTTCCACAAGTATACTCATAAAGCTGCCCTTTAGTACAGTGGATTAACAGATACACCTGATCAAACCCAGCCACACAGCTACAGAAAAAGTTGTGCTAAAGAAAAACCTTTGCAATAGTGTGTCATCTATACTAGGGAATACCAACAACTAATCGCCTCTCTGACCTTCACAGACATTCCAGGAAAAAAGTTTGCAGCACAGATACAGGTTAAGGAAGGGTATGTGGAATTAGGGTCTTGTCTGCATGCTCTCTGGAGTGGGCAAAAATTAGGTTTCTTCAAAAGGAATGCGAGCAGCAGGTTGAGGGAAGGGATTCTCCCCCCTGTTGCGCTCTGCAGAGGACCCCCCTGCAGTCCTGCGTCCAGCTCTGGGGCAACAACACAACAGGGACATGGAACTGTTGAAGCGAGTCCAGAGGAGGCCATGGACTTGCTGCGAGGGCTGGAGCAGCTCTGCTCTGGAGACAGGCTGAGAGAGCTGGGCTGGTTCAGCCTGGAGAAGAGAAGACTCCGTAAGGGGAGACCTCAGAGCAGCTGCCAGTGCCTAAAGGGGCTGCAAGAAACTTGGAGAAGGGCTTTTAACAAGGGCCTTTTGTAGGGATAGGACAAGAGTGAATGGCTTTAACCTGCCAGAGGGGAGACTGAAATGAGCTCTTAGGCAGAAGTTCTTCCCTGTGAGGGTTGTGAGGCCCTGGCACAGGTTGCCCAGAGAAACTGTGGCTGCCCCATCCCTGGCAGTGTTCAAGACCAGGTTGGAGAGGGCTTGGAGCAACTTGATCTAGTGGAAAGCATCCTGCCTGTGACAGGCGGATGGAACTGGATGATCTTTAAGGTGCCTTCCAACCCCAACCATTCCATGATGCTATGATTCTATGATTCAGGGGTTATAAATGTAGTCGAATTCCCAGTCTTTACTGGAATCTCTCTAGATTACATGAGTAGGGAACAATACACAATAATGCCATTTATTTTTGGACTTTGAAAAAACACTGTCCTCATGCATGTGTGCAAAACTCCTCAGTAAGAATCCCATACGCACATCTGAGAATAGATTTTTCATTGTGCAGATCTTAAACTCAAAAATACTGTTTGGTAGCATTCCTACCTTTTAACTCAACTGCACTCTGCAAACTAATGTACCAGAATTCTTAAAAGCACACAATTACCTGTAGCTAACTAACTGACTGGTACATATTTCTAACAGACTAATAGATTTAAATGATTGGCATTTCATTAAGTTGCTCCTCTGATTTTAAATGCAAAACAGTGATCTTATCTATAATGTTCACAAGACAGATGCAAACACAGTATTACTGAAAATAAGGGAGGCAAACCCCAGAAATTAGGCCTAAATATTCCAGTTTTCTGGAAGACTATGCCCCAAATACTAATACTGCAAGTGTATGAAACACAAAAGTACAGATTGGAATCAAACTATTAAATATTATTAATATTCAAATGTCTTTATTGCTATCTGCAATATTTTCATCTACTATCCGGCCAAAAAACTGTGGGCAGGAGGGAAGTGGGAGAACTTAAGGGTGAGTAACCTTTAAAACACCCTTAGAAATGTATTTGTCAAGCGTCAGCCCTCTTCTAATTGTGCTCCTCCATCGGTTTGTGGCCATAGCAACTCTTAATTGGCACCTTAAAAGGTCAGGTCTAATTGTGAGTGGTCTAACAAAAGGTTTGTATCAAAACTAGCCATTTCTCAAGCATAAAGCACAAAATCTCTGTTTTTAACAAGCCTCTGTCACCAGCCATTACTCCTGAAATTTTCAACATGATGAACAGTGTTTGACATACATTAATTCAAACAAAAATTTTTCAGTACTTGGTTTGCTGATGTTTTCCTTTTCTTTTTGAACCTAAGTGTGACTCTCACTAGATAAAATTAATGAAAAATGAAAAGAGATAAATATTTTGGGTCATATTACGGCAAAGATCTGAAACAATCCCTTGGAAGCCAATAAAATGGCATACTTGTGTAAGGTCAGTGCATTCTAATATTACAAAAACTAGCTGTTTATCCAACCCCTACAGAAAATCTGTTGTTATCTGTACAACTACTGGCTACAAATCGAAAGTAAATTAATAATGAATGGGAAAGTCATTTAATTATTAAAGTTAAAAAGCGAAAACATATCACAGAATCACAGAATCCTAAGGGTTGGAAGGGACCTCAAAAGATCTAGTCCAACCCCCCTGCAAGAGCAGGGTAACCTAGAGTACATCACACAGGAACTTGTCCAGGCGGGCCTTGAATATCTCCAATGTAGGAGACTCCACAACCCCCCTGGGCAACCCATTCCAGTGCTCTGTCACTCTCCCAGTAAAGAAATTTTTCCTGATGTTCACATGGAACCTCCTATGCTCCAGTTTACACCCACTGCCCCTTGTCCTACCACTGGACATCACTGAAAAAAACCTAGCTCCATCATCCTGACACTCACCCTTTACATATTTGTAAACATTGATGAGGTCACCCCTCAGTCTCCTCTTCTCCAAGCTAAAGAGTCCCAGCTCCCTCAGCCTCTCCTCATAAGAGAGATGTTCCACTCCCTTAATCATCTTTGTGGCTCTGCGCTGGACCCTTTCAAGCAATTCCCTGTCCTTCTTGAACTGAGGGGCCCAGAACTGGACACAATATTCCAGATGTGGCCTCACCAAGGCAGAGTAGAGGGGGAGGAGAACCTCTCTTGACCTACTAACCACACCCTTTCTAATGCACCCTAGGATGCCATTGGCCTTCTTGGCCACAAGGGCACATTGCTGCCTCATGGTCATCCTCCTATCCACCAGGTCCCTTTCCCCTTCACTACTGTCCAGCAGGTCATCCCCCAACCTGTACTGGTACACGGGGTTGTTCTTCCCCAGATGCAAGACTCTACACTTGCCCTTGTTGAATTTCATCAAGTTTCTCTCCGCCCAACTCTCCAGCCTGTCCAGGTCTCACTGAATGGCAACACAGCCCATATCTAACATCCCTGCAGTGAATTAGGTCACTTAGTATGCAAAAAGAATTCAAACTGAAACTCTAGTTTTGCTAACAAAGCAGCTTTGTACAGCATCCAAGAACAAGGAGGGATAAAAACAATGGCTTTATTTCACTGGAAGAGAAATTAAATGATTTTAACTCTAGGCCAAACTGACAAGCAGTAATAGGCAGTGTTAAATACTTCGCACTTAATACCTGAAGATGACAAAGCCTTTTAAAAAGCTAAAAATATTATGACCCATAGGATGGGGACTCAGACTGAAAGGTTAAATGACTTGCTGAAGGTTATGCATCCATTCTGTGTGTGCACCAACAAAACAGAACCTGTTTCACTTCTTTTTCTCTGACTTACTCTTTCTTCTGGCATAAGGATCTGCAGACTAATATTTAGAAGCCTGTTCACTTTTGGGTATCAGTTGATAGAGGGTTTGTACTGGTTTTATCCTGACTTAACAAGTAACCCTATATTTAAAACAATGCATCAACCACCTGGTGGGCAGGCTTCTGTTCTGATGTCCAATGCTGACTTTCTACTGAGATTCTCAAGAGAAGAACATTGCCTCTTTTGCCTTAGGGTCTCCATGTGTAACAGAAGAGTAACATTTGGCTCCCACAGGGGTGTGGCATGCTGTAGGAACTGTACCACATGATTACTTCAAAGGCCTCCTGCAATCTTAGAAGGAAGAAAAGTCACAAAGGCTTGGGTCTGTATTTTTCATAAAATAAATCCTTATGAAACCCTTAATGTTAAAATCACATCCATTTAGAACCATGTGTGAAGACTATGATAGAGAAAAGTACCTTGCTGAAATACTTGCCACTGTTTCCATCCAAGCCATGATCTGGCCACCAAAAGTGTTTCCATGATGGTTTGCATGAGGAGGCTGAACAAGCTCAATACTCTGTACATGAGTAAGGTCAGTTGAAACTCCATGCTCCTCTTCAAAGGTATCTGAAATATGGCAGCAACATATTAATGAATTATTTCAGCTAGTAACTCTGATAGCCAAGAAGAAAATACCCCGTTACTGAAGGGTGCATTTTGCTTCAGGCAAGACTGAAAAGAATTAAAAAAGAAAGGCACAGAAGACCTCTGTTTTTCGCAAGGCTGAAGATTTACTCTCTTCTCCCAAGGGACATAAGTGGTAGGGGATGGTGCACACTGCAGTCTATCACAGCACAGTGATCCTTCCCAGCCCCCCTACAACCTTTCAAGAAGTGGTGTCAGAAGCAGTCACTGTGACGCTTGGTTATCTGCAAATGCAGACAGCCAACAGCCTCTGCATATGCCTGTGATTATTCATGGTTGCTATGGGCGCTGTGCATGACCTCTAATGGATGTTGTCAGAGCGTTTATCACTTGTTCAAATGACTTTCATAGACTTTGACCACCATATATGATGGCCACCTGTGTAAATGTGTCTAATTAAGGTTAGGCATGATTGTTTCAACAGATCTTGTGATTACCAGAGACAATACAGGACACATGAGAGTAAGAAGTATGGATCTGAATCAGTAATGGATTTTCTAGTTCCATTTTCAAATGTTTAGCTATACATCCACACTCTAATCTTTTTTTGCAGTTATGTTTTGCAAGATCAGATTCAGACATGTGATGATGCCAATCATTCTAAAGTGTATCTATGTTGATCTGAATTGTACTTTTGACTTTTGCCATAATTAACTGAAGTTATGATTATATGAAAGTGTGGACATATTTGACTAACTCGTACTTTGGACCTACTTAAGTTGTTGCATAAGATCACTCAGAAAAACTTCACTTTCTGGATACGATTTATACCTATTTTGCTACCTGGCAGCCTTTACACACAGTATTTTCTTCTCTCATTCCCCTGTTTTGCTTGTTCTGTCTCCTTAAGGAGGTGAATTAGTGCTAACAATGATAAGATCCTTCAAGGAAGTTCCTAGGCAAGGCAGTGGAAACAAAATCATCAACCTCTGATTTGTCTTTCATGGTATTAAGCTGTTTCCTATGAGGCAGTTACCATGAAGACAAATAACTTGTTTGCTTCTAGCTTCTAGCAAACTTGTTTGTGAGTAAACAAGTCTCTTCAGTTCTAGATAATCTTGTTAAATTGTTACAACTAGAATCTATATTTACAACAGGTTTAGCCCTTCCTCAGTAAAACCACAGGATGTCTGTTGTTTGTATGTGGAGCTATGGCTCAGATTTTCCAAATACCAGCATATTTCTTAACTGCTGTGAATAATTTCTTTTGCAGGGGAGCTCAGCAGCTTTTGAGTGTAACTATCTTTAAGAACAGAGGTAAGAAATAAAGACAAACCTGCCTCGTAGCTCAGTTTTTCTAATTTGGTCATGAGGAGTTTAAATTTCTTTTACCTGTTTTGACCTCCATGTAGTGAAGCTTCTCCTGCTTCTTGGTAACGATTTCACAAGATAAACAGAGTTCTTAGTGCTTTCTTGCAAAGACATAACTCTAAGCCTGAGTGAATTTTATCCTCCTATCGATACTACAACTAGTGTCACAGGACCTTTGCAAAAAGGAAACATAGGAATTCCAACATAGGAATTTTGCAACATTCTGTGTGAGCTGTTAAACCTTACACAGATAACCTACATGAAAATCTGCATTTCACATTTATTTAACACACGCTTAGCCTTCAATCCTGCTTTTTTAAATCTGGAATGTCTGAAAGACAAAGAAATACCACTCTATCAGAATGTCTTACACACCCTCACAAATCTGGCACGTGCTTTTCTACATGATACCACAACATCAAAGAGCTCTACTCAGGCATTTTGTCTGCTTTTTTCCTCCCTTGCAGCTGCTCGTAAGTCATTTGTTCCATCCTCTATGCTGACCACAGTAATCACCTTCCTTATTACTCTCCTGCATTAGGTTCTGAAAGAGCTGTTCATAGCCCAGTCGGATTCTTCTTCTCTCAATAGCCAGGCTGTGCTCCAGGTGGTCTTCTGTAGACAGAAGCTTTACAGGTTCTAATTCAATCTATGCAAAAAAACAAACAAACAAAAGGTTCCAAACACCATAATCATAACAAAGTGCACTTTGAGCTTAAAATGGCATCAGCATTTTCTACAATCTTTTGCTATCAACTGTCCAAGATGACAAGTTCTATTAATACAAACAAGTGCAGAGTTAAAGTTCAAGAGATTCTGCATTATCCTTTCTGAATCGCTTGTTAAAACACAGTAACAAAGTTCTTTTAGCTTTTAAATACAAATGCACATGACAGCACATGCAGTTTAAGACAATTCTCACTTAGATAAAAAAAGGAAAAGATCTTGATATGTAGGTTTGACTGCTGATATTTTGTATCAGAAAAATAATCCAGTTGCATTAATCAGCCGTATAGTCTATGGGAAAGTGTATCCCAGAGCTGACTCCCACCCAGGACAGAAATAGGTCCCTCTATGGAGAGTAGAAATACTCTCCATACTCACATTGCCTATTCCACCTATCTTGAGGACCAGTTTTCAAAGAAGCACTCAGGTGCACTAAGATGGAGGAGAAACATGAACACCCAGCACTTAGTGCAGCTTCAGACTACAGTTATGCCCAAAACTGCTACTTCTGCTCAGATACACACCCTTCTCTTGCGAAGATCAGACCTTCTCCTGTAAGTAAAAATTCCCATGTATGTCAGTTCAATAACAAACCCAATCCAAACCTGTACTGGCTTAAGAAAATTATTACATTTAGATAAATATTGCATAGGTGTCACTGGGCAGTCAAGTGTGTGACTTGTCTACAAGGTCTACCTCAGAAACCTTAAAATAATGCACAAGCACTGCAACATGGGCAAATACAACATTTTGTATCCTGCAGTAGTGCTGCTCATGTTCCTCAAGAAGGCTCTGAGTCTTCACTCAAGCTCTCTTGCAGCTTCCTTGCCTCCTTTCTGGCCCTTCTCAACAGCTTCCTAGCTTTTTCCAGACAGCCCCACTAAAAGATTAAGATGGTGAGTGCACACTGTTGCTCTCTACTCAATTTTAGCAACAGTTGCCCAGAAAAGTGGATTTGAAAAAACGTTCTTTAATTTCTCCAACACTATAATTTGTGATGGAATTTGAACTGAAGTCTCAAACTCCCTCTGGGGTGTTACTGTCTTAAGCCTAACCTTAATCATCACCAATTTAATCCTGAATTGATTAATTAATTAATCCCTGGAAATTTGGGCAAAAGTTAAATGGGTAGACGCCACTGATATGATATCAAATCAATAATACACAATCCTTACTTTATACTATTTTGGTGTTTTCAGGTTAACCAATTTAGCTATTAACCTTTCAGAGACAAGCTGGGCTTTAGCTTTGGTAAAACTGCTCGGTTCGGTCTCTTCTGCAAACTAAGCATGAGAAAGGCCTTTCTCATATGAAAGCTTTAAAAGAACTGTGCCTGCTTGGCACAGCAATGTGAAGGCTAACAGTACCATGACTGACTTCTAAATGTCTCCAGGGAGCCAAACACTGGGGAGAAGAAACATTGGCATGAGAACTAATTAACATAAACGGCAAAGAATTAATTTAGATTGGAAGCTACCTTAAAAATAATGTCTTTTATGTGAATAGTGATGTCTGAACAACCTCCTCAAAAGGGGAAGTAAAAGATAAAGAAACCCCACCCCAAATACCCTTGAGGTTTCAGAATGTAGATAGATCAGTAACTGAAAAGGAGAGAGACTATGGAGACTCACAAGTATCTCTCTTCCAGTGCTTGCCTCTCTCAATATTGCAAAGACACTAGTTCTATTATTAGCAAACATGAAACACAAAGTGGAAACAATAAAAAAAAGCCTAGGAATTTTGGAACAGAGATGTGGGAAAAAAAGCGTCTCCATGAAGTCTGCACTTCATACTGTTTTCCTATTACTTTTCAGAATATCAGGTATGAACATTTTATTGTGTTTCACAACCAGAAAAGCTGGATTATTTAGCAGAAAGTAACTCAGTCCCAGTAATTTAGCATAGAAGGAAACAGAAGAAATACCTTTCCACGACCAACTGGTTTGGCTACATATGTTGCATATGCCACACTCACAGTTTTTTCAACATTAGTCAAAACATCCTGTACCGTAACCTTGATGCCAACCTAGAAGGAAGAAGGTAGTGAAGAAGGAGACAAAGTATTTACATCATTGTCAGCTGAATTGAGACAAAATGGTGCAGTCTCTTAAAGAAAAGAACATAAAAGAACTGTGCTGCTACCACTGAGACATCTCTGAACACGTAAGAACATCACAGTATCCACTGAATTCTGAAAAGTGTTTTAGTACAACTGTAGGTATGCTTAGCATCACTTGTAAGATAAAGTAAAAAACAGGAAAGACACTTAGATTTAGTTGTATGGGTCTCTTTCCATTTACATGTGTGCCCTTTGGAGTCCCTGAGATCTGTATGCACAGAGAAGTCTATATAAATGTATAAAACTCAAGGAAACACTTCAAGGTGAAACAGCGTAATTGATCCTGTGTGACACAGGCCTGACATGAATCAAAGCTTCTGACTGTTTTCTAACTTTTAGAACCTTTAAGAATACATCCTCTATGAGATGCACCACTCTATGAAAAAGAATTGTGCTTGGGCATAATGCAGAGAAACTGAACCTTAAGGTTCAGTTATGATTTCAAGTAAGTGATTGGGCAATGCATTGCATGCTTGCTACAAAACAAAGAGTGTGAACATGCACACACCTGAATATATTTTTGTATCAGAAGTTTCAAAAATACTTAGAACTCCACCTAGCCAGTGGATCCTAGCTCTGACCTAAAGACTGCTTAAAGGTCAACCGCTTTGGACTGGACCAACACCACCTACCCCATCCTGTCCACTACACCTGCCAAATATTTTAAGTCTTCAGAGTCCAGTTTCTATTTTGACACCGATTATTTTACAGGAAACATGCAACTATAATACACATTATGAAAACAGTTTAATCAGGCAGATATTCTTTAGATATCTGCACAAAGCTCCCAGACCCATGCTGCATCCCTCCATTCCTCCCACCTATCTTCTATTCTTTAAATATTGTTAAAATAGTGATGATTTGTTACCTCCATGCTGGTTTTGAATGCTCTGTTCACCTTTGATTTGATGGTAATAATTTGTCCGACCCTGTTAAGAAAAAGAGCATGGTATGTAATCATGCAGCTTCATAAGGGCTTGAACCTGCCTCTCTAGGTATTCCTAATAGTGAAGAAAATGTCATTAATCAGTCTGTGCCTTCCATCCCATACTGAAAACGCACTGAAAAAGGTCTAGCTCTGTAATTCACCAGACTTCATTCATGCTCAGTAACAACTTTAGTTGTTCAGAAAACTCTGTAAGCTTAGTATTAGCATTGGTTCTCCTTGCTGATGCCTGTGTGACATCAGGCATGCCTCAGGCCCCACGACCCCCAAGAAATTTTGGGCTACATTCTGCTTTTGGTCAAAGGGACATGTCTGCAAAACAAGATGTGTCTATCACACAAGACACACTCCTTGTATACTCTCTAGCATACAGATACATGTACATGAAGAAATAATACCTGGAGGAAAGGTGCTCTTTCACATCTTTGAAGGATTGGGAAAGAGGTCACTGCAAGTTTTAGCCAAGAACAGGGCTGAAGCATGTCCCTTCTGTTCTCTTAACAGCACACCTCTGAACAACTACTCTTCCTCATTTACCTACACAGAATCCCCAAACAGAATTGTATCTTTCTACCTAAATAGTATCAAATTTAAATGAGAAACTAATTTATTTCCTTCTGGAATGTCTAAAGTACCTGTTAGTGTTGGTAACAGGCGTGATTCTGAACAGGCAGTGTTGAAAGGGTGGAAAGAAGGCAGTTTCCCCTAAAACTGCCTTACTGAGCACAGCAATAGAAGGACATGATGCGCATGGTGAGTCAGAACAACAGACAAGATAACGGCATCGGAGGACCACTGCCTTCAGGGAATTTAGACAGACTGACAGTTGTAAAGATCAGTCCCAGAGTAGGCTAAGTGCAGCTAGCTACATCTGAGTCTTGAAGATATAACTCAGACCACTTGAGTACCTATGAAATAGGCATTTATAGCTAAGGATTTGGCACAGTCATGACCAGGGTTTATATTAGAAAAAATTTTATCATTTCTCCCTGATTTAATGAATAGGGTTTTGACATATAAAGGTATCTGGCTTTTCTTAAATTGCTTCTCTCTATGCCAGAACTTCAAATGAATTGTTACCAAACACTAGAATGGGGAATAGGAAACCTGCTCTTTTACAATACCAGACACGAACAACTAATTACATGGAAACTTTCTTCTTGTTCACATTCAAGAACACAAGTGGAAACCTTTGAGTACATGGGGGAGGAAAATGGCTATACAAAAGAAGACCATACAGCAAATATACAGCCCTCATTAGCATCTGAAGAACATATTCAGAAGGAATTGTTCCCTCACTGATTACAAAGAAAAAGCACAACCATTAATACAGTAATTCTAAACTCACAGCTAAGGGAACCACCAGAAAAAGGAGAATGTATTCATAATTGTAACACGATATTTATGTCTAAGTTTGGAGAAGTTAACATTACAATGTTGTAAAGGCTTTAGAAAGGCTCAAGTCAAAACCCAGTCAAGTACCCTGAAACACCTCTGAAGGCTCTGTATTTGTCATAAAACTCCCAAGAGAGAGGACTTCAGTAACACAGCAGTAGCGGTAATGATAAATACGCAGTGAAAAGAAAGAGAATATGCTAACTGGACAACCTGCACGATTAAAAGCAACATACACCAATAGTGAGAGAGGCCTTCCTTAAGAGAATTCTGAGTCTCTACAGATGCATGCAGGGGATGTCATGGTCCCTGTCAAAAATATCACAATACTGGATTGTCCATGAGGTCCCATCAGGGACGGCAAAGGTCTCAATCTCAGGCTTACTGGCCTGTAAGTATTCTTCTGTGCAAAGATTGTTTATTTCACCTTTGTCAGTGACACCTCCCTCCTGACCTCTATTCCTCTCTGTGAGAACATTGCATAAGAAAGGTTGAGAGAGGTAAATCTGGGTCTGTCTGACTATGAGAAAACTGCAGGGTGGGAACAACAAAACAAAGCTGGATGTGATCTCACTGGGCCTGAGACAGTCCTGCAACAAGGCAGGTCTGAACTTCACGAACATCAGACACCCCGACTGACTGGCACCTCCCTGGTGCACAAAGCAGTCTGTGCAGCTGGACTCACGTTTTGTGGCAGAAAAGTGTACTCTAGAGTCCATGGCCAGATCAGAAAATGAAGATGTCAGAACTGAGATGGTCAGACACTATGATAGTGAAATGTTTTTTCAAATACTTTCAGGAGCTGTTTCAAAATTAAATGGTTTACATTATAACACATATTCTGACTTTGGACAACCTGATTTATTTGGGCATTTAACTAGGTAAGGGCAGAAGTCACAGAACACCATTTACCTACACAGAATCCCTAAACAGATATTCATCTGGCATAAAGCAGAAAGCTTTTAAAATGTAACAGAATGACTGAATATTATTCACATATGGAGCACTAACAAAATTCAAATACATTTAATTTAAAATCAGATATTCTTACTAGCACTGAACTGCTGCACTTTTAAACTGCTGCATATTAAAAAAAACAAGGAAGAAGTATTTATTTGTTATTATGGCATAAAATTGAGTTTTGCAATAAAGAGATTTGTGGAAATATCTGTTTCCATGTCAACCAAAAAGAAATATGTACGGAAGAGTTAATCCTTACAGAACATTTGGTAACCTGAGTTAGGTAAATGAAACCTTGCACTAGGTAACTTACAAAACATATTTTAATTTAGAGTGAGATACAAGAGCTCTCTTATTTATGCAAGATGTTTGTATAATCAAAATGATCTGGCAAAATTTTGGAAATTACACAGTGAACTACAATCGGAATGTTAGAGATAACCTGAGGCTGAAAAACAATTACTGAAACCACTTCACAGTTACTAGGCTTGTAGCCTGAATTCATGTTAAAAATGAAAAATTGGTACAACAAGAGGAAGGAGGACTAGAGACATATTGGAAACAAATTTGGAAGGAAAAGTATTTTCATTATACTTTAGGAGATCTGTTCTGCTCTTGGAAACGAGAGAAAACTGCTCTGAAGCTACTGAAGTCTGAAATACTATGCTGGAAATATCATGCCTGAATTCATTTCTAGGACTCTCTGATTACAGTTTCACAGAGAGGATTTTTTCCCAAGGATAAATAAACATAAAACAAAACAAAACAACAGCAAAAAAAAAAACCAGAAATGAATTACATGCAGGACAAACACTTTAATTTTGTAAATCTGACCAAAAAACTCTGGAGTTCTAGACTAAGAATGACAATGTTCACTTCTTTGTTACTACTTCTAGTTCTCATCCTAATGGCCACTAGTCTAAAAATCTGCTGTTCAGAACTGTGAGAGGATGTCTGTTTTAAACTCCTGTGCTGCAAACAGTTTTAAATTGACATCAGCTGTACATCCAACAGCCAGCATTGTTTGGTTCAGTCAGGACAACTGCATGCATATTCATCAGTGTAACCCCACAGGCTCATTCCATCTAAGCACTCACTGATTTCCAGATTGCAAGGTGTAAAAATACATGAAACCTACAAAGTGATGGCTTTAAGTTTCTGCAAAGATATGGCTTAGGAATAAATATGCAATTTCCCCTTTCAGTGTCTTTTATCCTTTGGAAAATAATGAAAAATGGTTAAAACAGAAGTCCTGTATTATCTTGTAGACTGCTGTGGTTTAAGCCCAGCTAGCAACAAGTACCATGCAGCTGCTCTCTCACTCACTCACGCTCTGGGTGGGATGGGGAGGAGAATCAGAAGAAGATTAAATCCATGTGTTGAGATGAGAACAGTTTAATAACTAAAATTAAGTAAAATCTAATAATAATAGAAATTATAACAACGATAAAAATATTTATAATAGTAACAGGTGTCCTGGGTTCAGCTGTAACAGTTATTTTTCTCCTTCTTAGTAGCTGCTGCAGTGCTGTCTTTCAGCTTTAGTCTGAGAACAATGCTGGTGACACACCAATGTTTTGGTTGTTGCTACGTAATTCTTATACCGATCAAGGACTGTTCAGTCTTTCATGCTCTGCCAGTGCAGAGGGGCACAGGAAGCTGGGAGGAAGCACAGACAGGACACCTGACCCAAACTACCCAAAGGTGTATTCCATACCCCAGCACATCATGCTCAGTATATAGACTGGCAGAAGTCACCCAGAAGGCCCAGACAGCTGCTTGGGTCAGGCTGGGTATCAGTCAGCGGGTGGTGAGCAACTGTATTCTCTCCCCTTGTTATCTCCCTTATCATTATTATTATTGGTGGTAGCAGTAGTGGTTTTGTGTTATACCTTGGCTACTGGACTGTTCTTATCTCAACCCACGGGAGTTACATTCTTTCAATTCTCCTCGTCATCCCAGCAGGAGCTGGGGGATGAAGCTGCAGGGGGGAGAGCGACCAGCTGCGTAGTTCGGAGTCAGCATCTGGGCTTAAACCACAATCATAGGGAACAACCGGAAAAAAAAAAAGGACAAATAAAAATTCATAAAAAACAAAAATGCACAATACAATTGCTCACAACCCCGTGACTGATGCCCAGTCTGTACTCCAGCAGGAATCAGTGGCTCCCTACCACTTCCCCCAGTTTCTATACTGAGCATAATATTCTGTGGAATGGAATATCCCTTTAGATAGTTCAGATCAGCTGTCCTGTCTCTGCTCCCTCCCATCTTCTTGTGCCCCTCCTGGCAGAGCACGAGGCTGAACTGCCCTTGATCGGCATCAGTGTTATTGAGCAACAACTAAAACATCAGTTACCAGCATCGTTGTCAGACCATCGATGTTACCAGCACTGTTGTCAGACTAAATCCAAAAAACAGCATTGCACCAGCTGCTAGGAAAAAAACAACTGTCCCAGCTGAAAGCAGGACATTATCAATATTCAGTGATCACAAATGCAAAATATTTTTGTTTTGTTACACGTACACATTTTTCTAAAAGAGCTGAAAGAAAGAGATATTAAGAAATGAACTGAAGAGCACCTGCAACAGAAGAAAAAAAAAAAAAATCACACAGTAACTGTTACAGGCATGTATACCTTATTTAACAGAGATAAGTAACAGACTGCAGCACTGCCTTTAATTAGAGCCAAAGATCACTGGCCAATCAGTTTCTTACCTGGCATCTAGTTTGCCGAGTCAAAGTAACTGCAGTTTATTTTTTTATGTGTGAAACTGATCTCTTTTCTAGGTGGGCCAGGCTGTCATAGCTAGAAAAGAGCAGTTTTGAGATACAGCCCTGGGACTCCAGGGAGCGCACTGGCCTGCTATCTCAGATTTCATAATGCCTCAGTTTATCTCTGCCAAATAAGAATCTCTAGAATACAAACATTTGACTGATGTTAGTTGGTTTTGTACCTGGCAGCCTCTTCAAACTGTATGTCATCCACAGATGCAGTCACACAAGAAACACCAGCATGTTTCTCAGCTTCAAGAGAGACACAGGGACACACAGTTACAACACTGTGCTTGCAGCAAGATATTCACCTATATACTTTTGCACAAGAGAGAGAGATGAAACACAATAGATCCCACTTCTTTTGATCACCTTAATGCAAGCCTGCAGTAGACCTCTTAAAAAAACAAAAGCTAAGTTAATATTTATCATGAAATAAGGGTAACATCAGATGAGGCTAACTGATGATAATGTTCCTTCTTAGTTTGAAAAGCTCTAAAGTCTGTCTGTAAAAATGAACATTCTGGTAGGAAAGCATCAATAAACATGTTACAAAACAAAAAGAGTCACATAGCATTAACACACCTAAAGAAACCTCAGCAATTTTCCTCAACACAGGATGTCAGGAATATTGGCTGTGTTAAACCAGTGTGGAAGTTTCACATCAGTTGAAGACTCTCAGACACAGGAGGGTTATCTACTGGCTTATTAGCATGGTCACAGCAGTGGAGAGCAGGTAAGTGCATCCTCAGTGCTGTAGTAAAAATGCAGGAATTACAAAAATACAAACAAGAATTAAAAAAAAAAAATAAAACCTGCTTATTTAAATTTTATTTATTTATTTTAAAATAATTTTACCAAATTTCGAATTGCATTCTTCATCCCCCTAGGATGCATTTGACTATGAAAAACAACACACTCTATTTGTATTAATTATGCAAGTTAATCTGGAAGAGATAAACATCTTTACTGTTAATATTTAATAGGCCAATAGTTACCTTTTTACAGCAAGTTATTGTGATTAATTATTTATCTGACCATAGCAGCCAGAGTTCCAAGTCAGAGGCTAAATCTCCTCTAGGGCACACTAGGAGCTGTATAAACACAGGGAAGCCCTGCTCCAAAAAGTTCCCCGCAATAAAAGGCAAAACAGAGGACTAGCATTGAAGCTAGAAAACAGCACTGCACAACAGGCAGGAGTTCTCACGCCAAACAGTCTAGTATTTTTAGTGAGCATCACAAGCAAACACTTGGAAGAACTGCAGGATGGTGCACGAGCTGCATCAGTATGTGAGGAGTTTCCCTTTGAAAATACGAGGGCAAAACACATAAAGGCACTTACTAGAAACACAGCAAACTGGGATGACAGGGAAGAAGTCACAGATGACCTAGAGGGTGGACTTGTCACTGCGACAGGTAATATAAGATGATGAGTAAGCAATAGTTATAAATAGCCTCAAAAGTGAGGAAGAAGCCAGCCATGCACTGGCTGCAGCACACCTAAAGCAGCAGGGTATGAAAGGAGGAAGGTGCAAATCCTAGGCACTTGCAACTGCACCAGCTGGCACTAATGCGAGTGAGAGATGGTAAAGCCAAACAAATCTCTGCCCAGCATGTTGAGTTTTGCTGTGACACAAAAAGTAAACTAAGGAAAGCACATGTCAAGATCCCCTTGTGTGCCACAGAATTAATCCTACGGCATGAATGACTGCTGCTGGCCTAAGCCTAACCAAGTAAAAGCAATTATAAAAGCGAGCTCTGGTGGCAGATTCACAGCTGATGAAGATCATTACAGCTTAAATAAGGTCCAAGGGAGCAAGGATGAACTACTGTGGTGTTTGGGGCTCTGCCACTTCAGAGCAGGGGCTTGAGTTCAAGGCTTGTGGAAATCAGCTCAGTCCCTCCACAGAGAGCACTGTTACAGGCTTAACCACTGAAGGGCTAAAACCAAATGGTTCTGAGCTAGAATAAAAAAAAATACATCATCATATTGTGAAGTTGGTACATGCCAGATACATTATCATGTGAGACAAGTTCTCCAGGATCCAAACTCTTTCTGTAGAGGTCGAGTGGCACTGCACAGTGAGATCACCGTGGTCACTGCATCACATGGAGACTTGAGTTCTCCAAACACACCCGGTACTCTTCGCAAGACTTGTTATGGGCTGCTGGTGCATGCAGTTGTACTTGGAAACGGGGTTCACTGACAGGAGAGATGGCAGAGACTTGGGTTTTCTTTTTGCTTCCACAAGTTAGCCGAGGAGATTTGAAAAGTTTTCTAAGCTGAGCTACACAAGACACAGAGTGCTCTGCCTGTTGGTTGGATTTGTGGCTGTTTATGTTGCATATTTTTTTCAACCTGTGTGCCACTGTTTTTAAATTAATACTTTTCTTTCTTCTAGTGTTGTTTTTTTTTTTTTTTTTTGTCTACCCTTTTTTCCCCTCAGCTGCTGTGGTCTTTAATTCTCATCCTAGCCGCCTGTCACCCGCTGAGATCTGACACTCCCCTCCAGCTCTACGAGCTTTCTCACTCCCCTGATGCCTGTTCCTAATCTAAACCCCCACATCTCACATGCTTCCCGCGACTTAAACTTTCCCTCAACCCTCCCCTCAGCCCCTCCAAAGGCAAAATTCCACTCCTCCTCGCCTGTCATGGGCAAATACGGGGATGGGGCTACCGGTTTTCTAGTAAGACGCTGTCCCCACGCAGCCGACGAGCTCAAGGCGAACTCCTGAAGGGAGCCGGGGAGTCCTGAAGCGACGCTCCCGCCCGCCGCAGCCCCTCTACCTGCGAGGCAGGCAGTGGCGTCCATCCACTTGAGTAGCTGCCCAGCGCTCAGCTCGCCGCGGTGGTCGGCGTGGGCCGGGAACACGGTCTGACACATGCGAACATCACCACGCTCCGCCGCCCCGCGCGCCTCCATAGCGCCGCGGGTGAGGGCGGACAGGGGCGGCCGAGGCTCCCGCCGGACGCGGGGAGACAGTGCTGGCCCGGCTCCTCAGCTGCCTAGCGGGCTGGGGCGGGAGCGGCCCAGGGCTGAGGTGGAACCGCCGCCTCCGACGGGGGCTGAGCCGCTGCGGGGAGGCGGGAGGGACTCGCGCTGCTGCGGGCAAACCGGTAGCCCCGCGCGGAAGGCGGCATCGCGAAGCAAACGTGGTCTCGCAGGGGCGAAGAGGGCGGCTCCGCTCCCATCTCCGCGGTTCCTCATGGGCTGCAGTCAGCCGCCACGATAGCGCGGCAGCCAGGAGCCTGTGCAGGAGCTGCTGGAGGGCCTTGGTGTGCGCTTTGCCACTGAAATTTTTATAATCGGGCTCGTATTTATTTTATTTTTCCCCTTTTCCCGTCACCAACTCGAGAGCCCGGCAGATAGTCCCAGGGTAGACACGTTCCCATCTCCAAGTGGGGAAGGTGCCATGGCCTGGTGAACCCCTGCCACTGCTGGTACAGATGTTTTGACACGTACCTTGGTGGCCATGGCCCTGGTCACTTACTCCTGGAGGAGTTAACTGGAGATCTCATAGAGGGCTCCTTCTCTTACCTGGTCCTCTTCACATGGCTGGTGACATACTGCAGGATGTTGACACTTTTGCAAACTATGAAAATGCAAGCACTGCTGAGGAATCATAGAATCATAGCATGGTTTGGATTGGAAGGGACCATAAAGCTCACCCAATTCCAACCCTCTGCCACAGGCAGGGACACCTTCCACTAGACCAGGTTGCTCCAAGCCCTGTCCAGCCTGGCCTTGAACAGGGAAGGAGTAGGAAGAATAGAGCAATTGCTTCTGAATCAGTTAGGAAAGTTGGTCTTTGACTACTGCCACGCATAACTGCTATTGAAGGCGCAACCATGTGAAGAAGGCAGTTTGGAGATGCTCACTGGCTGGGCTTCTCAGCTGTGAAGGCAGGGCTGGTTGGTGGAGCAGGCGTGTTGCTTTGACGTAGCAGCGTGTAACTTGTAAATGGTCTTTAATGAAAGACTCCAAAGCTTGTCTTTGAGTCTGTGCTATTTGCAGCCCCTTAGGTATTGTAAATAGCATGGTTTTCAACAGAGCAGCAAAACTATTTGTAGGCTTTCCTTACAGCCTTTCCTCTTTTTACCATTGAACTATGACTTGTTACCTACTGTTCTAATGACAGGGGGTTCCCACGTTTATTAAAAACATACAGCAGTGAATTTATATAATGAATATATGTCCATTTAAACATTCCTGAAGAACCCAGAACAGCCAGGAAAATCTGAATTTCAACCAATCTGCCTCACCAAGATAAGAGTTTTCTCAGTGCAGTAGTGATTTTCTTCCCACATGGCCTGTTAATGTCATTGCACTACAGGAAGATCTCTGTTTCCTTGTCACATACTCTTAACCGAGCAACAGGATTGCTGTGCCATCACAGTAGTTACATTGCAGAGAAAATCAGCACACTATGCTAGTCTCTAGATTTATTTCTATTCTGTTGCTTCAGGAAATATGTCTGTACTGATTTCTCTTTCCTTTTTTGACTGACTTCACTGCAAGCAAGGCTTTCTCAAGAAGCGGCAGTGGTATACCTCAGTCTTGCTGCCTGAACAGCATTTCTAAACAGTATGCACCCAGTATTTTCTCCTGACTTGCCTGCTCAGTCCAGATGACAAAACCTCAGGTATCAGCTTCTCACACCATGGATCCTGGATGACAGAAGGAAGAGTCTTTAGAAAGAACTAAACATTTTCCTATTAAAAAAAAAACCACCAACAACAGCAGAAAACAACCCAAAACCAAGCAACAACAAACCCAGAAACCTGTGTTTTGCTTTTCTAGGCCAGTACTTTGTAAATGTGTTTTCAGGTTTACCTTGTCCTGCTCATTGACCAGGCTTTCTCAAAAATAATGCTTATTTTTCATTCTTTCACAGGTAACTTTAAACTCCATTTCACATAGTCCCAGTGATCAGTGTTTGTGCTGTATCTGTAATCTGCTGTTAAGATTAGGTTTTACAGAGCTGTTAGGATCATAGAGATTTAAAAGTGATCAGCAGACTTCTCTTGGGCTGTATGGAGGAGTACTGGAGAAGCAGAAAAGGTAGCCTCAAGTTTCTGTTGGGGTAAGGGAAAGCTGGTATTTGAGAAACATACCTATAAATTTCTAAGGGAAGGATGTCATTCAAAATACGTCCAGTAGAAGCAGGAGCTGCACTTCCAGAACAGGAATGGCCCTCAGGATCCAAATGAACAATGCATATGGTTTACACTGCTTTGGACACTTGGCAAAAACACCTGGAGAGTGAGGTGACAAACTTGCAGCCTAAAATGTCCTTTTCCCAAGAAAGCCTCAGCTTTTGTAAACTGCGTTTCTCCTGCCATCCAGCGCCTCTTCTTGGACCCTGCCAGCTGAGTTAACAGACTTCCAGTCTTCCAGTTGGCTTCAGTGACTCCTTTCTCTGCAGTCATTATTCATACTCCTTTAGCTTCACAGTCTCCACTGTAGTTAACACTGTTTAACATCCTTCAATGTATTTGTCCTCAGAAAATACTTGCAATGTCTGTATTGTTCTCCTTTCACAACTGAAAAATTACAAAAATTAACTTACTAGCCCAAGTAATTTAATTTCTCCCAGAAGAGAATCTGTGCTTTCAATGGTTTTGAGAAATACCTTTTGTGCCACAGTAGCATGTACCACCACTTCTGGCATCACCACTAGGTGAAGGTAGCTGGACCAACACTTTGTGGCTTAGGCAGTCTTTGGGAAGCATCTTTGTGAACCATCAGATTTCTCATTATTGATGCCCACTGTGAGCAAATGGTTCAAGGTAGGTGGAGGATGCCTAACATCCAAACCCATACATCACTCAGTCACCACCAGCTTTGCTGAAATTGTTATTGTGAAATGAGGTGGTGGATTAGAGTGAGCTCAGATTAAAAAGTTTGGTTAACCAACTAAGAAACTGACATCCCTTCAGCACTGTTGCTTGCTAATGCAGTTATAAAAAGTTTTTGTCAATAAATGATTCCCACTTAATGGCCTGAGGCTTCTCCTGCTGAAATGAAATCATAAAAACAGCAGCAACAACAGGTGCAGTACTGTTTTAAATAAAGTAAAAAAACAGAATGGTATTAGGTTATAATCTCCTAATAGCATGCATTTGTAATTAATTGAAGCAACGTAACTTAAAAAGATTTGAGTAGCACAGCAGCATTATCTCATGAGCACTGTGAAGAACAAGACACAGTGCGATGCCTGAAGAGGAACTGTGCCAGAATAGGTAGGGTATTTTATTAATAAAAGATGAGCTCAGTATTAGATGTGATTAAATCTGTAAAGTCATCAGAGTTACCAAGTACTGTAGCAGCCAGCCAGCTAGCAGCCACCTAGCTAATAGTGTAACTGATCCAGACCTGCATTTCATCCGAGCTAGAATTTATCCTGAGAAATATACTGAACAAGGGTGTAGCAAAGAATCAAAAATCTACAGAAGCCTGTCATCTAGAGTTAGTTTTTGTGTTTCTACCAAAATTTCTTCTGTATTTAAACAGATGTATGCATGACTAGAGAGCTTTAGTGTTCCCTGGAAAATAAGAGACCAATGTGCTAATTGTGATACTGTTAACACCTTCACAATCTCTTCTTACCAGTGGAGTCAGCAGCTACAAGACGTAACTCCAAAATGGATCTTTTTGGTGATATTTTAAATACAGATGTCAGTTACTGCAGTAAATCAACTACACTGTAGAGCTGTGCATCTTTGTGGACATTGTATATCTCCATATTCTTGAAACAAAGGTATTACTCCGTGAAGTTATAAATGTTTCAGATTCGTATGGTACTTTCATAACCCTAGTTATTCATGGGAAAAAAAGGGGGGGGGGGGGGGGGTTGACACAGCTTGTGAAAATACAACTAATTCTTGTAAAATGAAACTTTATTCTAAAATGTATCCAAAATTGCAAGACACAAGCACCATTAAACAGATAAATAGACATATATTTATGTACAGAGAGCATCAAACACAGAACAATTGTTAATATAATTCTTATACCATTTTAATGAGTATCCATCAATAAAATTTTACAATTTAAAGAAGACTTTTCAGTTGCAAAACAGTTGTAAAATCATATGTATAAATTATGTTTACTACAATTGCAATAACAGAAGCAAAGTAAAATACAAAAATAATACTGCAAATTCAAATACAAAACTCAAAGTAATGCTGCACAGGTACATACGTACACTGGATGAATTCATGCAGCTAGGCAGTGCAACAAATTAACTGCTGAGTTTAACTTATCACAAATGGAACAACCATGTTGGCAAACAGAAGCAGATATATTTTTGTAATAAATCATAGTGCATTTTGAAGTTAGACTTTATGATTGTTGAGTGATACATTTCTAAAATTCCCCATGAGAACTGAGATTCCCCAACTCATCTCCTGCAAAATGAAATACAAATGACAAAAGCTAAAAAAAACCCCACTGTAGTAGAGAGTCTGATCTGCTGGTACCATCTGGATTTTATTTTTTTAAATTCTTGGTATCAGACTTGTTTGCAAGTGTCCATGTCCACAGAGACATGCAATTACTCCTTGCTACCACATGTAAATCTTCATGCTCCAATGCTATCTCCATAAACTGAATCACACAGACTGCACAGGTTCAAAAAGACACAGCTGAGCCTCGAAAAAAGAACTCTCGAATCCCTGTGAAGTACAGAGAGAGAGTAAAATGGAAGGTAGAGAGGCCTCGTTATTCCTGAAGCTCCTATCCCCAGTTGCTTTAATTACATAAACACAGATAACATAAGAGGATTTTATGGCTTGGATGAAATTTCTGATTTACTGGGCAAGCGCAAGGCCCTTTCACAGTGCAGAAGGCTACAGTGTTTTGGTTGGCGAAAGGAAGCCTCAGGTGACCATGTAGAAAAATACTTCTGTGGTGAAAACAAGTTAAAGAAACAAAATCAAAACAGAACTTGAAAACTGATTTCTTATGTAACTACAATACTAAAACATGGCTGTTCCCCTTTCAGTGCTGCGTTGGCTGAACATGTAGATATGACCAAAGTTCACAGCTCATTGAATATTACTGGTTAAGTGTCAAAATTAAATGAGATACAATTACACAGTCCTTAAAATCTTAAAAGTGATAAGCACGCTCAGTGTTTCTACTAGGAAGTTACTGCTAAAATGCTACATTTCTTTGCTGAGAAGACATGAATTTACAGCAGTCTGTAAACTACTGTAGAGTTGATCCCTGCATCCTTTGTGCTCCAAACCCCTTTTTTCAAGCCATCACTAACTTTCAAGTTAATGGGAATTTCGAGCAAAAAAGGGATGCAGAAAAACACTTGTATTGGGTAAACCATGCAGCAATTTATACAGCAGCATTTTTGAATTTCCAGCATGCAAGTACATGTTAAGAGTGAGGCTAAGCGATGGCATGCACTGCAGTGACATGTCATTGTGCTTATGTCTGGTAAGTATCCTATGGTATTTTCACCTGGGGAAAACATAAAGGTTAGCCCCAGAAGATTCAAAACAGCCAGCATGAATGAAGCCATCAGCTGCTATTTTTAAAGTAAATATTTGTATTTCTAGTAAAGAACACTCCAAGAGGGAAGAAGTTAGTCTACTTGTAGCTTATAGATACTGAAGCTGAATTACAAAGGCATGATATACAAGCCTGTATTTGTTGTAAATTGTATATGCTCGTATATTTTTGCTCATACCACCTTGAGATACTGAATAGCAAAATAGTAACTGAAGATGCCAATGTTAATGGAAAGTTAAGTATTAAAAATAAATGATTGCTGGAGAAGATATGTTTCTACTTTTCCTGGGTGGTGACCTTGCTCACCTTTCCTCCATTAGATGACAATACCCATCAAGATACTCAAGAACATGGTGATCCACTGAGAAAACTGGATGCGTGTCAGACAACAGACAGAATGGCTTTATCCACCTGAAGAGTTGTCAAAAAGTGGGAAGTGGCTGCCACAGCAGTTTTCCCCACTACAACTGTTTACCTGTGGCCCAGAATTCACTGAGAACCCACAGTCAGTCACTGGAAATTCACACCCATCTTCACGCAGAGATGAGGCTAAGATAATCCGTGAATGTAAAGTTTTGGTCAAGTTCAGCACTTGAAATATTGAACAGCAGAGCAGGGATTGTACTACCATATTGGAAAAAAAAATCCTCAATTCTTCTATTCATAGCTACACCAGATGTGTATAATTTTCAACACAGAATGACTTACAGTTTGGGAAATAAAGCAAATGTATAAATACCACTCCTGTTAAAACTCACAAAAAAAATTACACCCACTTTTGTGTGATGAAGTTATATGGCAACTTCAGCTGCTGTCTCAGGCCCAGCTGTGAGAATGTGGACTCTTCATAAAGGTGACAGGGTGCAACTTTTAATCTTCAACTGTTCCTCAGCTTTCAGCAAGAATCAGTACAACTGCTTATGATTTCGTACCAGCAGTTAAGAAACGTATTCAAGTTAGACTAGAATAACGCAGATGTTCACTGAAGCCCTGAGGTGGAACCTGCTGTAAATTTACTTTGCTAACCCACAGTAACACTGATGCAAAGACCTCCTCGTTTCCAAACCAGCATGTGAAATCATATAGATGTACTAAACGTTTACAAAAAATCCCCACCATAAACTGCCATTACTACCTGCATTCTCACAATCCTGAGGATCTTCTAGATTTATTCCTTAAAGCTCCCAGGAAAGGAATCTTTAGCCATCCCAAGAAATGTATGAACATTAGTATCTTTGTTACAGTCTCAGAGGCTTAATTTAAAAGCATCATATGTCTGGTGTTGATTCCTCTGTGCAATGGTTTCATCCTGTGTTGTTTTCAATGAATGAATCAGTGCAGGCAAAGAGTGAGAGTGCAACTGATACAGGGATGTGAAGCTTGGATTCATTCCACCTAATTCTAGGCAGTTAAAAGCATGCAGGTTTCACCAGTGGAGAGGGAAATCTTCCAGAGGCATATCCTCTTCTGTTCCACCTCTGACTTACAGAATAGACGTAGGCTGGCAATTTTTAAGCAGCTGAAATTAAGGTAGGATGAATCAGGCCGCAGTTTGGAGCAGAAACATGCCTGATGTGGTAGAATATATTACCATTACAAAACACAGCCTGTCAGCCTTGTCTGAGGCTCCAAACCAGATAAACTTTTTGGTTAGTGATGCACACAATCCTTGCAAGCTCACCAGTCTCACAAGGATCATTTAAAAGATAAAACAGTGAGACTAGATTTTATGACCTTGGTTTTATGAGCTGGGCAGCGTGTTGAACCTTTCAGACTACTGGCCTTCTGAACCCATCCCAGAGGCTGCTTGTAAATGTTTCACTTAAGGTCTGGAGAAGTTCACAGTTGGAGTGGTTACTCATCCAATTATCATTACATTATCATTAATGTAAATCAAATCAACATGCACACGTCAGTGTATTTATGATGTTGTGGGAATTTGTTATCTCTATGCTTTTGAGCAATTTTGGCATGGCATGTATTCACTCTCTCCAGTAGATGCTGATAGTGAAGCACACACTGAGGAGAAATACAGGTGTTTGGAAATACACAACATTTGTGAGACCCCCAGTCTTATCAGTATTAATGCTTAAGGTCAGAGGCAGTATCAAGTTTAAAATGTATTTTCTATGTTAATATTTATATTGATAAATTTAATTTGTGCTGGTTTGGAAAACAGCTGAGGTTTCCTTTCCTTCCAGAGACTGGAGTGTGAACATTAGTTTCATTTCTGATATTGAAAATTATTCTTTTTCTAAAACACACCTGCCTAATCGTTCAGATGTGACCTGCAAATACTTGAGACTGGGATTCCCATGTTGTTTTTTGTTTTTTTTAAGGGCTGAAATAATAGTAGAAACTTTTTTTTTTTTTTTTTTATCTTAGAGGGAATTTATCTACACACTGGCTTGGAAGCATCAGGAACATTTATTGAAAGTACTCAGTGTGAAAGGGTGAAGGTGCAAAGTCATTAACAAAGACTGCCTTTATTCAAAACATTAACCTACACATTTAAACAATCAATAAAAACATATAAAACACAGAATTTAAAATAATCAAAGTAATTATCCCCTTCAACTTTCCCACTTGTTTCACTTTTCTCATTACTGTCTTTCAGTCTAGACAGGACTTGAATGTCAGAAACCAGCAAAGAACACACACACATTTTCGGGTCTTTGTTGTATATCATAAAATAGTAATAAAAAATAATCCAGCATCCAAGAATTCGGATTATTTTTCTATCTCCATAAACAGACAAATAATTAAATTCTCCTTAAAACACTGCCACACATAAAACCCATGGTGGCTGGGGACAAGGACACAATACAAAGGCAGTGCTTTATCCCGTGCATACCCTTAGAGATGGGTTTCTGTCCTGGCACTGATGCAGTTAAAAAGCACACACTGCATATCTGGCACGAAACGTGCTAAACTGCAGCTGCCTGTTGTTTGCTAAAATCCAGCCCCCAAAAGGGTATGAGCTGGGTTGAATTCTCTTACATTTAATATTCCTGCAAATGGCTTATATATCTGCTGTTTGAAATAAATTCTGAAACCACTAAGCGTGCTTAACAAACCTTTTACCTATATGTGAACAGCAAGTTTTGAGGAGAGAACAGGTACTGTTGTAGTATAAAATACACATGGCTGTACAACCAAATGCCACCTCTTGCTTCAAAACAATTTACAGTAGTAAGCAATGGTGACAAGGCTTCTTACACAAAACCTACAGGAATTTACAGAATATGCATGGATCACTGAGGTTATAATGCCAGCAGTAGACTACACAGAGTATCTTGTGCAATGTGAACAAAGTTGACAATAGTTTACCAATGCTTTAAGTAATTCACATAAATATGCTAACCCACCAGCTATCAAACCCTCCTCCTCTTCCCACCATAAACAAGTGTTTGCCAGATGCATACACAGCAATCCATAGAAAAAAAATCTATTTGTTTTTGTGTTTTTAGGCAAACATGCATGAAATAGATGCACTGCAACAATTTTGCAAGGGGATACTTGCCACAAAAAAAAAGCCCTCAAAATTGGCCTCTAAGCATATACAGCATTTTAATTAACCCTTCTCAAATAGCCACTACAAGGCTAAAAAGTTTATTTTATGGATAATAAAAATTTACTTGCTTCTCAACTAACAGACAATTTCAGCTTCCACTTTACTTATGCCACTCTTCCATGTCTGTATTTTAGCCTTAGTTTAGGAACTTGTATTCTCTTCCTTAACCGTCAAGGTACTCATTAATGTAAATTAATGTAATCATTAATGTAAATCAAATCAAAGCTACAAGTTAATCAGAAAAATTAAAATAGACTGGGGAATAATTTATACTTGCTTTTGAACATCATGTTTATTGACAACAATTTAGCAAACATGGCTTTGCTTTTCTGCTAAGCTGTTGGACACGCTCTACTCTCCTGTTACAGATTGACTTTGACAACCACTGGAAGGACATTCGCACTTTGCTCAGCTGTAACAAAAGGTGTGGCTGGTGGATAGGGCAGCCCCTGGTCCACAACGTGCCTGAATCAAAAAGACCAGCCTTTCTGCTGGGGATTAGAGACTGCAGGATCAGGATGCACCTCTGCTTTAAGAAAGAGAGCAGCTATTGAACCCTAGCTACCAGTTTTGCTGATATGAAGCTTGTTACCAGTAATGTACTTTCCAAGCTATGCCAGTAAAAACTCTTACTTCAATTACAGATCATCTGTTTGGATTTTATTTCCTTCCAATCTGCATGGTAAGTATCAGCTTTTGTTTCAAGCTACTATATGCCATTGCTAGAAATCATCTTGCCTTATGTGAGTCTGTGAGAGGCTAGCTTTCCTAATCCTGAACAGTAAGAGCTCTCAGGATGCTGCACTGCCACTCCACATTTCTTGTTATGCTCAATGTCTCTAATGAAATAAACTCTCTGTAGTAGGGCTTTAGCTAGAGATTTGAATAACTTTCTGTACTTTTATTGGATCTTATTTTTGTGCAGAGATCTGGGACAGTACATTTAATAGGAAAATCCAAATAAGAGAGAAAAAACCATGAAGATGAAACAGAAATGAAACCTACAAATATCCAGTTGATAATTTGGCTCCTGAAGGATTGGAGCAGTTGTTCCATAGCAATAATTCTTCCCATCAAAAGCGATTGCTGATGATTTCACTCTATAGGGACAAACATAGGTTTGGCCATGGTTATTATTATAATTCCCTCCTAATCTGAGGAACTGTATATATCTCTGTAACAGACCAAACTTCTAAATTGTATGGTCTATTTCCTGGTACACCCAGGGTATTGAGAAAAGGCATCACCTTTCAAAAATCCCCATGTTTTGTGCTGATTCTCTATGAAAACTGGTGCTAAACTGCCAGAGTTTTCTCTAAGCAAAATTATTCTTCTTGTCTCAGCATTGTAAAGTCTTGAAGGATCCCCATACCTAACTGCAAGAAGAATTGTCCCAAGTTCTCAAGAGAACAGCGAGGTAGCGTACGAATACCTTGTTTCTGAGCACAAATCTGGTGGATATTAATTGCCAGTCCTTAATTACTAGACCCTGTGAACAAGCCTGCTTGACCACTCGGTTACTCTTCTGAGAGATACAACCACAGAACCCTGCACAGCTAAGGGGCACCCTTAATCCCCCACAAGATACTGTGAAAACACGCAATAGACAAAATTACATTTGTGAATTGGGCTCTTACAAAATCATACATTAAGCAATCCACTTTTGAGGGTGTGGAAGGAGCTTTCAACATAAAAGCCCAGCTGTAACTAGGCAGTAAATTTTGTTTTGATCTGTTTTTCCCAAACCCACATCTTTCAACATATATTTATGATGCTGAATTCAAATAAATAAAAGGTTTGGGGTTTTTTTCCTCAGTTTCTTTTTCACATAAAAATTAAATAGTGGCTATAAAGTGACCATTTCAAATTATAACTGAAAATTGCATTTTTATTAAATGTGAAAACATGTACCCAAGAAAACCCTTATACATTTTTATGGCAAGTTTTCCCATTACATGAGAGGCTTTCTTACACATTTTAAGCTTAAATTGAAAGAACACTGACCAAACAGAAGTTTGGACTAAAATTGCAAAGCTGTTAGCTATGTTGAGGGAAACTATGGCTGCACAAATGAAAACAAGATGGAAGGACAAGTTCACAAAAATAACTCATGTAGTAGTGAGCAACGCTGTAATAAAATAAGAAACAGAAGAAAGCCAAATCTGTTCTGCATATCAGTACTACCAATACATAAACATGGCCCTGCATTGGTAGAATCTTTAAAATAATGTCTGCTTAGGGAAGACTAAATTTGAGCTTCTAGACTGTTCATGCTCAAGTATGGTTATAGCATATTAGCAGTCCCACTTTCCTGAAGGATACTGCCTGTATTCTGAAATCTAGTTGAAATTAACCAAGTGCAGGCTTAATTTCAAACAAATCTGCCCATGTTTTCAGGATCAGTTTCAATGTGCTGAACAGATGATTTGTTACTGTTTTGTTTTGGTTTTTTTCTTCCCAAGATAACAACACTGGCAGACAATATGCATGCATGCACTCAAAGCAGTGTTTCAGATAAGGGCCTTTTCTTGGTTTTGGTTGGTTTTTTTTTTCAGGTTGAGACATCAATTTCATAATTTCAACAGACCCCCTATATTTTGCTTTGTGTATGCAGTTTATACATCTGCCAAATGTCACACCTTGGATAAATTACATATTTCATCAAGATCAGGGTGAAATCCTACCAAAAAAATGTCCTTACATGAGTGGTTTCATCTATTTCAGCAGGACAGTTGGCATAAGCAGCAGCTTACAAGGTTGTCAGGAAAGTAGAGGAAGCCGCACACAGTAACATTTAAATCTAACTCATTCATTTCTGAGTGCACTGAATCTTTACAGTTGTTTCATATCATTAAAGCCTGAATTAGATCCTTGTGATCACTCTGAAGAGAAATAAACTGTCACTGTTGGAAGAGTATTTTTGAGTTTTATTTGGAATATGTGCTTTTGTCAGGATTCTCATCCTTTGGGCCTGACCAAACCCAAGTGGGTTTGGAACAGGAGCCACGGCATTTCATCACTTACAGTGAATGAAAGAAAAATAAATTTACCTGCACTAATCTCTTTTTTCTTTTTCATTGTTAAGCTCCATTTTACGTTCTCAAAATGCAAATGTGTAAGGTCAGATCTTGGAAGACTCCAGTCCTTATTTAGCCACCACAACAAAGAAGAATCAAAGCTGACTAGGAACAGGAGATTACACTTAAAAATAATTAACTGAGCTGAGAAATAGAAATGCTGCAACATGTACCAGCTGAAAATTCATTTTGACTGGCAAAGGGAAAAAGAAGAGTAAAATGTTCAACACTGAATACTGGAACAGCTCATTAAATTACCCATCTAATTCCAAATCATCTTTACAGGCAGTATTTCATTTGCAAGCCACAGAACAGGGGAAAATTCAAATGATTTCTAGCCAGTTCAAGAAGCTGTCCTTTTGATACATGAATTGCTATACATAAAGAAGCAAGACTGTTCCCTTCTTCTTAGTTTGAATTAGTTGAAATAAATAAATAAACAGCCTGCGTATTTCCACTGCAAGGGAAAACAACAGCTGGATATCTTTGGACATGGGGCATTTCATTCTACATTGAGGCAAGCAGGCTGGTTAAGTCTGAAAGCTGTTGCCATCTCTGAGTGTGTGATCCAGTGCTGGTCTGGGCTCTGCAATCAGAAGGGCTTCCAAACAAAAAATGGCAAATCTGGCCTCAGCCACAGGCTGATGGGACGATCCTCTGATCTGGGGACTGTCACTCTGAGATTCCCTCAAGTCTACTTGAGGCACATTTATGTCACTGGGGAGCATGTCAAAGACTCAATGTTATTGAATGTTATTGCCATGTTTTTTACATGCACCAAACTCACTGTACAGTGGAACGGGAAACACAAGAGTGCAACTGCATTTCTTCCTCATGCTCCTTCCATTAAGAAAATAATATAACCCCTGCATGAAAATGTCCACGTATTTTTTTAATGTGCATGTCAAGCTACATGCTTCACATGTGATTCATACGGCTGCTTCTTTGCCCTAAATCTGGTTCTTGCCTACACAAGAATTAGACACGGAGATAAAATCTGGGTAAGAACACTCCTTTTCATAGGCTTATGATGCAGATAAAATTTCACAGTGAAATTCACAAGTGAATCCTAATTTCAGCTGATTTGTACAAGGACAGACTATTTGCCAGAATTCTCACAGTATGAGACATCCATTACTCCCTATTTCTCCTACTCTAAGGTTTCATTACTTCTGTCTTTAAAAAGCCTTACTCTGACTTTGCCTAAAAGAACCTTTTACAGGACCATGGATGATCTATTTATTACTGTATTAATAAAGAGAAATCTACATAAAAATGAAGTGTAGAGAAAATATCCTGCATCACTTAAAACAGAATTCCTCCTAGAGCTGGACAAGTTCTGACATCAGTAATGCTGTTGTGTAATAAAAGGTACGTTACACACTGGTGTCTAATGTATTAGAAATGTAAGTGGGAGTAAGTTAATGCATGAAAATAAGTCTTTCCACTTAATGCTCTAGATGTGTTGCAAACCCTACAATGATTTATAACTGAAAGAAGTGAACAAGCAAAGAGCTCTATGCATATTAGAAAAAAAAAAACAAAACGAAACAAAACAACACCCAAAGGGACACCTATATTTTTTAAAGTTGAATATTTATCATATAAGACTGCTTTCTTATAGTTCAGCTGCAGAAAACTATGTATGGTATTATCACCTGGGCTTGCCAATGCACATATAAGTAATTATGTGCATAAGCATATGGGTATAAGCATCCGCTACAGAAGGCAAGATGATTAGGTTTCATTATATCTGATTAAAATTCTAGCAATTAAGATATGCGAGATTAAGAGTATTCAAGGAGGTTTTCCAAATCTATAATTTTGCAGGCTTGCATATCTTTTGTTCCCCCAGTCTGTGGGATTATGTACAGATGAGAGGTGCTGGACATACCTAGTAACTAGCAGAGAAGGACAGGCTACAAGAAGCAGGGCCTGATCCTGTTCATTTTGAAGCCAGGAATGTATTTACCCAGATTAACACTGCAGGATCAGTGTAACAGTATTATAGATGTTTTGATCTGTATGAATGGTTTGGAAAAGAAATGGAAAGGGGAAACAAAGGCATGATGGCAGTAAGAAAAATTGTATAGAAAGGAGTTTGAAAAAGCCACAGAAGAAAACGCATGTGCCTGAAAGGATGTTTTCTATATAAACTAGGATGACATATTTCTAAAATTTTATTCAATATGTGCTGGCAGTTGCATTTAAGGTGCTTCTCTGCAGAGGTTTAATTTAATGGTCAGACTTTCATCCTGAACAGGGGCTTACAAGCTAAAATATTACAGACAAAGCAAAATTCAGAAAGAAAGGAAAAAAAAATCAAGACTGATTAATCTAAAACCTTACTCTGATTAATAACGCTACAGCGGCACATACTCTGTCTTGTAAAAGAGCCCTCAGTGATACTGTCAGGTGGTCACTGGACACACTGCTTGCCTGCTGGAGCTCCAGCTTGCACAGGACAGCACAGGGGCTTCCCGGAGATACGGAACAGACCCCACATGCATTCAGCAGTGTAAGATCTCACTCTGGGGCACACTTGGTGCATGAATGGGCTTTGGCACTTGATGCATAGTACAGGTGTATCCTTTTATCTTAGTCCAGTGGCAACTGACCACCTGGCTGGGCACAAAAGTCCTTCTTGGAGTACTACCATGGATAATACAGGTGTCAAATGCAGGCTGCAAGGACACCTGGACTCTGCAGTGCACTGGGGACACAGCCACTGAAATCAGTGGTATCAGTGAAAACAGCAAATGATCTGAGGAAATTAGATCTGATTTTTGTGGTTTTGTAATTCAAATCAATAGCAGGGGCTTCTAGCATCTTTTGGGACAGCAACAGAGTATTTTACAAAGATAAGCAGATGAACGCAACCTTCATAATCACTGGGAAGTAAGTCCACAAAATCATGTAATGATTATCTAGTTTATGTTTACAACAAATCAAAGTAGTTATTATCACTTAAAAGTGATGCTGCCAAAATCTTTGATATTTTAAGATAATTTTAAGCCTCCAAGAGTTTCATCTAAGAAAGTAACAAGTGTTACACCTTTTTATTTTCATATATTATATATATATTATATTCATATTAGACATATATAATATATGTAAATAAAAATGAGCTAGGAGATTGTAGTATTCCTTGCACACCCCAGTGTGTGCAGCTGCTATCACAAGGAGTCCATTACATTCCCTTCCTTATTGTAAGTTCATGAAAAAGAAGTCCATGCAAGCCTTCACAGCTATAGCAAATTTCAGAATTGCTCCTCTGATGTAAGTGGCTCTTCTATATGCAAAGTGCAAGGAGAAGACTTTGTTTTCTGTCTGTGGCATGAACTTTTATTCAGCCTCTTCCTGGCCTCATTGCTGTTCATCAACCTTTTGATCACTACACAACTGAAAACTTTTGTTTTCTTGCGGGAGCTGGAAGTCATTGAGAACTACATGTGCCATAACCTTGGTTTTAGAGCTCTGCCTGAAGAGACATGGGATTGCTTTCAGTAACATTTCCTTTAAGACTGTAAGCCCTTCCTCCATTCTGTCCTCAGCTGTCATGTCTGATACAGGCTGACATCCTTATAAAATGGACCACACCATATTTTCTCTTCTGTTCATGGCAAAAGTGAGACCCTCACAAGGCCACCAGTCATAAAAAGCTTACTGCATCATTTTGGCTATTAAAAAAAAAAAAAAAAAGGGAAGAAAAAGGCTGTTTACTGAGAATTTTGAGGGAATTATTTCTGGTAATGATGTGACAAAAAATACACACCTGAATAGTAGGGTGACCTGATTTTCTGAATGGGCTTGGGAAATGCTGTTTATAGTAGGATTGTTACCATCGGCTGAGAATCAGTGAAAATGGGAAAACATAATTGTTAGAAAAGGTTTTGGTGATAAGGACTCTACTGCACAATCACCCCTATGGAAGATCATGCTAAATACAAAACTCATTACCAAGGGCAGAAGAAGCCCTGACGTTTTATTACTAGATTCTATAGCAATTGGAGCTCACTTACAGTAACCTTGTAGTACTCTATATAAACTGAGAATCTTGTTTCAAATTCAGGCTTCCATTTAAAATAGACATTGCAGATATTAGGCTTCAATTAAAGAAGAAAAATAACCCTCAGTGCTTCTTTTTTAAAAGGCAAAGTATAAAAAAAAAATCCCCAAACTAAGTGAAAATTATTAAATTTCTCAAAAAAAATTTAAGTTGAGCTTTCTTCTATTTCTTGAGACAGTACAATTTGTAATTCACAGGGTAACTGGTATCAAACACAAGTTAATGAAAGCTCTTATAAGCAATTTTATTCCTATCTATAATGGCAGACATTAACAAAATCAGAAGAATTTATCATTTGAGTTCACCATAAAAAATAACTTATAAAGCAGTGACATATGCAACATAAAACAGTTCAGGAGGAAAGAGGGAAAGCAAATTTTAATAATTAAAATGTAAACGTGGAAAAAAAAAAAAATAAAAGTCCCTACTTCTCATTTCTAGTTAAGATGTCATATTATTTTATAATGTCCTGCAGGTCTATGTATGTATGTGTGTATTTCTGTATCACACAGACATACATATATATCAACCCACACATGTACATACACAGATAATTGTTTGCAGTTCCATCTTGGGCAGTTCTCTTAATGCCACTCTTTATGGTTATCTCAATCATGTTTGGGACCCACTTTCTTGACAAAACGGGGGAGATGGTAGGAAAAAAAAATAAAGGTGGGTCTGATTGTGTCTGAGATCCTTTTGTTAAACTGTACACTGGGACGAATAATTTTCTTCTGCAGTAGCTCTCTGAAGAGGGCCAACTCATGTGGTCTTCATGGCGAGACTTGTTAACGGATCACACACTCATTGTCATGCTAGGGGAGTACTGGAAAAAGAGGAATCTACATTTTAAAAAACATTTTTCTGGTGTGCCCCCCCCCCCCCCCCGTAACTAAACCCAGCTCTGGACCACAGCAACGGGTTCACATGTCAACATGTTCTTTGAACTTCCTTCTAAAATTGTCCTGTAGCCTGAGGCTGTAGTTCAATTTGTGGTATTATAATTTGTGTGATACTTCTCTCATTATGTGAAAGTACAGCTATTGCTGATAAAGTCAACTTTCTTGAAGAGTGTTTTGGTCTTACCTGGGTAGTGTGATGAACCAATACCTCACTGATGCTTTCCACATATTTTCCTGGTCAGTGCTGGATACTGGGGGGATTTAACTTATGTCAAGAAGACCAGTTGTACTTAGGTGAACCATATAAATATTTTGGACAGCTTTTTATTACTTTATGGGAAGAAAGGAGTAAAGGTATGTAAGACTGGAATTAAACTAGGCTTTTGGTCTGCATTATTCTGTATTACCAATTTTAGGAGGCAAACTGGAGGCAAAGGATCAGTGGTCATTCTCCTTTATGTGAAACAAAAATTCAGTCACCACATTATATTATTACTGTAACACAAATTGAACTGCAGCCCTTATACAAGCTATAGTTTCCCTCAAGTTAGCAGTACTTCATTGCAGTAATCAATGGGACACCACAATGCCTAGAAGAAGTGCATATCTATATGTCTAATTTGTTTTTAAATTGAAAACTGCGGACTGCAGCAACACTTAATTTGGCTTAAATCTTCTAAGTAAACGAAAAGTTCAAATGCAAGAAGTATTAGCATTGTGAAAACTGGTATAAGAAACAGAAATATAAATTTGCCTTTGCAAGAACAGATATGCAATAAAAATATTGCCAAAGCTAGAGTTTCAAGCTGGCCATTTCTAAACAAGCATATTACAAAAAAAAACCATCTTGGATAGGACTTCCCAGTCATGTAAACTATATAGAATGGACTATTTCGGTACGGTAATGGACTACTTAGGTAAAGTCTATTTATGCCTTGTCATGTCTCTGACGTTTTGACTGCTTTAGGGCTACTTCCATCATGTCCTGCTATGCTTATCTTTAGCCACAGAGACCAGCTCAAATGCTTAAAGCAAAGCCTATGTTTAAGTAATTTCCTGTACTGAGCCGAAGTACCTAAGTAATGACTTTGGATAAGGAATCAAAAGATACCTAAACACGTCTGTGATTTTCAACTTACTATTAGCCACACACTGTTCCCCACCCCCAACCAAAACTCTTGGTGAACAGCAAATTTGCATGAGAAAGACTTCATAATAATGCCTACTCTAGCCAAGTAATAAAATACAAAGCAGAAAGCAAAACAGTTCCCAAGGACTACAATGTGACTCATGTTAGAGAGGAACCCATACCTAAATGTACGTGGCATGTATAATGACTGCCTTGTAGTTATACATCTCATGTAAACCTTGGGAAAACTGAGTCCCAGGTTCTTCCAGGTAGGTAAACAACATCTAGGTCCACGTAGAATCCAGGAAGTGTCTGACAAAACTGATCTACTTTTGAGTACAACTGATGTCCTTCTTTCCATGACCTTAGTTTGCTAAACTGGCCTGCCTGCTGATCAGGTTGCCTGCCCTCAGTACAAGCAAAGTATGCCAAATTGAGAGTCGAGGATTACACTTAATGGAGATTCTGTCATGACCGTTTTTTTTTGGCAGATGTTTTTGGCAGAAACATCAGCCTTTTTGAGTTGTAAAAAACATTTTTCTTGAATACTCCACACAATCAGAACATGTGAATATGTGCCCTCGCAATGAAGACATCAACAGCTATCATGCAGAAAGTCTGCCTCTTCACTAGATTAAAAAAGAAAACCCATCCCCATGCCCAATATGATTCCCATTAAATTTGCCTTGAAATTCAACTGTTTTGTGATCGGACAGTTTACTTGTCAATATCTGAGCTGAAGTTCACCACTCCACAGTTAATGAAGTTGCACTCACTTTGGGCAGCAGTGATTTCCAATAATAATAGAAGTGTTGAAGTCACTCAGCACTTCTGAAAAATCACGTCACTCCTATTTAGGAACCTAAATGTGGATTTAGAAACCCAGCTTCAGACACATGAGTATGAAAACACAATGGGCTTGCTCTGTAATGTAATTTATACCACATTTTGTTGCCTCAAGCATTTTCCATCTCAAAAAGCCTGAATGAACACTAGAGGGAACCTTTGCTTTTTCTGCCTCTAACAGGACATGGCATCTTTGCAACATGAGATCTACCCATGCTCTGATCATATCCTTCAGTGAAAATCCTGTTCCAAAAGACATTCCCTACAAAACACACTGTTTGCGTGTTGAAGGCTGGGCAGCCACACATTGAAAACACTCAGGTGTAAGGATCTGTTGACTATGTGTATTTAGGCTGCTTAGATATTGCCTAACAAACACCCACTGTGCACTACTGAATATGTGACGCATAATTATTACTTTTTAACAGATATTTCAGTGATAACTGAGCTCTTAATCTGGAAATTTCTGTAGTAAATCTACACTTCCCACATTTTCCAGTTTCAGCTAAACTTCTAGCAGTCTTTTGCACAATGTTTTGCCAAATCTATAAATACTGTAATTTTAGAACCTAATAAGAACATGAGGCAAAGTAGTGCATTAGAAATAACTACAAAACTGTTTGTTATTGCTGTATTTTTTCTTTTTTTAAACACAATTACAGAGCTAAAGGTTCACAAAGTAAAAGGAAAGAACAAAACAAACAATAAAACAGGTAAAGAAATACTTACGCTCTCACTCTGAAAAGGATTGAGGAAGTTTCCACCCATCTCACCATCATCTCTGGGAGTGCCAGGCTGATTATTCATGCTCATATTACTGGGAGAGTTCTGTTAAATAAGATTTTAAAATACAGATTAAGTGTTAAAGATTGCAGTCCATTTCCCAGCTTCACCAAGTGTGTCAAAGACACAGTTTACATGATACTATAGTGCACTAAAATGCACCGTGTAATGCACTGGGATTTTCAAAGATGAAAAATAAGCCTCTGGAGGGTTCTGCATGATTTGGTCACTAATTTTAGCCTGTAAACTGATGCTTCCTAATGACCTAAAGCAAGAATTATTTACCTGCAATTCTTGCTTTCAAGTTATAGCCATCATCTTCTAAAATCGGGAAGGTTACAATAGCTGCATCAGGATATGAGCCAGTTCTGTTACTACATTAAATCACGTGGCCAAATGCAGTGAAGTCTATGAGTGTGTGCCTTGACATACATGACTTAGAAGTATGTACTTAAAGGCAGACGTATAGATGGATCTGGTCTACACAGACCTTTGCAAAGGCCTGTGGCTGGAGTCTTTCCTCATAGTGTTCACGGTTTATTGAAATACAGTTTCACAAGTACTTCACAAGTGGTGTACAAGTAGTAAACCTCTGAACACAGCTAGCGCACAGCATTCGTAGGTAAAAGAGTTAACAAGAGTCTTTTAGACAAAAGATTCCTGAGTAACAGCTGGACACTGGACTGGGCTCACAAACCCTTTCACAGGAGGAGCTGCACTTTTGCCATTTGCTTGCACACAGCTTAATACAACAGCGTTTTAAGCACATTTTCAGTCTCTAGGTGTGACTGACATACTAATAAATAACAACAATATACAGACTCATGAGGATACAATTCCTTTTTTCATTTGGTTTTTTTTTCTTCTTTACAGAAATGCAGAACCACCTTTGCAATGTTCAGCAATTGCTTTCAGGATTCAGTTATTTAATGAAAGGGTGAAACAACGTAACTGCCACAGAAATTATTCTGAATCAATAGCCAATACACGATTATTGTAGGCATTACAATTAGGTGTTTTTAGAAAGTTGATTGGCGGTACCCTACCATGCCTGGAGCACAGGCTATTCTCTTTCCATCACTGTTAAGATTCCCACTTACAGATGATTTGTGATAGAAAAGGAGCAGTCAGGGAAATTGGGGAGTGAAGTCACGAACGTAAGCATGAAACATTTACGTCTATCACAGTTCTTCTGTCTTTTGATCCAGAAAACGGAATGCAATATTGCTGTTGAGATTTTACTTATACAAGTGCAAATCTGGTATATCATAATAAATTCAACACAAACCTAGTGCAGTCAATGGGCAAGCTAACAAAATGTAACTCCCAAGTAGTGAACTTGATCAAAATGACCACATGATAATGGCTGTAAGAATCCTAAGTGAATCTGTCCTCTCCTTCTTATGTTACCTCAATTATAATCCTCTATGCTACATCTGTTAGCACAAAAGATTTTTTTTTTAAAAAAAAAACAAAGAAACCAAAGAGGTACTTTGAACTTTGAAAATACCTGCATGCAGTCTTCATTTAGTATAACTAAACCTGCAATAGGTCAAACTTAGAATGAAAAACTGGAAACATTAAAGAAAGATAAAGTCCCCTTCATTCCTTGGCACTTCCCCTAGAACTACAAAGGCCCTCTATACTGGCACTTTAAAGATGTACACTGGAGTGCTCACTGAATAGAAAAGGGGATAGGACAGTTATGACTTCTTCTGTATGCTCCTCTTTCACCATATTCCCCTGAGGGAAGATGACCATTCTCAGTCTGAATGGCCAAGTATGTGTATGAGTTCATCTTGGTGTATTTTCACTTATAGGTTAAATATAAAATTAATTACACAAGTGACATGCAAACATAACTTGTTTATTGGCATATGAAATGCAGCTTCTAACATTGGGTCAAAACCCCTGACCCAAGCCTTTTGTTTTCTTCAGCCTAGTTCACTGCCTCTCAAACTGATCCCCAGATCTCCAGAAATCACTGGGCAACACATCCATCAAAGACAAGTAAAAGCCTAAACTAGATGAATAACATCAGACAATTAAGTTTGCTATTCAGTGAAGTTAGTACTGCAGATATTTTGGGATCCACAGCTTGAAAAATGTTGAAAATACTGCTTTGGTTCAACCACAGCTACTGTACCTTAAGCAGGAATTAATTCAGGGAAGTCTGGTTGCCTGCATTATGCAAAGGGTCATTCTATACAGATTCAGTCCCTTCTCACCTTAAAATCTATGAATATAAAGTTTAAAACTCACTAAGGCCTTGTCACATTATTTTATGTGATGCTCCCACATTTTTGTTCATTCCTGGGGCATTTACCCCTCTTTTATCTTGCTCTGCGTAGTGCAAAGCCTTGAAATTCTGCAGTTGCTGGAGCACACCAGCCCCAAAGGTTCAAATTCCTGACATAAACACTTCTGTAGCAACTCCTCTGGGCTGCTTTTATGGACAGTATGGGGTCCAGCCTTGTAGCACTATCTGGGTTTCTCCAAAGCAAGAATGTCTTTGATACCTGTACAAATTCTATGGGCACTTCAAGTATCACTAGTTATTAATGTTTATTTAATATGCATCATTTCAGCTCATTTACTTCCCCCATCTTAATCTACTTCATAAAATCTTAATGTTTTGATGTTCAGCCAATTACAATAAAATCTTCTCTAGAAAAAAACAGCTCTGAAATCTGTGAGATATACTGATTCTACCAACACTGGGTTGATTTTCCTAATCTCTTGGGAATGTATCATCTGCTCTTCTAATATACATTTTACTCCAGTGATGCCCTGTGCCTGGACTTGAGCATCACACTCTGCAAGCTATATTAACTTTAGTGAACAATGCCCATCACTGGGATTTTTCTTTTAGTAATTTGAAAAAGGCATGCATCAAACATGATTTCCATGAGTTAAATTTTAAGGTTAACAAATTACAAGACTTCCAGATAAATTTGGATCCAAGTTTTCAGAGGTCCTGATATTTGTATTAGCACATAGACTGATACTTAATAGTGAGTTGAACACAGGCTGTTATAAAAAACGTTGTGGCAAGCTAATGGAAATGTTTTGGGGTTTTGCCTTAAAAAATGCTGCAGTTTGCAATAAACATAATGAAGAAAAGATACCAGTACTGATTTAAAAAATGCTGTATGGTTATAAACTTATTGGAGGCTTTTATTGAATCCATCACTGCACATCTAAGCACAGCACAACTAAGCAACACTGTCATTTCAATCCATCATTTTGCAGAGCCTGAAAATGTTACAGATAAAAAAATGTACAAAAATACAGGATCGCTCCCTCACAGGAGCAGCAGTGGCCTCGGACACATCCTGCATGCAGCTATTAAAAGGTACTATGTAGATATTAAAAGATCACTTTATCAATACCAAATAAGCTCATTAATTCCTACATTAATAATGATCACATATGTAGTAGTATGTGACACATTTAAGGACAGTACTATTTTTGTTGATGCAAAACCCCTTCAAGTTAAATTCACATTCATTTCCAACTATTCAATGGTTATGCTATCAAAATAGTACTTCTTCTGAAACTACTTCTTATTCTAGCTTTTAGGAACTTATATTAATGATTAAGATTGCCTTACAGAAGTGACAAAAGCAATCATGCAGTGCATAAATGTAACATCCTAATGACATTTCCCCAAATTTACATTTAAATAGAATTGATTATTAGAACTACATTGGGCTTAACAGCATGGAAGATTATAACATGATCAATCAGATTATGAACTGGACATAATTAATCACATTCATTAATACACATTATTAAGCAGTAGGGAATAAATCTACTTATATTCCCCATTTATTATGTTGTTATTGAATTTTCAATTAATACTGATGCTGTCTGCATAGCTTCCAAAGAGCTGACAAGGAGAAAATGTAGATACGTAACAAAAAGCACTATAACAAAGAAAATATGTTTAAGATGAAACATTCTAAAAATTCCCAATATTTGATTAGATACTTACTTTGGAAATACTGTCCATGTCTCCTGAGCCTTAAATTAAAACAGACATTTTTTTTCCATTAGTTTTAAGCTGAAGGTAATCTTAAGAATTTTTTTTCCATAGTAAATATACAGTGTCACAGCAATACTTAAAAAACATAACCAATACTTAACAAACATAACCAATCATACTTCATCTCAATTCCTTCCCAATGTCTCTCTTAGTAAAAGTTTACAGGCAGTATTGAACAATGTTAGCCCTTTCTCTATGAACATACCAAAAACTGAAAAAAGAATAAGAAAACACTTTCGATCTGTATCTGTTATTTGGGTGGCATCCTTTCAGGATAAGAGAGCCAGCACAACTCTAGAAACCAGGGTACAGGTAATGCAATTTATTTGTGGTATTATCCACCAAGGGAGATGTTGCATTAGCTGTATTAAAAAAAAAAAAAAAAAAACAACCACAAAAAAAGAGGCAACTAACTAGTAAAATCTGATGTTCCTGGGAAAAAAAAAAAAACACAACAACAAATAAAAAAAGACCACTATTATCATTAAGGTCAGCTAGGAGGGTTTCATCAATGTCTTTGCTTGCAGAAGCAGAAGCCTACTGCTGAAACTGACTGGAATGACTTCAGGTTTTGATTCATTACAAACACTGATGATGGCAGTATCTTTCAGAAGAAAGCAGATGATCCTGAGGACCAGAGTAACAGAAATAAAATAAAATTAAATATAATGAGTGCAAGACTATTGAATTTTTTTCACATGCTGTAGCTCTCACTCTGGTAAAGCAAAGAAGAAATAAACTTTAGGATGAATGTATCAAAAAAAAGCATTTTTAGCATCAACAGACAGTAAACAATTCTGGTCACCTGTTTTCAGGAAAGATGTATTCTACAAGAGTACTGAATACAAACCCAGAAGAGTATCAGGGAAATCAATCAAGAAAATGGGAGCTGTGGAAGAAGACTGAAATAGCTTACTATGTTTAGCCAGGCAAATTAAGGCTGAGAAGGAATATGATTTCTCTATATAAATACGTCAGATACATAAATGTTGTGAAGAGCTATCTTGTCACAGCCCAAAGGATAAATTTTGTGGCAATCAGAAAAAGGTTTCTATCTAAACATCAGAGCTATGAATAGATAACCATAGAATGGTTATGGCCAAAGAAGTTGGAGAAGTTCAAGATGGACCTTGACCAATTTATCCATCTGATTATGAGACACAGCTGCCTACTGCAGCATGGAAGTGAATGCAGAGGATCCCTTCCAGCCCTCTTCTCCTTAAAGAACTCAGGTTCCAATTTAGATAGGATGTTACCCCTAGAAAGCAGTCATCATTAATTTGAGTAAGCACTTCATCTCTTTCCCTGGAGAAAATAACTAAGCAAATGCTTAGATGCCTGTAAAATCCTTCCACAACTGTTTCAATTTATTTTCTTTTAGCCAAAAATAATTCTCAGGCTGTAGAAACGTGACAGAAAAAGATGCTATTACCTTTTACATAATTTTTTATTTCTTTGAATGTAACGTGCATCATTTTTAGTTAAAGCAACAACCAATGTTAGGATTGTAATAGGTACAGAAAAGCTGTAAAATCACCAGGTGTCCTTATGCAAAGTAATCTAGGAATTTTGGGGACATGCTTTCCTAGGAAAAAAGATAATTCTATTAGGAGACAGATGCATACTGCTGAATTTTAATTGTTCAGACTGTGTCTGCTAAATAAGGTTTGATAGCTGTTTTTTTCTCAACCTTCCATGGCCTCTTCAGATTTCTCCCTTTGTCCTACCAGTTTGTATTTCCTGTCTCACAACCTCCAGCTGTTGGGCTGTGAGAGACTGATCTCCACCCTCCATGGAAGTATGGACTTAAACCATGTGGAGTTTAGGTTGGTCCATGTCTGTGCTGGGAAAGTGACAGAGCTTTTCTCTCGGGATAACAGCAAAGGGAGCACCAGGAGCTTGGCTTCTGCCTGCCTGACCTGTGTTTAGCTTGCTTGGGTTTCTTCCCATAAAGAAAAACACTGCTCAGCAGGGTGTTGCTGGTGCCCCTTGGAGGCACAAGAGTACACTGCTGGTGGACCAGGGGGATAGAAGAGAACCTAAAGAGCTTTACAGCCTGAAGTTCCACCCTGTTGCCTGCATGACTGGCACCCCTTGGTGCAGATGGAAGTGAAGAGTACAACACAAGAACTCTATTCAGAGCTATTTGCCTCATGTTAGGGTAGGAGCAGAAATAAAATCAGAGTATTTATTTACCTTGCAAGCATGGAAGAGGAAGGCGTAAGTGCAATTTATTTAGTTGTAGCTTGCTTCTTAAAATCTCTTTCAAACATCTATCAGGCTTCCAGCAAAGAGTAAGAGCAGAGAGTTTGCTAGGACAGTCAGGTGATAAAGCAGTGTATATTTTGCAGAGTTGTGCAAGGCTTCTCCCCTAGATACAAGTCCTTCCAAAATCACAGTGCCAAAAGCCGAGCAGTACACTGTTCCCCCTGCCTCTGCATGCCCTGACCAGAACCCATGTTCTTTTGGATGTGTTAAAATTGGCAACTGTCTGAAGCTGCTAGTGGGTACAGAGTAATAAACTTAACAGACATATGGCTAAGTATGGAACAAATGATGATATCTAACTGTTGGAATAAAACCAGCTTAACATATACATCAAAATATGTAATAACTTACTTCCAGGTAATTTGTAAGAAACTGCATCAGCATTTCGCAATGACACCTCCCCAAGATTTTCAAAGAGGAACAGAGGTAAATAAAAATAGTTCTTAAGCCTTCACCTCTAAATTACTGTCATGGTATGCTTTCAGACTGCTTTTCATCAACTGCTATACTCTCTAATATAAATAAAACACAGTATTTTCCTTCCAGAGGTGCCAACTCATTTGCTTAAAAGAGTATCCTAATACTTCTCACTAATGTATATACAGCTTTTTCAGGTTTTAAAAGGTTTTTACACACAGTCTTTGACGTAACTCAGAGAACTGGTCACAGAAAATGGCACTAGTCATAGAAAATTCACAATGCTTGTAATATTTACTGTCATTACCTAATGATCCATTCATATGATGTGAATCCATTCCACCCAGTCCACTCATAGGTCCATCTGACCCTGGCCCCATTGGAAACTATAAAATGACCAGACATTAAAAACTGATATTACTGTACCATTTCTTGTAGATAATCTAATAAAAAGAAAATATTTGTCAGGATTAAAAACCAAAAATGAAACAACAACAACAAACAAACAAACAAAAAAAAAAAAAAAAAACAAAACAAAAACCAAAACAAACACCAAAAAACAACCAACCAAAAAAAAAAAAAAAAGAAGAAACACCACAAAAAAACAACCCCACCCAAAAAAAAGTGAAGGAAAAATGCACAGTCCTATGTCTGAATGCGCAAGTCAAATTAAAGTATTTCATGTGAAGACTGCAAAAACATCGTTGTTTCTTTTAACTTTTTCCAATATTACCTTCATGAAACTCTCACCTCTCTGTAGGCTGGAATATAGTTTAGGAATAATTTATTATTTACTTTGACACCTTGGGTATGACTTTCAAACCTGCTAGTGCTGACCTAGCTGTACTCTTATTGGGGTTACAGGAAACTTTTATGATTCCCTTCAATGAAATAAGTAAGTAATTAATTAACAGCTTTCAAGGCTCACCTTTATACTGGCAATTGGACTGCTCTGCATTACCTTTGTGGAGTTTCTGACCAGCTTTAGATATTAATCTTAAATTTTATTCTTCAAATACTTAATGACATTAATATCATAGAAAAAAATAGAATACACTGCGTTATGATTTTGAAACACCTAAATAACTGTATTTTTAGGTCTTACTGGCTTTTTCTTTTCTTCTCCAAAAGGCCCATAATATGGATCATGATTAAACGAAATGTGGTTGCAATCAAGAGAAATACAATAAAACTGAAGCCATAGAGAAAGATCAAGGAAGATTCAAGTTCTACCTGAGAATCCAGATTTTTGTAAGCACTAGAATTGCTGAAATTTAGGCTAAACAGTCAGAAGTTAACTACTTCCTTAGGCAAATATTTAAATGTTATCAATAGGTTTCATTCTTAACATCCCATTTAGACAAACAAGGAAGCTGGTTTCCTCTCAGAGGCATTCATATTGTCCTCTTTCACAGAAGAGCAGGGCAACATAATACTTCTGCAATTTTCTCCTCCCTTTTCAAGGATAGATACTTTGAACAGAAGTTTGAATCATGTTAAAAATAATGCTTACTGGCAGCTCCTAGGATTATGTTCTACCACACCAAAGTCTATTGCATCACAGACATCCCCCAAAATCCACATGCAGAGCTTCTAACGTCTTTTCTGTGTAGAATATGCTCCAATCTTTATGTTGCATGTATTGACATGATTTGTGAAACATAGAAAGGTACATGGTGATGGGAAGCAACTGAAGTGTCACCCATAAAAATGATAAACTTAGTATTAATGATATGTGATGGAAACATAGTGTTTGGATTAAAAAAAAAAAAAAAAAAGCTCCATAATTCAAAGAAGCATGTAACTAGAGTCATATTTACATTAGGTCTGTTGGGTCCAGGTGGTACTGCATTCATTAAAGTGTACATGTTGTCTCCAGAGTTGGTTGAATCTGTAATAAGAGATTATTTTAAGTGCTAATATGTACCTTTCAATAAAACTACTCACCTAATACATATCCTGTCATTTTGTTCATATTATTTCTTTGCCTGAATCACTGATACACAGTAGCAATATAATAGATTTCATTCCTTTTCTATCTACTGCTACCACACAACAGAGCTATGAAAAGAAATCATTGCAATGGTCCCTGAGTGACTATGTCTAGACTTTAGTTTTATGCATGACTGTTAAAAGGTTTATAAATCACCATGTAGCTATAACTGTTTAATTCCATAAAACCCTTTTTCCTGGAGTTCTGAATTACTTCACACATCTTCAATTCTCTCTATAGAACAGGAGTTTCTTATCAATACTTCCTGCAATTTGTTTTCCATCCGTAAAAAAATGGTAAGTAGCTTCTCATTATACAGACTTCAAGTTAGGATAGCACATGAAAAATTTTTATGTTCATCCATCTCAGTCTATTTGATTTTGGATATATCTAACTGTTCAGTGGAACACCATGCAAAGATCCTGGCTCCAAGGACAGCTTCGTATCTTAATGGTACAGCAGGTGCAATGCTTCAGAAAACCTCTCTAAGTCCAAAATCAACAAAACCATTCTGGCACAGAATGGTGCTTAAGCCAGTAAGTTCTGTCAAGAGTTTCACTTGCCCTTACCAAATGCTGACACACCTATATTCCATCTCAATTCTTCTTCTGCAATAAATGCACATGAACATTCAGATGGAGCAACTCCAGAGCTGAAATGCAGGAGGCAACCCAGCTAACTGTGTGGTTGAACTTTCTTACCAATGCCTAAGAACCATTAGACACAGATTAATCATTCTGATCTCCAGCTCATCCCCAGTGCTAACACCTTTCATCAATATCTGTATGAAAGAGAAGGCAAAAAATGCAGCAGATGGTAGACAAATTATGCAAAACCTTTCCCAAAGGAACTTCCCAAGAGATAGGTCATGTAATGGAAAGGTTTGCTGAGAGGAGAATGAAAAAAGGAAAGTCTAAATACACCCCTAAGGGGACAGCATGATTTTAAAAAATACAAGGAACTCTGAAAAAACAGCAACACTACAGTACCTACAAAAAGAATAAAGAATAGCTTAGTGCTCTGCACCCAGATCCTCCGAAAGACCGTTCCACCTCTTTGAACCAGAGTTTTGAGATTATGAATGCAAACAAAAACCACTGCTGAGCTGTAATTCATTTTCAAAGAGGAGGTGACTGAGGAATTTTTGAGTTAGAAATAGTAAAAACAAGAAAGCTGAGCCCACCAAAATGTGTTGGAAGAGGGAATGCAGCCTGACCTCCTGTAAGAATGTATTTGGGAAGTTAAAATCAAGGTTTTTGTCTATTTCTTAACCTTTCTCAGACAAGTTTTCCAAGCATCAGTTCACTTTGGTGAACAAATAATTCCATTATATAACAGAGCACTATGTATCACTAGAACATTTAAATACGCTGTTAGCAGAAGTGGGGGTGGGACAAAAAGCTTTTAGCCTGAAGTTATCAAAGTAAGATTGGCATGTAAAAAGTTATTTTTAATGTTCAATGAGATAGGCAAAAAGTTCTTCCACCATCAGATCCTTCTGCAACACACCTCCCTAAGTTTCCTCATGTTCTGCTGGCTCACGTCAAAGTACATAGAGGCTGCCTGGGCCATGGGAACCTTTGGAGCTGGTTTGTCTCAGAGGCAAATAAATACCATGGCAAAACTCTCAGGTGGTCAGTTTCTAAGTGTTTTCATACTTTCAAAAGCAGAACCTCAAAACATCTTTGAGTCTGACTGAAAGTGGGAAAAACTGTCAGCAGAAGCTTCATTTGAGTAGCACACAAAGAGCCTAACATCTGCCGTAACTGCAGTGCTGAGGTGGCAGAGGCTGTCCATGAGCTTGTTTTATGTTAAAAGGGACTCTGACTTTAAATGCCAGCTTGCACTAATTATCTTTTCCACTAATGATATGAACAAGGAAGCCCTGTGATAGTATTTAATGAAGATGTTACACTGCTGCAAGATGTTTTCATAATTACTTAACAAAATCCTCTACCCTCTTGTGCTGCAGAGGACAGCAAGAACATGTATGATACAAGGAGTGAGGAGGCTGTAACATCACTGAGGTGAACGGGGGACCTCTTAGCTGGTGAAAGTGAGTTACAAAGGCAGATATAGGCCAAAAGGAGTAGCTATTGAATGCTGATATTATACAAGGAGTAGCTACAAAAGGAGTAGCTACTGAATACTGATGTTACACAAGATGCAATTGCATCTTGCATTTTCGCAGGATTCTGTCCATTCTGTCCAGAACTCCATTCTGCAGTTCCACCTTGGTATCAGAATCTTTGCACAACACTGATGGAGGGCAATACTTACATCTAGCTGACCACCTATTAAGCCTTGAGAAGCTGGCTAGCCATCCCAAATACTCCCATCCTCCTCCTTGTTTCCTCAAACCTTGGTTGGAATGTGGCCAATCTTTTGCCTGGCCAAAATCTCCATGTGGTCCAAGTTGCAAGTTGTCCAAGTTGTGCTTCCTAAAATCCTTTACAATTACTTTTTATTATTTTGGAGTATATTTCAGTACCTGCAGGACTAGGCATGATAGGTGTTCCTGGTGGCCCTCCACCCCCTGGAGGACCCTAGAGAGAGCAGAGAATGTCAGTTGGAATGGAAGAAAAAGATACTGCAATAAAAATTGAACACAGTACAAATGAAAAGAAAAACAAAAAAGTACCATGAATTAAATTGGTAAAAACATGCACATTTTCTGTTAAGCTAGCGAAACATCACAGTTTAAGATGAGGTAATGGGTCAGCAAGCTCTGGCACAGATTTCTGATGTATGTAGGTATACAGACCCAAGAATATCTGTTAGTCAATAACTCTTGTGTCATGCAGTGAGTCAGATGAGAGAAATACTTGGAACAGGGCCTAAGACAATTATACTTAATTCCCTCAACCTGTTTTCATTACCAGTGTTTTTTCAGCTGACATTTCTGTTTTGTTGTACTCTGTTCACGGTCAGTGGTAGAGTAAGTAATGTTTGCTAAGCACAAAATATGGAGGTGTCCCATGGGACCAGAAGAACCTAATCACCTTAAGAATTGCCTTTTTAAGGCAGACTTGGTACCTTGATACTGTTGGCATCTAAATTCTGTCTGTACAATATCCTACAATTTTTAAAATAACATCTGTATAAAACATTTCTTCTCAAAGTACTAACAAATGGATTAAAAAAGTCAGAATAATGCTGGATACAGTCATATTAGTTGCCCAGACTGCCAACTCAAAGATAAAAAAAAACAAACAAACCAACCCATCAAAGAACATCTATTTTCTTAGTTTCAGGTATTTCTGTGTTACAAATCTGCTTATGACTAAAAGTTGTACACAAACTGCTTTGGTTGTTAAACAAGTGTTTTAAGCTTCTTTAAGAATTTCTGCAATAATATTATTCTAAATATCCTTACCACTTAGGAAGAACAGAACCATAGCGTATTGCTTCCTCTGTTTGAGATTCACTAATATTTTTAAGTAATATGAAAACCTAACAAATTCAAGGTAAAAATGTCTGTGTCAATAGAATACAACAAATGTTAACTTTTCATTATAAAAAATACACAGCTAGCAAAATTTCTTTTCATTGCCATATGACTATTATTCTTTTAATCATTTTTGTTATAATTTAAAATAGCAGATACACTATTCCAGACAGGAATATTTTTTCAGTGGCACTGGATATAAAGGTTTAGCTGTCCCTGTCTGCTTACAAGACATGGCTGAGATTTGCTATAATTCACTGAAGTATTTTGGAAGGTTTTAAGCAAGGTCACTGAGTAACTTATAGAGCATGCTAGAACACGGACTTGCTCCACCAGAACACCCACAGATCAGCTTATAAAAATCAAGGCATAATCATAACTTCATTTCATACTGCCAGCAACCACATTGCTTTTTACCCCTCCCAAATTAGAACTGAATCAGAAATGAATGTGTTAGAATCTCGCTTGGCAAAACTGTCTGAAAGGCCTACTCAGCCCTCAGCAAGAATTTCCATCATTGCTGCTGCAGAGCAACAGATTCCAAAGAAACCTTTGGATAATGTATAAGACCTTTCAGGCATCACAGAGCTGTCAGACATTTTATCTGCGTGCTTGAGCACTAAGCTCAATGACTTTTTGGGTTTTTTTAGGTTTATATGTATTTTTCAGCATAACATAGAAAGGTGTAGAAAGCACTAACTGTGCATTTATTAGAAAAGTTACTTATGTTCACTACTAACTTTTGCAACTGATGTTAAATTTGCATTTACTCTCATTGCTTGTGTGTTTCCTGCTCTTGGAAAGCCTCTTGGTATCAACTACTTTCACCCTTAGAATATATTCGTATCTAATGGAATTATTTCTCAAAAACTGTCTGACAAGCTAAGCAGACTGAGCCCTCAGAGTTTGTAGGTTCCAGATCTCAAATCCTTTGGCTAAAAAGTTGCTTTAAAAGCTCCCCAGCCTTAGAAGAGTACATGAGAAGTACACATAATCCAAGTACAACAGTACAACAACAATAAAGAGCCTATAAAGATAAACACAGTTAATCTTTTGGGATAGAGACAAAAACCAGTAGTATATATTACAAAAAACCTTTTTGTTGATAGGTAAAGTGTTGAGAGGGTTAGCATTTTGTTTCCTTTTGAGTGACAGCTCAATGCTGGGCCTATTATAAAGTTTTAACAACTTACTTCTGAAGTACAGACTAAGAAAAAACAATGATACCAACTAATCCATACTAAATTAAGACAATATCTGTGAAATGAAGCCAGACAATGGAGAAAGAAAGAAGTTGAAAGTCTTTAGAAGTTAATTATAAAAACATAAATTTCCTTTAAAATGTGCGCTACAAGGACACATATGTATATCTTTAGGGAGAGAAAAGCTTATTCTAAATTTTCAATTTTTTTTTGTGAAAAAGTTCAGAAACTCATACACAATATTGTGATATTGAGGAAACTGGGGTTTTTTTTGTCCCTTATTACAAAGGCAATATATTTTATTGGATATATAAGTGTTCACTGAAGTAAAACTGCACTCAGGGCAATTCTGATCAGACTGATAATGATTCTCCTAATAAACATCAACATATGCACCACAAATGGCAGAAAAAAACCTAAGTGCAGATCAGATGTTCAGTTCTCAACCAATACACAAGGGTTCTTCTTAACATTTGGACAGCTGTGTCTTTGCCTAAATAAAATGTAACATCCATTATAATAAGCAAACACACACATGAGTGTACTTACTACATAGTTCCCAGGAGATGCTGAAGAGTACGGTATCTGTAATAGCAACAGAAACAAACCAGTAATTTCTTCTCCAGGGAGGTGGAGTCCATACATACATTTATGTGTAGCTGTATGTTATGCATATTTGTTTAATTTATTTCAAAGACACAGTTAAGGATCACAAAAAAATGCTACTGTTGTCAAAAACCCACCTCATCTTTTTAACAACTTGGCCTTGTAAGTAGCTTCGACTCAACTATCAGTACAGACACAAACCAAATTTAATATCCAATATTTCAAATAAAAATATTTCCATTTAAGAATAGTATGCCCTGGTATCCACTCAAATGAATACAAATAACATCATTGACCTATTTAAATGTCTGTAGGCTGAGGTCTCTTAACTGCTCTCCATTGTTTCGTAAGTGAGGCATGCATTTTTAACAGCCAGCATCACTTTTTAAAGATACCAGGTTACAGGCTCTAGTACCAATCCAGTTCTTGCATCTACTGCAGTAGTCTTCTTATTCTTACTGTCGGAGCCACAGTAAGGTCTGTAAAGATCTGCAGTCTACAGTAAAAGGTTAAGCTATAAGATTAAGCTATAATGTTATTAAGGTAATATACTTCATAAGGTTTATAAAATTAAGCAGCACATACTTGCATTTAAGTCAAGAGGAGCGTGTACTGAATTTGGATGTTCTTATGTGTACTTGATATTGATTAAAATCTTGACCTCAAAGGAAAAACAACTCTTTAACCCTAGAAGATACTAGTTTTATTTCTTTGCAACCTACCTCTTCTTTTTTTTTTTTTTTTTAATTAAAGGACAGTATTTTATATTCATTTCAAACTCAGTTATGGTATTTATTACAGAGTATATCAGGAGAAATCCAGTTGCCTAAGAATAACCCAGTTTTCTTCTTCATGATGTCCTTTGCAATTACGCTTTCTAGAAGAGCCAGGGACCAATACTATTATATCAGGTAAGAATTAAGCAACTGCACTGACAAAATATAAAATTATTTTGCAGCACCACCATCTTTCACCATCTTGCATGATGGTAGACAACTTGTCAGACAGCTCAGTCTTATAAATATGTCTATTACTGGACTTCTCTATTAATTTCACAGAATTAAAGTATTTCAGCTAGCGTAACATCCATTTTAGTTGAGTACATGCAGAATAAAACCGAGGAAGAGTTTCAGCTGTCTTTTTTTAATCACCCTCCCCCCCCCCCCCCAGCTGTCATTAGTAGAATTAAATAATCAAAATTGAGAACAAGGCTAGAAAGAACCAGACTAGTCCATTAAGACAGACCCATCTTATCCAACTGCAAGTGCTAAAAGATGTCACATTTTAATACTAATGATGTATCATCACTGAATGAAAACTACCTTTGTGTTTTCTGAAGAAAATCCAGACCATTGTTGTTCATGTGGGATGCCTCAGCTTCCTTCAAGCTGTTATTAGACTACCTCATTTTGTAGTTGCCATGAAATTCAATAGAGTTCACTGCTTTTTACAAAAAACATTGAGAAATGGCTGATTTATTGCAAGGAATTGCTCTGTGCTTCTGTATTCCCAGATTTAGAGCAGCAAAATGTGCTTTTGTTATGTAAAATACGTGAGCACCCATTGAGCTGTGTCTTTAAAAGCTGTGATTTCTGTAGATCTTGCTGGGCAGACAGTATTGACCTAATTCATCTTAGTGGTACTAAAGGAAACAAGAATGTATTTTGAATATATCTCAGGATAACTTTTGTGTTATGGAAGTGCTGTAACTGATGTGAAGATGCAGAGCTATTGTACACAGCTGGATATCTGCAGGTCAATGAACGCACACTGTATTTGCTCTGCACTACGGTGCACTAGGGTTACAGGAATATAAAGCATGCAGTATCCTGTTTGATGAATGAACTGGAAGGTTTTTCCTGGTGTACTGATGCGAAATACTTCCTTAAATATAAGATCATGTCTAATATATTTTAAATATTTACTTACAGAGTTGGCATTTGTTGGGTTTGGCCAAGGTCTACCACCCCCAGGACCCCTGTAACAGAAGATGTAAGATGAGACACAGAACAATCCCCATCTTCTAACCAGCTCTTACGGAAGCAAATAAAAACAATCTGTTTCCAGATTAAGGAAGGATAGCTTTTTTGAAATAGTGTGTTTGTTTATAAACCATAACTACACCAAGTCATAATGCTGTAGCAAAATTCCCAGCATTGCACTACTATTATCATTTTATCAGTTTATGAGTTGATGAAAGATAATTTATTTATTGTTACAACCCTGCCACTCACATTTAAGATACTTTATTTCCCGACCCATTCTGATACTTCTTTGCTTTTCAGGACAGGACCTGCCAGAATGGCACCATAAGGAGTTCTTCTCCAATAGCCACACTGCCAGAGGCTGCAGAGGAGATGGCACAGTTTTGCATTGGTCCCAAACACTTGCAAATTTAGGAAGTGCCAGACATTCCCCTTTTATATTCTCAATGCGACAACAATTTGAAAGACATTGTGAGTGTGTGTCTCTTGAAGTGTTTTACTTCTGCTCGCAGAGAATTTAACTCTGTGTTACATATATGCAACATGTTAATATGGCACAGAAGTTTTGCAAAGGGTAAAAAACAAGTTCCCAAATTCTTGTAAGTTCTTACAGGAGTTTTTTCCTTGTACTCTTTTAACCTTTTCTAAAATATCTGGAAGAAGAATCACACAGTCCATGAAAGTCTGCTTATAGTAGAGGCAAAGGCAGGAAGGTACTAAAATAGCAGTGTAATTTCAGGCATAGGAACAGTACTCTTGCTTAGATAATACCTTCCTGAAGAACTGAAGATGAATGCATTTATTCAGTATAGCTTTAGAATACTGCAAGTATGGTAAGGTTTTATTAGTGAAAGTGATGGTAGTACATTATATACGTTCTGAGAAAACTTGTATTTTTAAAAGAAGAAGCCACATTAAATCAGTTACAACCTCTATCTGACAATAATTACAATAAATCCCATGTATTAACAACTGAATACATGTGAGTTTGTACATACTTTGAACATGTTCAGAAATGTATCTAAAAACGGTTTGCTACTTGAGTAAGGCAACAGAAGTCACAGAAACACAAAATATATCCTACAGCAGTCAAAATGGAGATTTTAAACATCCTTGTACATTTGACCCAAGTGGTGTACACATGATGAAGTGGCAGCTCCCCAGCAAGAGGGACAAGAGTTTTCACAGCCACAAAAGCCTTTTGATAAAGACAACTCTGAGGGGACTTCAGAGGGATAGTAAGGGCAGGGAAGGGAAAAAAGGAGGAGCCATGTAGATAGAGGACCTTTTTTTCAGATCTCTTGCTGTTATTTTAAGATTCTCACTATTAGCTGAGCTCAGAAAAAATAGTTTGATGGTTAGGCTTCATCTTTTAACAGTCCCTTATGAGGGATCCAAGCCATATGGGAGGTAAAATCTCCCATGTTTACAGTAATAACATCGCAATAACTGTAATTATTCCTGAGATCATTAAGAGCTTGTAGTTATTTATAAATAAGGCAAAATCACTTTTGGAAGGCCCTGACAACTCAGAGGCAGAGCAGATGACAAAACTTTCACATTTAGAATGGCATTTTGGCCCCTTCAGCTTTAGAAAAGCAACATTAGCCATCACAGCTTCCAGACATGGGAGGGTGATTTAAATATAGAGAAGAAAGCAGGCTTTATTAATGAGTTCAGGAAGTTTTCTATCTATTTTAAAGTCTTGCAAAACTAAAACCTATTAAGTAGATAAGTTGCCTGAGGGATTTAATATTGTATCCTGTGGTGTTTTTTTTTATTACATTGCTGATGAAACTATAAAGAAATTAGTTCAAACACAACTAAACTAAATCAAGTGAAAACTTATTTATTTGCACCGATTTTGGTTTTGGAACGCCTTTTCTGCTTTATTTATTGGGAGAAAGGGGAGGTGAAGCAAGAAAAGGGACTCAACAGTACTCATGCTCCTCAGGTGAAATGGTCAGCATATTCAAACATTCAAATTTTCAGCAATTCCTAAATATTACAAGGTGAAATATGAGGTGCTCCTTCCCCCCCCACCAAAAAAAAAACCAACAACAAACCAAACCAAAACACCATTTTTTATTTTCCATATACAATATTTGTTTTATTGGATCCTATTTTTCAGAAGAGAGCATGGAACTGCACTTGGGATGGATAAAGAGCCAACCAAGAGCTTGTGGGTCAGGACTGAAGGAAGAGCAGGGACAAGGGACATTACAGTGAGGATCTGCTACTAGGCCACCCAACCAGGAAGGCTGAGGATAAGGTCCTCAAAAGGGAGATAGGTATAGCCTCATGTTCACAAGCCTCGTGCTCATGGCGACTTCAACCACCCCAATATCTGTTAGAGGGTCAACACAGCAAGGCACCAGCTGTCCAGGAGGTTCCTAGAATGTGTTGGTGACAACTTCCTACTCCAAGCAATAGAGGAACCAACGAGGAGGGGGGCCTGTGTTGGACCTTATCCTCACATAGGAGGGGCTGGTGGGGAATGTGACGGTCCAAGGCAGCCTTGGCTGTAGCGATCTTGAGATGGTAGAGCTCAAGATCCTCAGGGGAGTGTGAGAAGAGCGTGCAGCAAGCTCACTGCCCTGGACTTCAAGAAAGCAGACTCTGGCCTCTTCAGGAACCTGCTCAGTAAAGTTCCATGGGATATAGCCCTGGAGGGAAGAGGGGCCCCCAAGAAAGCTGGTTGATATTCAAGGATCACCTCCTCTGACCTCAGGAGCATTTGCATTCCAACAAATAAGTCAGGCAAGAACACCAGTAGGCCTCCATGGAGGAACAAGGAGGTCCTGGACAAATTCCAGCATAAAAAGGAGGCCTACAGAGGGTGGAAACAGCAACATAGCCTGGGAGGAATATAGAGAAACAGTCAGAGCAGCCAGGGATCAGGTTAGGAAAGCTAAAGCCATGACAGAACTCAATCAGCCAGGGATGTCAAGGGCAACACAAAAAGCTTCTATAGATATATTGATGATAAAAGTTAAGATTAGGCAAAATGTGGGCCCTCTCCAGAAGGAAACAGGAGACCTAGTCACCTGGGATGTGGAGAAGGATGTGGTACTCAGTGACATTTTGCCTCAGTCTTTGTTCGCAAGAGCTACAGCCACACTGCTCAAGTCTCAGAAGGCACTGGGAGAATGAACAACCACCTGCTGTAAGAGAAGATCAGGTTCGAGAACATCTAAGGAACCTGAAGGTGCACAAGTCTATGGGACCTGATGACATGCATCCATAGGTTGTGAGGGAACTGGCAGATGAAGTGGCTAGGCCACTATCCATCCTGAGAAGTTGTGGCAGTCTGGTGAAGTTCCTGTTGACTGGAAACGTAACCCCCATTTTTAAAAGGAAAAAAAGAGACCTAGGGAACGGAAGGCTGGTCAGCTGGTGCCCAGCAAGATCACGGAGCAGATCCTCCTGGAAACTATACTAAGGCACATGGACAATAAGGGGGTGATTGGTGACAGCCAACATGGCTTCACTCAGGGCAAATCATGCCTGAAAAATTCGGTGGCCGCCTGCAACAGGGTTGCATCATTGGTGGATGAAGGAAGAGCAAATGATGTCATCTAGCTAGAACTCTGTGCAAAGCATTTGACACTGCCTGTAGGACATCCTTGTCTCTACACTGGAGAGAGAGGGATTTGATGAATGGACCACTCCATGAGTAAGGAATCGGCTGGATCATTGCACTCAAAAGAGTTGTGGTTGACATCTTGGTGTCAAATGTGATGAGTATTCCTCAGGGGTCTGTAGCACCTCTGCTCTGGAGACAGGCTGAGAGAGCTGGGCTTGTTCAGCCTGGAGAAGAGAAGGCTCCTTAAGGGGAGACCTTAGAGCAGCTGCCAGTGCCTAAAGGGGCTACAAGAAACCTGGAGAGGGGCTTTGGACAAGGGCCTGTAGGGACAGGACAAGGGGAATGGCTTTAACCTGACAGAGGGGAGACTCAGATGAGCTCTTAGGCAGAAGTTCTTCCCTGTGACGGTGGTGAGGCCCTGGCAGGGGTTGCCCAGAGACGTTCTGGCTGCCCCATCCCTGGCAGTGCTCAAGGCCAGGTTGGACGGGGCTTGGAGCAACGTGGTCTAGTGGAAGGTGTCCCTGCCCATGGCAGGGGTTGGAACTGGATGAGTTGGAACTGGATGAGTTGGAACTGGATGAGGACTTTAAGGTCCCTTCCAACCCAAACTCTTCTACGAAATCAGGAATATTTCTACTAACACTGGAAGTCTGTTCTCACCCCAAAACCCTGAACTTGTTTGTGTGACATTAAGTAACACAAATACATCTAGCAAAAGCACCAAATGGAAAATAGCTCTGATGATACTACAGATTACTCTGAGCTACCAAAATATTAAAATGATGACTGAGATACATGATTGAGTTAAGCCACAGTGACATGGAAATTTAGGCAGCCCTTATGAGGAGACTGACAAACACCTTTCACCTAAAAAGCTGTTGGAATTTGAAAAATTACTGGAAGTCATGGGCAGCTCTAAGTATAGACTTAGAAAACACTGTTGCAGATTCTGCTGGAAATCCATATGGTTTTTGTAGAGCCAAATACTATTAGCTTATAAAACACACATTTAAAAAAGCTACCTGTGTATTTTTTTCAATGCAATGCAAACAGGGGGCTTTGCTCTTTATTAAATGTTTAATTTGGATGCATTGACAGTGTCATAAAACATTATTATCAATGTACCAGTTTCAAAATGGAGTGATTTATGAAATAGCTAACACTATGACTAATAGCAGCTGCATTTTATCCTTAAACTTAGTCCTATACTGCTGATCCTAGTTCTTGGAAAATAAAGTCTGAAGTTGCAGTTTCCAAAGGGGCAAATATAGTCAATCAGGAAATTAAACTCTGAGACGCAGTTTATAAATTGAAGTCAAAAACCAAAATCACTCTTTTTTTTTCCTATTCAGGCATGACTGAGATATTCTTAGTGCTTGGAGACAGCACTGCAGGTCACACAGGCCATTAAAACGTGCCAGTGAAATGCTAACACTGATCCCTGAAATTTGCAATTTTGTTCCAAAAACGGCATTTTTCCACAAACACATAAAACCTTACTAAAACAGGTTACACAAAGTTTCAACTTCAAACCTCATGGTAAAATACAATAAACATGTATTAGCTGTTTCAAAAGTAATCTGATAAGCATTAGTTATGATGGAGCAAGCAATTATTTAGCAGTACTACATTTGTGGAGTATATGCTTTTGGACTCAAATATTATCAATAAGTTCACAAGCTGGTTGTTGCTATTTTTTACAATAAGGACACTTTTTTAAATTGCAGTTAGTAGTCATCAAAGCATGTTACTCGTCAAAGCATGTTCTCCTTGTCTTATCCCAAATGTTACTTCTTGGTAATCCTTTTGTGGGTAATCCCCAACAAACTGCCATATCCCAAATGGTACTTCTACAATGAAATAATGATTTTTCTAAATATGGCAAGATTTCATTATTATACTTACATGTTCATTCCAGGCATCCCTGGGCCACCTAAAGCATTCAGTGGGGGTCTCATTGCACCTCCATAGTTCTGCAATGATAACCAAGGATCAGACTACCACAAAACAAAAAAAGAAAACCAAAGAGGAGGGGGAAAGAAAGGACAGCAGGTTAATGATATCCCTACATAACTGCTGACTGGACAGGCCAATGTAATTCATTCTTTCAGGAGTTTCCATTGTTCACTTCAAAAAATAACACTGTTAACCCCACAAGAAAGACTTACAATACAACAGAAATAGACTACGAATTGCCAGTTGTTTCAGGAGGAATTATTTACACATGCAGAAGTCAAGGCAATGGCCAGCAAGGGGCAGTCTTTATAACGTATTTAACTTTCATATAAAGGGAACTCATTCAAAATCAGAAACCTAGACTTAAATTCCAAATTTCTACATCATGGCATTTAAATAGAATTATTTTTAATTACATTTTGTTAAGATGTCAGTAAGTGCTTGTATAAAATTACACTATATCACTTTTATAACATACAGCATAATCATTACATTTCTTTACTAATCAGTCGATTCTAGTACTATAGTAAGTACTATAAAAAAGTATTTAATAATGAATGTCATAGCACTGCTAACAAATGCACTGCCCGATGCCTACAAAATCTGAGTTTATGCTCTGACATTATGACAGAAGTTTAACTGTACTAGTTATGAGAAAAATAAATTATACCTATTTTCATTCAAAGGAATACAAGCAAAACAGTCTGGGAGTCATAACAGGCTCCCTGAGCTGTATTAATCCTGCTACATTTTTCTGATATTGCAAAAGAATAGATAATAGAAAATTCTCTACAATGGACAGCTGTCTATTTTGGAAGAACGTGGGAATGAATAAGCAATTTTTTTTTTAAAGTAGATTGTTGTTGCAGTCTGTTTTCCTCTAATAAAACCTATTTCATGTATGGTATAAATCAGACATGGTTTATAAGCTGCATAAACTGTATCAGTCATACTTATGGGTGTTCTCTAAATCAGTCTGATTCATAAAACCATATAAACATGAAGTCATGAATGGGAGAAATCCAACAATGATAGTCAAAGTGTGGGTCTGGTGATGCTTATATTTTGACTGATATGACATGATCAGTTATCTAGAACTGATCTAGAAATGATCAAGAATTAGGAGAAAAGTTTCTGTTGCTGAAACAAAAACCCCAAACTAAAAAATATCTTAATTGTTAGCAATACTGAAAGAGTTTCATTGATAGCTGGTTTACAAGAATACAACCAGAGGGTGCAAACGTCCTCTTCCAGACTCAGCAGTGATATCCGAGTTGCTGGTCATCAGTAACTACTTATCCTGCCTTTCTGTACCAGCAGGTAGACTGACTGGTGGCACAAGGTAGCCAGATTAACTCCTGTTTAACCTAAGTTATCCTAAATGATTTGCCTGAGCAACTGTAGAGGAGTAAGTGATGGCTAGTCAAAACAGCTGGGCACAGTGACAACCCCAGCTGGCAGTGCTGGATCTGGAAGAGAAAACAGTCTGACTAACAAGACAGCAGCTCTGTATCTGGTTTATTTCATTTTTCCATCCTGATGTGTAGGGCCAAGACATTCTCCCTGTTTGGTATCTCTGGTATCTCCCCTCTTTATTTTAATTCAGGAATCATTTGTGCGGACTCGGGTTAGAGATCTCTATGAAATCCCACAGGACTCAAAGAAACCTAATCAAATGTACTTCTAACTCTAACTGATGCAAATTCTAATCAAATGTACTCCTCTGTCCTAAAATAAGAGCGCTTTCATTAAGGCTACCAATATACATGTTCCTTCATCTGCAGCTATACTCTCTACAGAAGTTAGTGCCCCAGTTTGTTCCTTACAGCTTTTAACTCTAAGTCAGCACCACCACTGTTTATCTGGCATTTGAATTATTTGGAAAAGTGCTCTTTAACATCAGGTGGCCAAAAGGAGACAGATTAGCTAAAACCTCTTACTTAAATATTGAAGATGACTTAATTCCTTTTGTCTGGAAAGCGGCAGGGAACATGTGGGAGGCTCACCAGCAGATACAAAGGATGGGGAGAAGTAGTAGTCACAGACTGAGGGTAGTACCCCATTCATCTAACATAGCTGTATCTTGAAAAAAGCCTCAACCTAATTCTCTGAACTTCTTCATAAATTCAAGCATTTACAACTATCCACTTTTTTTTTGTTTGTTTCCTGTTATTTAGTTTGAAACAGTCTAGAATCATAAAATACAAATCTGAGGTAAATTTTCTTTAAGTTTTCTAGCACATGCATGCTATATTGAACATAAGCATTTCTATATCAGCACATCAACTGTTCTGCAAGTTGACTGCCTGTGCAGCAAGGTAGCAGAGCTTCCTACTACAGTCACACCTAAGTCAACTTTACAAGAGGATGTTAAAAGTAGGTGAGAAAGAGTCATCAAATTTGGTTTTAGAACTGTATCCTGAGAAGATCCTAAAGGCCAGAAACAAAGATAGATGATCCATTTACAGAAAAGATCAATTTGCAAACTTAAATTTTGTGTAGATTATATTTTTCCCCATTTTAAGAGGATGTTCAGTATAAGAGAGAAGAACCTTACAAAACCACTAGATTTTAGGAGACAGAAAAAATGTAAAAATCATTCTTGCAAAAATTGGCATGAGATTTGCCAGCTGTGTGACTAATGGTGCTGAATAAAGTATCAGTTCAATCTCATATGGCAGCATTGCAAAGTTTCTCTTCCTACCTCCAAAAGGCAAGTGGCAAATATACTTCAGTGATACAAAAAACCCCAACAAATGTATTGAATAATATTCTGTTGGTCACACAGCAGATATAGCATAGACTGCACAACTGATTTCTACCCAAGAAGACCCAAAACTGTAAAGACTTATGAACAGATTTGAAAAGCAAAGCTATTTAATAATTTAAAATTCAGTTGCTATTCCAAAGAAAAAAGAACTCTCTAGAGAGATTATCTGAAATGGGGAAGTAAAAATGCAAAGTGTGGGCACAAGCAGCATGCTGTAAAACAAAATACTGGCAACACTGGTATGAAATACCACCACCTAAATCTTCTCACTGACAGCACTGACAAAACACAGAATAATATTCTGGATTCATATTTTAGGTACGCATCAGAATTAATTTGTTTACTGCTGAAATGTAATACTGACAAATATCCACTCATGTTTTCACAGATTTGAAGAAAAAGCCTATAAATAATTAGCGCCTTGGAGAAGGCTGATTCTTGCAATGCAAGGTTGCTTTGGATGTCAGAAACAGAGCTAGAGAGATTCTTCTGATTGACAAGGGGGAGAAATGGCAGCATGAAATTCTAATTTTACATTAAAATCTCACTAGCAGTCCCCCAAAATATAGATCAACAGTAGATGAAAGAAAAACTTTACAGAATTTTGGGGGTATTTTTGGTACACAGAGTTTACCTAAGTTAGATATATCAATCCTTTCCTCCTAAACAGTATAATCAATTACACTGGGAGGATGAGGAAACACTTGGTCTCCTTCACAAACGTCAGCCTTTGATTACAACATATAATGGCTGTAGAACAAACAGAACTTTTCTGAAGTAAGCAAGGGAAGGGATTCCTCTTTTAATTTCAAATCCTAATTGAAATGACTGACAGTTTTATTTTAGACTTTGTACAGCCGCAACTCAGTATTAGCTTTTGTAAAACAGTTTATTTTAAAACAGGATTAGAAGAACAAGTCCTGGCCATCTTCAAGCTATTGAAAGCCAGAGTAACAGAGTCAGTATAGGCTTATCAATAAAAATGGGCATCTATCTGTGGAAGGTACCTGTGGTCCTAATGGAACCATTCCTCTTGGAGGAGTCATTCTCTGCATTGGCCCACCCATGTTTGGATGCCCTGCAAATAAAATTGTGCAGCTTGAAAAACCATGCAATACACAAGCACCTTCTAAAACAGCTTTAACATATCACTCATTTTTAATTAACAACAGCTTAAGAAGCTGCAGTAAGCTTTGAAGCAGGAAAAAAAGACACAAGTTTGAGAAGCCAGTGCTTTTGAACAGTCTGAATAATTATTTCATTCACCTTGCTGCCTTGTTGGGTCCATCCCACTAGTCAATAATGGCTGACTTCCTGGGACACCTCCAAGAGCCTGCAGGAACAGAAACCATGTTAAGAGCATACACTCCTTTGAAATTTACTTTAAAGATGCAATTGCCTAATTCGCACCTCCTCTGCCCACCCTTCACTTCATCTTACCTATTATTTAACCTCCAAACAGTGCCTTTTTCTTCGGTACATACCAATTTATCCCAAGCTTATACTGTTACAGTTTTCCTTTTTAACTTCCTTTTTAAGCATTATTTTAACATTTCCTTTCAGAAGTCAGGATGCAGACACGGATATTCTCCAAGAGTGAGCCGTAACTGAGCCAACTGTACAGTATTCAGAGTGTACAGATAGTGAGCTGTAATGTGGGGGATATTTTATCTTCCACTCTGCCTTACTCTTCTTGAAGGGCACCAATGCAAAGATAAGCTTATTATTCATATACAGGATATAACAACTGTCACAAAACTTGCTCCTAAATCTTGCCTTGATACATTAAGGTACATTGTGTTGTTACTTCACTTCTGGTCCAAATCAAACACATTGCTTTTATGTCCCCACATTTTAATCCAACCTTTGTGTTTATAGTAACTGAATTAGGTTTAAGGCTAATTTCTACAGTCTCTTACCTGTAGTTTAGTTGACAAAAAAGAAGTTTTTTTATGAATGGGTCTTCGTGGCTGATCCACCTAGCATTTCAAAACACCACCACATTTTCAGTGAAAATGTATCCAGATTGAGTAAATCTGTTACTTGAAAGTAATCTACTCAGGCAATAGAGGCAATGCTTACTGTGGGAATGGGTAAATTACTCTTGAACAGGAAACACCACAGTAGTCTCGGATATATACAAAAGGGAACTTATCTGCAAATACTATAGAGTGCGTTCTACAAGAGGCAGGAAATTCACAATTAAAATGCACATTATTTCCTCTAAGGTAGTACAGCCAAAAGGTACTGCACTGCAAGATTAATGGAATTCACAAATAATCTGCAATGATGTCATCTAAATCAGAGTTTTATATGTACTTCAAAGGCTTGAAGTTAGGATAATGGGTAAGAACAATACATGAAATGTATGGAGAAGTGTCAATTACCAGCAAAGCAGGAACTTGTCACTCCTGCCAAAGATGGACACACAAGGAGAAGGAGGCATTTGCTGCTGTGAACACATGTGACCAAAGCCTTATCTCATGCAGTCATTACACTGTGGATCATTACATGAGGGACCACAGTTCCTTTTTAACACATCAGACTACTTCCCAAGAAAAACAAGTGTTCTGCACAGCACAGTGCATTGCCAACAGCAAATAACTTTGTAAGTCTTGATCTTGTAGGATATGATCAAGTACTGGAGGCAACCTAGGGGTATTCATGCCACACTCAGTACTGATTTTCCTCCTACAAAGCCTAGACTAGCTCAGATAACCCTTACACAGCACAGTGCTGTGCATGCATGTCCTGTGTTACCTTCCTTGACTAAGAAACACAATCCCTACTTTAAGGCATTAAGGAATAAAATGATAGTTAACAAGAGAGAATTTTAACTCTGATTTTTTACTGACTTCCATCTAATCAAAATTTCAGCCTTAAAGCTGCACTACAGTAGTTTATTACTTCCACACATTGCCCATCTATACTGTAACTTAAATAATGTCAGTGTTGCTAAAAGCAGTAATTCATTGATGTGGCATAATGTAAGTGAATGGCAAGAGCAGTAATTCACTGAGATTATGTGATTATGTTACAGCTCTGAACTCAAAATATCACAATCTGCAGACAAAAGCACATCTGAAACTGAAACTGCAGGTTGGCAGTGCTTTCACAGCACTCACCAACCACATCCTGCTTCTACCTGCCAGCATTTACAGTGTTCAGAAACAGAAAAACAAAAGAATATGTGAAACCCAAACACTGAAGTGTTTTTGGCTAAGGTGTTACTGAGAAGTGTAAAAATAAATAAGATATTTTGTACTGAGTTATAGTATGTCTGTAGCAAAGATTTAACTGATGTTTCAGTTGTCCCTTGATGACAACTGAATTAACCTACTGCAAGGTTAATTAAGTCACCCGTTTCCCTTTGTGAGAAGCCGCTGTGGTACAGGTAACTTAACCTGCTCCCAAACATCATCGTGTTTGATGTAGGGGAATATCTGAAGATGTCTTGGCACCTGGTATGCGCAGCCCACTCAAATTTAAACTTCATGCTTTCTGATAATGTGCCGGTGCTAAAGATAAGTTTGTTCAGGTGTTATACAGACCCAAAACATAGCCAGCTCACTGAATTGTGACCAGAAATTTGGACCTGGAGTCTAAGTTGGACCAAAACACCCATTCCATCTATCTTATGACCTTTCCCAATATCTCCTCTAATATCTTCCTCTATCTGCACCAAGGAGAGCCTAAAAATACAAATGTTATCTGCTTTCAGAACCAAACAGCAGCTCGTAACTCATTCCTCTTACGCTGTCATGCATATCCTTTTTGGAAATGAGAGAAATTGGGAATTTGATGATTTTATCAAGACTTCAGTGTCTCTAAGAGCCATAAAGCACTTCACAGTCTCTCCTTCTCACCTATAATCTTCATATTTACTAAGAAATAAATATACTTCATATACCCAACAAAGATTAGGAGAGAGGGATGCATTTTACATAGAATTAAGTAAAAAATATTCTCAGAGCTAACTACTTGATGAGTGGTTAGGAACTTTAGAGAGTGTAACAATTATGGGGACATTCTGCCTCCATCTCAGAGGAGGCAGCACTGACTGGAGGTTAATGCAGCACAACACAAGGCAACTATATACTCCCTCTGCAAAAAGGCTTAGCTCACAATTTTGAGGCATAGACAATAATTATGCATAGGAAAGTCAGCTGGGAGTGGCATGGCTGCACCTTATCAAAATGACTAATGGTCAGATAAAATGGGGTGGGGAAGGACTGAATGAGTTTTGTATCCCACAAGTCCTTGAGAGCCAACAAGACAACATTCCCTGTCCCCACCACTGTACCATCCATCACCCTGGATGATAATGCATCAGTGATAAACTCTTACCTGATTAGGTATTCTTAAAGGTGGCCTTGGACCTCCAGGGTACCGAGGAGACATGAAAGGCTATGAAAAACAAAGAAATACTGCTAAATAATTCAACATAGTTTGCAAATACCACATTGAGTCATTGGGTGTATGCCTTGTGCCATGCTCATACCTCAAGCATCCAGCTTAAATACTTCCACAGAGCATTCAGTACATTATTCCACAATGTTTTGCAGAACTAAATAAATTTTGAGATGCATCTATTTAGAACTTTGCTACAGCACTTGTGAATGCAGAATATAAGCAATGCATTAACAGTGTAGAATAATAAACCGTTTAGATCACATAATCACACACCTATACTTTCCACTGCAGAAGGGGAAAAGAAACGAACCCTGCAACAGAAAACAAAAATGTTCTTGGAAAAGTAAAGAGGTAAGTAATAGCATAAAAATTCACAAATACTTTCCATTCACTTTTTCTTTATAATACAGTAAAATGTAATACAAGATTGTGAAGACACAGATTTCAAGTTTATGTTGTTCCATTAACAATATTAATTCAATGTTGCACTTGTCCCATCCTCCATATGCAACTCCACGCTCACGCAGTACATCTCCTCTCTCAAAGCCAGATTTATACCGCAAATCTGTCATACCATCCTGCACCTTGTGAAGTTCTAGTGTCACTTGATTACTACTACACTACATGATTCACAGCCCATGTGACAAAGAAGGTCAGTGTCTTATAATAAAAAAATAGTGGTACCAGCAAATACATTTAACATCTCTACTTATTCCACCCTAAAGTGTGACAATAACCTAGAAATCTAAATAGCCAGGAGGTTAGTGGCAAGTGTGAGATCTACATACAGAAAAAAAAGGGATAAACATCTGACTAAACAGATGATGAAGAGGAACATTTTGGCAAGCAAGCGTACCTATAACTACAGAAGAAAATGAAAAGCTAAAAGTATGCTCTGACTGTGAACATGGGGACAAAAAGACTGACTCTTTGTATTGCAAAAGAGCTCACTTCTGTTCATGACACTGCCACTGGAGACAAAGGAGAGATAAAGGAAAGGAGTCTGCTGGGACTGCCCAGGAGCCATCTCTAATAACAAAGGAGCTACTGCACTTTTAAACCCACTCTTTGGTGTCTCTTTGGAAAGAAACAAATATAACTACACAGGCATCATCTAGTTAGTGTAGCTATGGACCAATGAATGGCGTATTTCAGATCCATCAGCACTATTGCGTTATAAACTAAAATGCCAGTGAAAAATCAATGCTAGTAATCATGTATTAATAGTAGCAATAGCTAGCAAAAGAATTATTTTACCAATAATTAGTAAAGGATTTTTTCCTATGATCTTGAATAAAAAAATTAATAGATCCTTTCACATCTTAGAATCAGATGAAAGCTGAAATAATGTAACCTATATAAACATGAATTCAAAATAGGTACTAGAAAGCAATTTTATATACAGAGGATTTACAAACTGAAAAAGACAGTTCACTGACAATTGAAAAAATATTATTAAAAAAGGCATTTGAAATTCTGTGCTACAGAAGAGGGAGCCTTCCTTCATGCCCTTTCTCTGATGGTGAGAATCTCTGATAAGAAAGAAAAAGAAATTAAAAAGCGTTCTGCATGTGGTGAAGGCTGTAAACATGCAGGCCCTTGTAAAGCAGTAAAAGCATGAAAAAATTATAATTTCAACAATTTCCATAGAGGTCAACCTAGTGCATTATCTGGGCTGCAGCAAGATACTCTGGAGAGTATCTTAGATTTGCCTTACCTCATTCAGCAAATGAAACCTTAACTTTATTTACAGTTGTTCATAAAAGGGAAATCAGCAGTGTCTCTCAAGTCAACCATATCTTAATATAGAATCACAGTACTAATATTAGTATATAACCGTGTGTTATTGGCAGAACATTGCTCCTTTCAAGCACAGTGGAAACCTACTTGTCCCTCTCTCCCCAGTGGGTTCACCTTTCTATGCAGTTTATAAAAACATCCCAAACTGTACTTTTTTTTCACAGAATTGAAATTTTATTAAAAACAATGACACAAATACCCCAGTACAGTAACAAGAGAAAAAAGCTTACTAACAGAAGTCACAACTTCACTATTCAAAAGATGGTTTCCGATGCCTGACGGTAAGCCTGTATGGTTTGATTTGCCGTGCCCTGATGTGAGTAGCCACCTCAGATTTTTGAGAAGGTCTGGCTCCAGGCAGGTCTCAAGCCCACTGACTTAAAACTGGTGGTCACAGTTGGTCAGTGTAGCACTTGTCTTCTGAAGACAAAAAACTGATTCTTCACATGTTTAAGAAACAAACATTTCTTCCTGCTACCTCAGACTTGTGCCAAATCAAAATTCAGCACCTGTATACTGGAAAACCTGTAATGGATTCCCACACTAAATTCTCTCCTTATTTGCCTCAAAAGTTCAGTGGCGGAAGTAGATAGGTGCCATGCCAGTGAATCAAAGACTTCCTTGCTCACCCCAGCTAGCAGGGAGGAAGAGGGCTGTCAGCCATACAGTTAAAAAAGCACTTCTTCCACCTAAAGATTAGATGCATATGACTTATAAAAAAAAAAAAAAGTAATATCGTATGCTATACTCACAGATTATGATTATGTATTGTACAATATATAAAAACATATATCATCCTACATAAAAACGTAATACATATAATATCATAATGATATATAAGTGTATGGTATTATGTGCTATGAAACTAAAATAATAATTTATAATAACGAAAAAATTAAAAAATAATCAGTATTAAAGTAGAAAGAAAAAGAAAAATATGCCAAAAAATAGGAAATAAAATTAAATAATACAACAACTTTAGCCATTAGGTAGGAAGAAGACAGAGTGGAGCAAAAGATTATCTCCCAGAGCCTCTCTGTGCATAAGGATACTCTCCAAATATATCTGACATTTCAGGTCCAGATTCTGCTTAAGATGTTGCAAAGCCTGTCTATGGGAAACCAGTCTCTCAAAGCTGATCTGACTAGGGCAGAAGAGTATTACCAGAGTGGCTCCCTTTGACAGTAATTTCCAGAGGCTGAAATGGCTCTCAAGGGTTTCCAGTCACCACTGCAGCCTTTCAGTCCTCCTAAACTACCACAGGGATTATGATGAGTACAAGGAGGTGTAAACAACACTACTACACACCATCCTCAGCTACAGTTTACTTCTCCAATGGAGTTCAGGAACTGATACATACACCAGTGTATTAGTGTATTAAACACTTCCCCCCCCCGACAACAACAACAAAAACCAAACAAAAAAAAAAACACAAACCCAAAAACAGAAAAAAAAAACACTCACAAAAAAACTCACCAAAACCAAACCCCAAACAAAAAAAACAAATCAAACAAAAAATTAACAATGAAGTAAAACAAAAAGAGCAAACAAACAAAAAAATGTGTACAGAAAAGAATACGAAGAAAACAAAAGAACAGCAAGAATGTCATCTCTAAGCCACAACTGAGCTGGAGATGTCACCAGCGTTTGAAAACCTGTGTCATACAGGTTACAGCAACAGCAGCAGATTCTGGAAACTGTTTTGGAGAACAGCCAATGAAACACATCTGTGAACATCACTATATTGTAATTTCTGCCTTCAGGTATAAAATTCAGTAATTTGGTATCACAGGAAGCATCCTGAAGGCTGCTGTTATGCAGAAGCTCTGGTCTAAAGCCAGAAGTCTTTATTATGCAGAAGCTTTGGTCTAAAGTGGGTGAAAAAGAAGCCAGAGAAGAAAAAACTTTCGTGCAGTTACTGCAGACTATATGGACCATATGTATTTATCAACTTAAAGAGGAAGAAAAGCCCACCTAAAGGAGAAAATTACTAAAAAAGAATATTTAAAAAATACTAAAAGAATACAGACTACACAAAACAAAATCAAGAACAGAAATGTCAAATTTAGTAAGCTCCCTGCTCTTACTTATAGCATCCTATCAAGCTGAATTGTTAAATTCTTGTTATTGTTAAACAATTGCAACAATTGTTGTTGTTGTAATTGTTTAAAAAAAAAGGTCTTGTTAAATACAAGAACTGTGTAATTATTACTCTTGTCTTTTTTTAGTTGTTTGGATGATTCTAGAATATGGTGTGGTTTAGCTTTCTTGTAACTAATACCAGTAGAATAATAGAATTTTAAAAGTGTTCTACTACGTATGACAGATTTCAATAAATTTATTTATATTTACATTTACTTCCCTTCCAAAAGCTGGGGAAATAATTTACTTCCTTCAAAATATAGTGGTTTTTTTTTTTGCATTGACATTTTCATCCTTTTTCTACTCATTTAGTTACATTTATCAACCATGTTTTGTCACAGATAAATTGCAAAATTTACAATAATCCACAGTCAAATGACCAATCCTAAATATTGCTCACATTTCAATTCCTACTGAGACTGAATTCCTGATGAGATTGAATTTACTGTAAATATCCATATCTATTCCAATACATACATATTACATGATACCCTATGAGTTGTTATACTGGATACCACAACTTTATGTAAAAAACACACACACATCAGGAAAATACATAAATGTAGTTCAAAAAGAATCACTGCAATTACTGAGCGTGAGTAATGGGGAGGCTGCATGTATCTGCAAACTGTAGAATACCAAGAGCCAACATGCTAAGGAACAAAGCCTGGGCTGAGGAGTACAAAATGGAATGCATATCACTTGAATAAGAGAACCCTGTCACCATGGCATGAAAAAACCCCACCTTTTTCAGGTAGGGTAGCTTAAAATAACAACGCTCATCAAGATTAGATTCACATGAACGTCTTCCTAGGTAGGTGTACCTAAACTTTTTTTCAACTCAAGAAAAAAAGTTTTTTGTCTGGTCAAAGCAGGACATAAGGTATGTTTTCAAGCACACCACCAGTTTGGTTTAAAATTACTACATTTAAGGACACTGCAGAAAGCATGGCAGTAGCTCAACCAGTCCCAAACAGCTCTATGCAGACCTGGAAGAGGATGCCCACGCCACACTCTTACTGCAAGCTTAGGAAAGCAGAGGAAAAGGTTCT